ATGTATGCTAGGAGGCAGTTGAACAGTCTTGGGCCCCTGACACTTACTGTGTTGTCTCAGTATACATTACTAAATTTAAAAAGGAGAAACTTTTTTATTTTTAGGTCGCCCTGCCTCAGTGAGATATAGCTGGTTTGATGAAAAAAAATTAGCCTTATGACAAGAATGATACATTTTGAAAAACTGAGAGGAGTGCTTGCCTGGTAATACTGTTGCTAATTAAAATAAAAAAATATATAATTACTGTACCTCATTCTACACACTAAATTTTGAAATGAATAAGCAACTCAAATTCTTCCTCATTCTACTAACAACGAGCTCAGTAAGCATACAACAAAGTTATCAAGCAATTGTTAAGTCAGGAAGAATAAAGAACGGCTACACCTGACTAACCCTTTCACTATCTTGTACGTAGATATATGTAACTGATGCCAGTGTTGTTCACATGGATTGTTTTAACAGCAGCACCCTCAAAAATGTTAGCCATAAATTTTAACCTAGACAATAGAGAATGGGTCTGTGAAGTGTTCCTTTGTTCTATGACCAAGCAAACACCAGATGAGCCTGGACCAAGGCAGTATCATAATAACAAAGTAGCACTGCAGGAGGCCTACTAGCCTATGTTAGGCAGGTCCAAGTCACCTACTGGCCTAAGATAATCAGGTCCAAGTCACATTAAGGAGCACTGCATCAGACCTATTAGCACAAGCTAATCAGGTCCAACTCACACCCACCCACACCCTCAAACATATCCCTACCCTAATTCTATGCCATTCTAGAGTGCAGATTCAGGGCCATCAATCTATCCTCACAGGAAAGATTTCTGATACATGGTATTAACTTTGTCATCCTCCTTTTTATGTTTTCCAGAGCTTTTATACCCATTCTGTAATACAGTGACCAGTGCTCTGCATGATCTGAATGAAGCCTAACAATATACACAACTGAAGAATAACCTGAGACTCCTGTTATTTATACTTCCTTATATGAAGCCAAGAATTCTATTAGCTTTATTGCAAACACTTATGCTCTCTCTCTCTCTCTCATGTTCTCTCACACACGTTCACATTCTCGCTCACACGCTCACACACACACACCACACTACACACACACACACACACACCACACTCTCACACATCACACACCACTCTACTCACACTCACACACTCTCACTCACACTCTCACTCACACTCTCTCACTCACACACTCTCACTCACACACTCACTCACACACTCTCACTCACACTCTCTCACACTCTCTCACTCACACTCTCTCACTCACACTCACTCACACTCACTCACACTCACATCACACCACTCACTCCTCACACTCACATCCTCACTCACACTCTCTCACTACACACTCTCACTCACACCTCCTCACTCACACTCTCTCACTCACACTCTCTTCACACTCACACTCTCTCACTCACACTCTCTCACTCACACCTCACCACACTCTCTACTCACATCTCTCACTCACACTCTCTCACTCACACTCTCCACTCACACTCTCTCACTCACACTCTCCACTCACACATCTCACCACACTCTCTCACACTCACACTCATCTCACACTCTCACACTCACTCTCACACTCACACTACTCTCACACTACACTCCTACTCACACTCACACTCACTCTCTCACTCACACTCTCTCACACTCACACTCTCTCACACTCACACTCTCTCATCACTCACACTACTCACACTCACTCACACTCTCATCACTCACACTCTCTCACACTCACACTCTCTCACTCACACTCTCACTCACACTCACTCACACTCACACTCTCCACTCACACTACTCGCACTCACCATCACTCTCTCCACTCACACTCACTCACACTCTCTCACTCACACTCTCACTCACTCTCACTCACACTCTCTCACTCACACTCACTCATCTCACACTCTCCACTCACACTCTCACACTCCACACTCACTCACTCACACTCTCTCACTCACACCTCTCACTCACACTCCTCACTCACACTCTCTCACTCACACTCTCTCACTCACACTCTCCTCACTCACTACTCTCTCACTCACACCTCTCACTCACACTCACTCACTCACACTCATCTCACTCACACTCTCTCACTCACACCTCCACTCACTCCCTCACTCACACTCTCTTCACCACACACTCTCACACACACTCACTCTCACACACACTACTCTCACACACACTCACTCTCACTCACACACTCACACTCACACCCTCACCTCACACTCACTCACTCACACTTACATCACACTCTCTCTCACACTCTCACACACTCACTCACACACTTTCTACACACACTCTACTCACACTCTCTCTCATCTCTCACACACCAACTCTCTCTCACTCACACTCCACTCACACTCTCACTCTCACACTCTCACTCACTCACACTCTCACACCACACTCACTCTCACTACACCTCACTCACTCACACTCACTTACACACTCCCTCACACTCACACACCACACACTCACTCACACACTCACACACACTCACCACATCACACACACACACACACTCACACACTCACACTCACTCACACACTACACCTCACACACACACACTCACAACACTCACATCACTCCTCACTCACATTCTAACTCACACTCTCACACTCATACACACACACCACTTACACACTCGTCTCATCACATTCTCCTCACATTTCTACTCACTCTCATATCTGCACACTCCATCTCTCTCACACTACACTCATCACACTCTCACTCACACTCCACCACACACTCACACACACACTAACCTCCTCACACTTATGCTCTCACTCACACACTCTCTACACTCACTCCCTACCACTTCTCTCATCCACTCCTCACTCAGTCACTCAGGCACTCTCTAGCTAATTCTACTGTACATGCTTCATCACACTACCCACACAACTGACTCCAACAATAACATACAACTACACTACAGAAGACTACCAACATATTCTTCAAGAAACACGTACCAAGCATTCACTTTGTTCTCTGAATGCAACAGTTCTATGCTAACTAATAACCCTCATGTCAAACCTTAGCCAACGACATTACTATCATCACACAAGTTAAAGAAAACAAGGAGTTTGCTGAGTGTAGCCTGGAGATAGCCCAACTGGCCTGCAGTGCGTCTTCAATTCTTCTAACTTCGCTTAGGCCATGCACCCAACCTCAGCACGTTCGTTTACATTTACTTAATGGATGACGCAACACTGATCCACAAGCATCAGTTAAATCTTACCCTATCAGATGACTGATTATGGCCACCTAATTGCATATCACTAGAAGTTCTGGCTACATTAGGGGGTTGACTTGGGAGTTTTTGACATATCCACAACTTAATACAAAAATATTATTCCTATACACTTCCTGAATTGTTTCAAGTTGAAAACCATTCTAGATTCATGTCTAAGGTAATATAGACACTATTTAGCACGCTTGTATTTATCCGTCTTATTTAACACTGCACACAACTCCCCCCTAATATCTTTCATCATAGAATGCTAAAACAGGTTAGTTATCCATTAAAAATGTTTGTAATACATGGGTAGTTTGGATCTCCTGTACTTTTCATGAGAATTATTGTCTAATAAGGTACAGATACTGTGCGCTCTTGCCTGACAAGATGTATAGTTGAATGGACTGCCTTGATGGTCCCTAGTATTATGCTTCCTGATATGAGCCATGATTCTATCTTCTTTATGCGTCAACACTATGCACTGGCCTACTGTATTCAATTATTCAACAAACTCTAAATTTATCCAATCCGTAATATTAAGATTCATTATTTAGTTAATGGCATGGTTATTGTCCTGTCCAACATTTAAATTTGCATTTGTCTAATTAAACTGCATTTCCACTTCTCGACCACTATCAGTCTATTTACAAATCTTCAGGTGCTCGAATGATCTAATCCGCTATCACATTCTCTCACATTTACTACTCATCTTATGCTCGCCACTCTCTCTCACACACAACATTCACTCTCTCTCACACACAAATTATCTCACACTCATGCTCTCACACACCCCTCTCACATTTTACCTCACTCTCTCATACTCTCAAGACGGCATCTATGGGGAGCTTTAAGTTGTATATTTCGTGTAGGTATGGTTGGTGGCCAGCTACCACATCTGACTTCCTACAATAAATACACTACTAACTACATGAAGACTACAAATATTTTAAGAAACGAGTGTACCAAGCATTTTACTTTTGTTCTTTTAATGCCTAGTTTTATTGCTAACTAATATACATTAGTGTAAACTTGTTAACTGGAATTTATATGCATTTATAAGTTGAAAAAAAAAGGGTGTTTGGCTTTTTGGTGGTAGCCTGGAAGCATAAGTAATAGAAGTCCTCAGGTTGTTCTTCAATTCTTTATAACTTCGGTTGGGCCTCATTTAGATTATACTGCACAGTTCTGTTCACCATATTACAAAATGGATGACAAAGTTGATCCCATGCATCAGAAATCTTCCCTATGAGGATGGACTGAGGGCCCTGAATCTGCATTCTCTAGAAAGGCATAAAATTAGGGAGGATATGACTGAGGTGTATAAATTGAAAACGACAATAAATAAAAATATCTAGCCAAGACAGGACTCGCAGCAATGGTTTCAAGTTGGAAATATTCAGATTCAGGAAGGATATAGAAAAGCACGGGTTTGGTAATAGAGTTGAGAACGAGTGGCACAAACTCCCCAGTACCATCATAGAAGCTAAAATATTGTGTAGTTTTAAAAATGTTTGATAAATACATGGGTGTGAGTTGGACCTGACTAGCTGGTGCTAATAGGTCTGATGCTGTGCTCCTTCCTTGAAGTGTATGTGACTTGGACCTGCCTTGCATGGGCCAGTAGGCCTGATATGGTGTTCCTTCTTTCTTATGTTGTCATAAATGGGGCCCTACTGTATAATTAAAAATACAAAAAATTTACCATTACATATAAATTTCATGATGCTAGTCAACCTAAATGTCGTTTCACTTACTTTCTTAGGTTTACCATCGCGGACAGTGCCTGGTTTGGCGGCTTCTTTCGACTTTTCCTCCACCATTATCTACAAAGGAATAATTATTTACATAAAACTGCCAAATTAGAGTATAGTAGCACTTTTCTCCAACATTTAAGCTTACTATCCATTCTTTCAATACCTGAACACAGAACTACTCCTTAAAAGAATATTTGGTATTCTTGTCTCCTAATACACTCAACCACAAGAACCACTACAATTAATTAAACATTTACTGTTTTTGATCAAATCTACACAAACATAACAGCACTTTAGAGTACAATCACAGACAAGATAACTGACCACTAAATGTGCTATAAAACTTACAGAAAGAAATTAAGTTATTTCATTTAACAGAAATCATTCCTAAGAAGACAGTCTGAAAGCACTGAATCAAGAGGGAATGTGATTGAGGTGTTCAAATGGAAGACTGGAATAAGTATATAATAGGGATACTGTATAAACAGCATTCTGAAAATATTTAATCAAAACAGAACTAACCCCTTCTTTGACGGAAGTCACGAAATTAAAAGTACACTCGACAGTCGGCATTTTTCAAAACAAAAATTTCCTCAAATGGTTGAGAATCTTTACCGAGGGTAATAAAGCGAAAAATATTTGATGTAAAATTGATGGAATTATGCAAGTGCAAAGGTAGCACAATTTACACATCAACAATTTTTTCAACAGTCCTATTTTAAGTCGATTCCATTTCAACCAAATTCTTAGTTATATCCCTATAAAGTGTAAAAAGTGGTAATGTGCCAATCAGATCTAGTAAAAACCCATAAAACAGATCAAGTGATATACAGAGGGACTTTATTCATTCTCAGAAAATCACCAAAAACCAAATGTTTCCTAATAACTTTGAATCCAGTTTTAAGCTACTTTCATTCCTGAAACAAATAAAAAATCACCGTTTCAGTAATATAACTTCCATTCTATAAAATACCAAGAAATACCCAATAAAACCCTAAAAACCACCCTAGAAAACACATCAAAGTCACTATTTTAAACCAATCATGCACCATGTGGAGCAGAATTTTTTTTGTTTACCATGCATACACTGGACATATTCTCTCAACTAAAATTTACAACACAACTTATCTGAAGGAGGAAAAATCAAAATTTAGATCTACATACAACCCCGGCATCAATAACATAGATCTAAGGACGAGTGAAAAAGTTAAATTAAGGCAAGGCAAATTAAGATTTAGAATGGATACAGGAAAGCAATGGTGGGGTATTAATTATTATTAACTGAACAGAGCGATATTATCAGTGGTTACAGTAATACCAAATGTAGAGCAGAGAGAGGCTACCAAACTTTTGTTTACATCAGCCCAACCACCACCATCATTCACATTTCCCCACAAATATTATTCACTGACGGGGTAACCTCAAGCTTATAATCTTCCGCTGATATTTACACTTTTTGCTATTCACTATTTTATTGAGAATGAGACGCAGATGATGAAGATATCAGCAGATGAAAACAGTTGAGATAATCAATCTCAATACTCACCCAGACGCCACATGAAAGAAGCTTCAGAGAAACACCACCAGGTGGCGTTGATCAAACACGCATCTGGTAAATGTTATACAAAAATTAATTATAAAATACAAACACAAACTTGAATTAAAAATATCAATTTGATATTAATTTGTTATCAAATTACATGATTTGTAATCATAATCGTTAACCTGTAAATTACTTTTATATATAATTTATTTAAAATGCTGCATGCATACAGTCATCATTTTAAATAACAAAAAATGTGAAAACTAAGACTACTCAGATTGAGAGATAATTAACACTGAATCAACCACACCGTCCTAACATACTCCTCACAACACAAAATACTCATATAAAGTACATACTAGTAAAAAAAATTATATCATACCATTTTTCACTTGCAGATGAATGGTTCAGAGAACCGACAAGTTGATAAATTAGACACATGTGCAACACTTAGGAATCTTTAATGAGAAAACGTTTCGCCACACTGTGGCTTCATCAGTCCATACAAAAGAGAATGGTGAAGAACAGGAGGAGCTTAAGGTAATCAGACCCCAATGGAAATAAGTCACTGTCTGACTTTTTTGTGTTATCCCAGGTTCTCTACACATATGCTGCTATGTATGATAATCCTATGTAACTGTATTTGTGTATACCTGAATAAACTTACTTACTCAGTCCACATAAAAGATCTATCAGCAATAGAAACCAACCAGGGAAATTAGGGACTGCATGAAAAATATAAATTAGAGTGTAGAAGGCACCATCCAACAAGTCAACCCACAAGGGCTGTACTGCACAGGTTGAGAGGAGACTTAATTACCCTGATCACAACACAAAGTGAATTATGGAAATATCTTGTTCTTCAAGATAATCAATACAAACATCATCCTGAAAAGTTGTGGAGTAAGATCCGCCAGCTTCTAGGGGCAAAGAACAAGCTACACGTTATCTAATGTAGTATAGTACTTCACCGATGACGATGATGTGGAAGTTGAGATTAAACTTGATGACCCTCAAGACCAAGCCAAGCTGATGGGTGATGTGTGGGAGAAAATTATCTTACACAAAGATAGTAGAAGATTTAATAATAACCATTACCAGTGGGTCAACGAATGGAGAAACAACCGAGCTGACCTCCATCCAGTGCCATTAACTGATCCTTCTACCCTTGAAGATGAACATCCCCTAACAAGACCAATCACACTCAGGGGGATGAGTCAGTTTATAGGCCCAATGAGTAATAAAGCTCCTGGCCTCTCATGCATACAACTCATTCATATACAACTTCTTATCAGAAAGAAGAATCATCCCTACGTTTAATGGCAAGTCGGCAGAATCTTTCACACCAACAGCTGGAGTACCACAAGGCTCGTACCTTAGCCCGATACTGTTCAACATATATTTATTTATTTATTTATTTCCAATTTGTGCACACATACAGAGGTACAAAAAAAATACAGATAAGAGCAGTATGCCAAAGCCACTTATACTATGCATAGCATTACGGGCTGGCTTAAAATTAACTTAAGATTAACTAAGCAATGATTATTATTATTATTATAATCAAAAAGAAGGAAATAAATGGTATAAAATACCGACACAATGGCAATATAAACACAAATGCAGTATAATGTGATCCTTTATTGACTACGTTTCGCCCACACAGTGGGCTTTTTCAAGTCACAAACAGAACTACCTGGGGTGGAAGGAACGCGAGTATTTATAGTCCGGCTGAGGTCAGGTGAAGAATGCTGCATCTGATGATGTACCGAGTGGGGTTATAGTCTAAAAACTTGGGTAGCTTGGAAAGGAGATTGGATAAGTTTGTGAGCAGACCTTCTACAGTGTTCTTATGTGGGATAGCGATGAAGAAGTTTCTTGGCAAGTGGTTCAGCTATGTTATAGAAGCCACTATTCTGGTTGAAGTTGTCGGATATAGAAATAAGTGATGATTCCAGGATTCCTCGGTATTGAGTGTTGTCTTCTGTGGCGATAAGTCTTGAGTTTCTGTAGTTTATCAAGTGGTTGTGTGAATTACGGTGTTGTACGCAGGCATTCCTTGTGTCGTCAGACCTGCTTGCGTATTGGTGTTCTGAAATACGTGTTTGGAGGTCCCTTGATGTTTCGCCCACGTATAACTTGTTGCAGTCATTACAAGGGATTATGTATACCCCTGCAGAGGATGGAGGCTTGTCCTGCCTACTACAAGTTTTTAGACTATAACCCCACTCGGTACATCATCAGATGCAGCATTCTTCACCTGACCTCAGCCGTACTATAAATACTCGCGTTCCTTCCACCCCAGGTAGTTCTGTTTGTGACTTGAAAAAGCCCACTGTGTGGGCGAAACGTAGTCAATAAAGGATCACATTATACTGCATTTGTGTTTATATTGCCAATCAAAAAGAAGCGCTAAGCCACAAGGACTATACAGCGCTGCTACTAAGCAATGATGAAATCAGTGATAAAACATTAATGTAAACAGATAACTATAAAGCACAAGTGAGTATTACAAAGACAGGTCATATGGTTGCATTCAGTTAGGTAGTGATTCTGTTAGGTAGTGTATTTAAAAAATAATAAAGTTAGATTGGGTTTTAGGTTTAACATTTATGTGATATAATTGTGAGAAACATTTAAGATATACAATTTATAATGTTCAGTTATTCAGTATTTATTTGGTTTTGGGTGAGTAAGTAATCTTTGAGAAGAGACTTGAATTTATAAACAGGTTGTTTCTTTTATATTTACAGGTAATGAATTCCAGATTTTAGGGCCTTTTATGTGCATTGAGTTTTTGCATAGTGTGAGATGGACACGAGGAACATCAAAGAGTGATCTGTGCCTTGTGTTATGGTCATGTGTTCTGTTGAGGTTGGCAAGGAGATGTTTGAGGGGAGGGTTAATATCAGAGTTAAGTGTTCTATGTATGTAATAGGTGCAGTAATAAGTATGGATGTTTTGTATGGTGAGTAGGTTTAGTGTATTGAATATTGGTGGAGTGTGCTGCCTGTAGTGAGAATTTGTTATCATTCTAACTGCAGCCTTTTGTTGGGTAATTAGTGGTCTGAGATGGTTAATTGTTGTTGAGCCCCATGCACAAATTCCATAGGTGAGATAGGGGTAAATAAGAGAGTGATATAGGGCCAGGAGGGCTGACTGTGGAACATAGTACCGTATCTTCGATAGTATGCCTACAGTCTTGGAAATTTTCTTAGAAATTTGATGTATATGTGTATGAAATTTGAGTCTATTATCAAGGTGGATTCCTAAGAATTTTCCCTCTGTTAGTTTTGTGATAGGTGATCCATTTATTTATGTAAACGATCTCCCTCAACCCGAGTTCAATGATACTATTATCACCCAATTTGTTGATGATGTTATCATCAGTATAAGTATGTGAGAGTAATATAAACAATGAATACGGAACTACACGTTATAACACCTTGGGGTGTTATAACGTGTGTTGGAGTATCTCTGGGGTGTTATAACGTGTTGGAGTATCTCTGGGGTGTTATAACGTGTTGGAGTATCTCTGGGGTGTTATAACGTGTTGGAGTATCTCTGGGGTGTTATAACGTGTGTTGGAGTATCTCTGGGGTGTTATAACGTGTGTTGGAGTATCTCTGGGGTGTTATAACGTGTGTTGGAGTATCTCTGGGGTGTTATAACGTGTGTTGGAGTATCTCTGGGGAGTTGTAGAGTATCCATGGGGTGTTATAAAGTGTATTGGAGTATCTCGGGTGTTGTGGAGTATCTCTGGGGTGTTATAACGTGTGTTGGAGTATCTCTGGGGTGTTATAACGTGTGTTGGAGTATCTCTGGGGTGTTATAACGTGTTGGAGTATCTCTGGGGTGTTATAACGTGTTGGAGTATCTCTGGGGTGTTATAACGTGTGTTGGAGTATCTCTGGGGTGTTATAACGTGTGTTGGAGTATCTCTGGGGTGTTATAACGTGTGTTGGAGTATCTCTGGGGTGTTATAACGTGTGTTGGAGTATCTCTGGGGTGTTATAACGTGTGTTGGAGTATCTCTGGGGTGTTATAACGTGTGTTGGAGTATCTCTGGGGAGTTGTAGAGTATCCATGGGGTGTTATAAAGTGTGTTGGAGTATCTCGGGTGTTGTGGAGTATCTCTGGGGTGTTATAACGTGTGGTGGAGTATCCCTGGGGTGTTACAACGTGTGGTGTAGTATCCCTGGGGTGTTATAACGTGTGGTGGAGTATCCCTGGGGTGCTATAACGTGTGGTGTATCCCTGGGGTGTTATAACGTGTGGTGGAGTATCCCTGGGGTGTTATAACGTGTGTTGGAGTATCTGGGGTGTTGTGGAGTATCCCTGGGGTGTTATAACGTGTGGTGGAGTATCCCTGGGGTGTGACAACGTGTGGGGTAGTATCCCCGGGGGTGTTATAACGTGTGGTAGAGTATCCCTGGGGTGTTATAACGTGTGTTGGAGTATCTCTGGGGTGTTGTGGAGTATCTCTGGGGTGTTGTGGAGTATCCCTGGGTGTTATAACGTGTGGTGGAGTATCCCTGGGGTGTGTGTGATGAATGGTTTGAAAAACCGACAAGTGTCTCAATCTATCCCTGGGGTGTTATAACGTGTGGTGTAGTATCCCTGGGGTGTTATAACGTGTGGTGGAGTATCCCTGGGGTGTTATAACGTGTGGTGGAGTATCCCTGGGGTGCTATAACGTGTGGTGTAGTATCCCTGGGGTGTTATAACGTGTGGTGTATCCCTGGGGTGTTATAACGTGTGGTGGAGTATCCCTGGGGTGTTATAACGTGTGGTGGAGTATCCCTGGGGTTATAACGTGTGGTGGAGTATCCCTGGGGTGTTATAACGTGTGGTGGAGTATCCCTGGGGTGTTATAACGTGTGGTGGAGTATCCCTGGGGTGTTATAACGTGTGGTGGAGTATCCCTGGGGTGTTATAACGTGTGGTGGAGTATCCCTGGGGTGTTATAACGGTGGTGAGTATCCCTGGGGTGTTTATAACGTGTGGTGGAGTATCCCTGGGGTGTTATAACGTGTAGTGGAGTATCCCTGGGGTGTTATAACGTGTAGTGGAGTATCCCTGGGGTGTTATAACGTGTAGTGGAGTATCCCTGGGTGTTTATAACGTGTGTAGTGAGTATCCCTGGGGTGTTATAACGTGTGGTGGAGTATCCCTGGGGTGTTATAACGTGTAGTGGAGTATCCCTGGGGTGTTATAACGTGTAGTGGAGTATCCCTGGGGTGTTATAACGTGTGGTGGAGTATCCCTGTGGTGTTATAACGTGTGGTGGAGTATCCCTGGGGTGTTATAACGTGTAGTGGAGTATCCCTGGGGTGTTATAACGTGTGGTGGAATATCCCTGGGGTGTTATAACGTGTGGTGGAGTATCCCTGGGGTGTTATAACATGTGGTGGAGTATCCCTGGGGTGTTATAACGTGTGGTGGAGTATCCCTGGGGTGTTATAACGTGTGGTGTATCCCTGGGGTGTTATAACGTGTGGTGGAGTATCCCTGGGGTGTTATAACGTGTGGTGGAGTATCCCTGGGGTGTTATAACGTGTGGTGGAGTATCCCTGGGGTGTTATAACGTGTGGTGGAGTATCCCTGGGGTGTTATAACGTGTGGTGGAGTATCCCTGGGGTGTTATAACGTGTGGTGGAGTATCCCTGGGGTGTTATAACGTGTGGTGGAGTATCCCTGGGGTGTTATAACGTGTGGTGGAGTATCCCTGGGGTGTTATAACGTGTGGTTGACAAGATAGATGGCAGTGGTAGCCGCCTCACACCCACACAGTGGATGATTTTCACTAAACTTGGTGTGTAAGACACATTGTGGCACCTGTGAGGGTAGATAACAAGAAGGAAGGAAGACCAGGTCCTTCAAGAACACGGAGGAAGGAGGAGGGAGCAAAACCAGCACCATTAAGCTTATATTCTTCACATGTTAGAGGTGAGTGATGGTTCACACGCTGGCGTTCATGGTACCCAAGTAGGAAGTTCAGTCTGTTATATTTTCCACTGAAGTCCCTGGTGCCCTTGATGTCCCTGCTGCCCTTGATGCCCCTGCTGCCCTTGATGCCCCTGCTGCCCTTGATGCCCCTGCTGCCCTTAATGTTCCTGCTGCCCTTGATGTTCCTGCTGCTCTTGATGTTCCTGCTGCCATTGATGCCCTGCTGTCCTTGATGGCCCTGCTGCCCTTGATGACCCTGCTGCCCTTGATGGCCCTGCTGTTCTTGATGTCCCTGCTGCCCCTGATGTCCGTGATGCCCCTGGTCCCTGTGCCTTTGATATAGATGGTGTCCGTGATGTCCCTGCTGTCCTTTATACCCCTGGTACCTTTGATGCCCCTGATGTCCTTGATACTCCTGGTCACCCCGGTGCCTCTGGTTTCCCTGGTATCCTTGATGTCCCAAGTTCCCCTGGTGCCCTTGATGCCCGGTGATCATGATCCGAGGAAGTGGAGAGATCTTGTCTATGGATTGAACCTGATTTCCTCCCGTTGATCAAGTGCTGTTGTGTCGCTTATTTATTTATTTATTTTATGTCTTTGCAAACAGTACATTGAGATTTTATATTTACAATAGTGGGTTGCAATGCAAGGAGAGCCTCTATTATGCCTAGACATTATGGGCCAACTTAACATTAATGGCTTACAGACTACTTAACACTGAGGAGTATATCATAGTTGTACAGTAGGACAGTAATTATTTCATAGTTGAACAGCTGTATAACCCTTGTGGTTTAGCGCTTCTTTTTTATTATAATAATAATAATCATAGTTGAACAGTTGATTATTAATTATAAGTGAATCAAAATTTGTATAAGATAAAAGATAAATTCATCTATTCAAAAAAAATGCTTTTTGTGAAAACAATCCCCTCAAGGAAGGTTCCTTGATGTTGGTGAGGGGCTCTTGATTTAGGGAATTGGATCTGTGCTCCAGTTCCCCAAATTAAGCCTGAATGCCTTCCACATCCCCCCCCAGGCGCTGTATAATCCTCCGGGTTTAGCGCTTCCCCCTTGATTGTAATAATAATAATAATGTGAAAACAATGATTCAATTATATTCCTGTCAACAATGGATAAAAGGTTCAAAGTGATTGTTGAAGTTATGATGTGGGAGAACATAATGAGTATGTGTGTACTGAGTATTAGTGTTTAGTCTAGGGTGATTAAGTGACTTTTGAGTAGTCCTGAATTGATTTTCAGACTGGGTTACTTTAATATCTTCTGATAATGAATTCCATATTTTGGGGCCCTTTATGTGCATAGAATTTTCAGTGTGATATGGACACGAGGTATATCAAAAAGAGATCTGTGTCTTGTGTTGTGGTAATGTGCCCATATGAGTTTAGCACTTCCCCACGAATATAATAATAATAATGTATAGGTAGGGCGTCAAGTCACAGTTATTATTATCATGGATATACATAGTTATTATTATCATGGATATGCTTTAGTTAACATTTCAATACATACAACTTATGTCCAGTATGTATATCATGGAATAATCAGTTTCTCGCACAAATTTTCATTTGGGGAGATAACGAAAATGGATTAGGTTACATTTAGCTAATGTTAGGTTACATTTGGTTAATGTTAGGTTAAGTTACATTTAGCTAATGTTAGGTTAGGTTATATTTGTTTTATGTTAGGTTAGGTTACATTTAGCAAATGTTAGGTTAGGTTACATTTACCTAATATTAGGTTAGGTTACATTTACCTAATGTTAGGTTACATTTACCTAATGTTAGGTTAGGTTACATTTACCTAATGTTAGGTTAGGTTACATTTACCTAATGTTAGGTTGGGTTACATTTGCCTAATGTTAGGTTAGGTTACATTTAGCTAATGTTAGGTTAGGTTACATATAGTTAACATTAGGTTAGGTTACATATAGTTAACATTAGGTTAGGTTACATATAGTTAACATTAGGTTAGGTTACATATAGTTAACATTAGGTTAGGTTATATATAGTTAACATTAGGTTAGATAACATTTAGCTAATGTTAGGTTAGGTTACATCTAGTTAATGGCAGGCTAGGAAGGATATAGGAAAGCACTGGTTTGGTAATAGAGTTGTGGATGAGTGGAACAAACTCCCGAGTACAGTTATTGAGGCTAAAACGTTGTGTAGTTTTAAAAATAGGTTAGATAAATACATGAGTGGGTGTGGGTGGGTGTGAGTTGACCTGACTAGCTTGTGCTGCTGGGTCTAGTGCAGTGCTCCATCCTTGAGTGGAGATGACCAGGCTGGGTGGGTCATTGGGATAATCCGGGGGGGAAACATGGACCTGCTCCACATGGGTCAGTAGGCCTGTTGCAGTGTTCCTTCTTTCTTATGTTCTTATGTTTGGTTAAGGTTAGTAGTTAGAATTGGTTTAGGTTACCGTAAGATAAGATTTCATTTGAATTTTTAACCCTGTGAAGGGTTATCCACCCAGGATAACCCAAGAAAGTCAGTGCATCATCGAGGGACTGTCTGTCTTATTCTATTGTGGTCCTCAATCTTGTCCCCCAGGATGCCACCCACACCAGGCAAATAACATCCTGGTACCTACTTACTTGCTAGGTGAACAGGGACAGCACGCCCAATGTTTCCACCCTTGCCGGGGTTTGAACCATGGATACTCAGTGTGTGAAGCGAGAACTTAACATGTCACTAGCACGTTAAGAGACCATACAATAAGTGTCAGGGGCCCGAGACTGTTCAACTGCCTCCCAGCATACATAAGGGGGATTACCAACAGACCCCTGGCAGTCTTCAAGCTGGCACTGGACAAGCACCTAAAGTCGGTTCCTGATCAGCCGGGCTGTGGCTCGTACGTTGGTTTGCATGTAGCCAGCAGTAACAACCTGGTTGATCAGGCTCTGATCCACCAGGAGGCCTGATCACAGACCGGGCCGCGGGGGCGTTGACCCCCGGAACTCTCTCCAGGTAAACTCCAGGTCCGGGTAAACCAGGCCATGGGCTTTGGTATGGCAAAGTTATGTTTAGTCAGCCTTAGGTTACATTAGGTTACATTTAGTTGAAGGTTAGGTTAGGTTTAGTTAACCTGGAGTTTACCTGGAGAGAGTTTCGGGGTCAACGCCCCCGCGGCCCGGTCTGTGACCAGGCCTCCTGGTGGATCAGCGCCTGATCAACCAGGCTGTTGCTGCTGGCTGCACGCAAACCAACGTACGAGCCACAGCCCGGCTGATCAGGAACTGACTTTAGGTGCTTGTCCAGTGCCAGCTTGAAGACTGCCAGGGGTCTGTTGGTAATCCCCCTTATGGTTATATATTATGGTTATATATTATGGTTATATATTATGGTTATATATTATGATTAGTTAAAATTAACTTTGGTTAGGGTACATTTAGTTAGTTAGGCAAGGTTTGGTTATGTTGTGATTAGTTAAGTAAACCTTTTTGTATTCTGAAGCCCCATTAGGAGCCCACATAGCCTAATCCTAATATATAAAATTGTTAAAATTGCTTGATAGGCAACACTCTTGCTTCACACACTTGAGTGTCTGTGGTTTGATCCCTGGCTGGGTGGAAACACTGGATGTGTTTCCTTACACCTACTGTCCATTTATCTAGTAAGCAAGTAGGTACCTGGTTGTTAGTCAACTGGTGTGGGTCTCATCCTGGGGAACAAGATTGAAGGACCACAATGTAAATAATGCCCTTTAATCTTAAGTTAATTTTAAGCCAGCCCGTAATGCTATGCATATAAGTGCCTTTGGCATGCTGCTCTTACCTGTATTTTTTTTGTACCTCTGTATGTATGCTAAAATTTATAAATAAATAAATAAATAAATAAATAAAACAAAAGATTAATATCTGGATCGATATCTGCATTCATAAGACTAATGGAGAATTTAAGTGTATATTTAATAATAGGTAAATAGAGAATAGCTGTTATAATTATTGAAATGAAAAACAATTACTATTACTACTAACAAGGATGAGTATATGGATTGGGCAAATTAATCTTGTGCCAGCTTTTCTCATCTGCAGTTCAGTAATTAATTATACTCTGATGAATGGTTTGAAAACTGACAAGTTGAAGAATTGAGACACTTATGCAACATATGGGAATCTTTATTGAAGAAAACGTTTCGCCACACAGTGGCTTTTGATGAAGCCACTGTGTGGTGAAAAGTTTCTTCAATAAAGATTCCCATATGTTGCATAAGTGTCTCAATTCTTCAATTAATTATACTCTCAGGGCATTGGCTTATGTTTGACATTTTTACTCATTATACATATATCATTTCTCAGTGTAAGCATAGTATTGTTTCTTTATAATTGTTGTATTTTGCTTTTACTCTGAATCGTATCATGCTGATTACATTCATTCATTTAAATTTGTTCATTTATTTATATTTATTTATGACTGACTTTTTCTTTTGCCTGCAAAAATGTGTAAAATATACGATGTGGCTCTCGTAGTGAAAAGTTTGGAGGCCCTTGGCTTAAAGTACAGTACTGTACTGTAAGTTTATTACCGACTTTTACATAAAAGTCTTTAACACTGTTGTATAATATTTTACAAAATCAATACTGTGAAGGTAAGTGGAGTGCTGTTTACTTGTATAGTAAATGATGTTAGATGTTCTTTTTCTTTACAGGTTTAAATGGTGGATGAGAAGTCTTAGTGTAATAATACAAAATGTGAAACAAACAACTGTGCAGTGAAAACAGTGACAAAACTCTCAGCTGCTGATTAATTCATCATTAGTTCATATATTACACTGTTGAACAAGTTATCTGGAAGCACTTGATGATCTGAGAGTGAACACCTGACCACCTGGAGGATGTGGGTGAAGAAACTGGGTCGCATGAGTATACTGGCAGCTGCAGCAGGAGGTGCCATTGTGGGCTATGTTGTCAGCAGTGATGAGAGGAGAAGGACAGCTCAGGCATCGTGGACTACAGGCTACACCCCATCAGTTAAATGGGACTGGAACTGGGATAGGTTGGTAGGTTATTTTATAAAGCTATTGCTTTCCCCATAATACTGTGACATAGAGGTATTACCTATACGTGCTATTATAAATGATGTGCGTTACTGACAAGTTAATTAATAAGACTCGTGCAACACATGTCTTATTCATCATTATCCATTTCTAGCTGTAGGAACAGGGAGTGTAATGTTGGGATTAGTTATTATATTTACTGTAAACAATAATTTTGTTAATGTTCATTTTAGAAAATGTTCAGTTTAGAAAACCACTATGTTGTTCATAAAATGTAATTATTACCACTGGGAAATAAAAGTGCCAATATTGTGGCTGAACCATTGTCAGTTTAAATTAATATATAAATACAGGTCAGCGGTCACTAATCTGGCAATCAATTATCTGGTTCCATCAGTAATCCGGCATTAATTTTGGCTAGCATAATTTCAGATTTCATCATTATACTGATTTAAATCATTATACTTACTCAGATTTCATCATTATACTGACTCAAACTGTGCAGATGTTTGTAAATCCACAGCAGCAAGCCAGTGAAGTAGAAAGCAGTGATGAAAATGAGGAAGATGTAGCAGAAAGAGTCTCTTGATAGGTTAGTTAAGTGTATTCTAACTTAACCACTCTGTAATTTGGCAAACTCACTAATCCGGCACACTACAGGTCCCAGTGATGCCGGATTAGTGATGGCCGACCTGTACTTATTTCCAAATTATACATAATGTTTACACAGTTTGATGACATTTAATTGTATATGTGGAAAGACCAGGTTATGCAAAGCATTGTAGGCCAGCTGGAACTAATATAGGATTAATAGAACAGGGATAGAGACAGATAGATGGGATGGATTGAACTGTGACCCTAGTATTGGCAGGTCCAGTGCTTTTCCAGTTTGATTCCCCTTTCCCTCTTTCTGTTTATTCACTTACAGTCGTTTATTATGACTTAAATTGAGTTAGTGATGGAACATTAACATTTACATAGTGTATCGATACAAAGTTATTCAAGAAGTACATAATACATATAAATGTACTTGTGTTAACCAGTAATATTGAAGGATCAGTTATGGAAGGAGAAGAGGGAATATAAATGTATAATTTCAAGGATTATGTGGATTAAAATAAGGGTCAGATCCGAAAAGTGGGTCATAATAAGTTTGTATGCACCTGGAGAAGGTAGGGTGACCCAAAAAAGAAAAACTTTCACCATCATTCACACTATCACTGTCTTGCCACAGGTGCACAGATATGATACTTTATATGTCCTTCTAAACAGCACATATTCCAAACCCCTCTAAAGTCCAGGCATTGTAATTCCCACCTCCAGGACTCAAGTCTAGCTAACCAGTCTCCCTGAATCTCATCACAAAATATTACTCTGCTCACATTCCAACAGCTCATCAAGTCCCAAAAACTATTCATCTCCACTCCTATCTAACACTCACACATGTCTGCTGTAAGTTTAAGTCCCTTACACCTATTGGACTTGTTTAATTGAATTTTGTTGACTTGGTTAAAATTTTTTGGTTCTATTAGACAACATTATTTCTTGAAGCAGTACATTTGCAAACATTATTTTCTTTCAGAAGAGAAGCTCATAGTTTAGTGAAGCCACGTAATCCAAAAAATGACATTAACAATAACATTGTTAATGGTAACTTTGAGGACCGCGTGGAGAAGGTTAAACCTTCAGCCTCTCGTCACTTGATATTTATACGTCACGGACAGTACAACCTGGAGGGTGTCTCAGACTCGGAGCGATACCTTACACAGTTAGGTAAGTGATTGTTTATCATCTTGCCTGGGGTTTTGAAGACTGTCATCTTTTGATATGAACTTAGTGTGATTTAAAAATGGAATGTAATACTGCATTTCGTGTGATGATGATGTGAGCTTATGGTGAAGGTTAATTAATGCTGGTGTATGATACTTTACTATACTTCATCATAGCTCAGCTTGTACATTAAAGTTCATCACTTTTATGTACTTTTTTACATAATATGGACATAGTGAAGGTTAAAGATTGAATACAGTATACAGTGGACCCCCGCATAACGATCACCTCTGAATGCGACCAATTATGTAAGTGCGTTTGTACGTGTATGTTTGGGGGTCTGAAATGGACTAATCTACTTCACTATATTCCTTATGGGAACAAATTCGGTCAGTACTGGCACCTGAACATACTTCTGGAGTGAAAAAATATCATTAATGTATGGGCATTCCTCACCTAAAGACTGAGTTCTGTTCCTACAAGTAGATCGGTAAGCAAACTGGTTGATAAGTGAGGAGTGTGCACTTACAGATATTTCAGATATTGTGTTTATGTTACCTTTGCACTATTTATAACATTTCTGGTATATTTTTAAATGTTTATACAGTAGTGTACTGTATATTGTAATAAACAGAATAGAGGAAATCAGCTCTAATATAAATTATTTAGGTATGAATACTGGTCAGAGAGCCCGCCGAAAGTCCTAGACGTCAATAAACGAGTACATCACTAAGTGAGAAGAGGCTGTATTATTATTATTATTATTATTATTATTATTATTATTATTATTATTATTATTATTATTATTATTATTATTATTATTATTACCATTGACATACCTTGTTTATTGTGAAGGGGTTACATGGTGTGTTTGTCTGTTTGTCTACATTCTTGTCATCTTTCTTTTATGATGGCATCTAAGGGTAAGTAAGTGTATTAACCCTTTGAGGGTCGACAGGCCCTCTCCAAGACTTGTTCTCAGGGTCGGCCAAATTAAAAAAAAAATTATTTTTCTTATGAAAAGATAGAGAATCTTTTCCTGGTCATATTGACACCAAAAGTATGAAATTTGATGGAAAACTTAGGGAATTATGCTCGCGAAGTTAGCGGTCTCGACGATGTTTACGCCTTGGCAATTTTGCCCACTTTGAGCCCTATTTTCAGCCAATTCCAGTGTACTTGTCGACAAAAATCATGACTATTTCTCTAGAACTCTATTTTTTCTATTGAATGAGTACAAGAAACCACCCATTTACTGATTTCAACTGTCCAATACAGTGGTCAGAATTTAGCAATTTTGCCAATTTCACACAAATTTCAAAAGATGCCAATTTCGAAATAGGGTCCAGAATAAACAAGAAAGACATTCCTGGCACTAAAATAACATTTCCTTTGTTTGTTAGTCACATCCCCAGGCCCCTCTTATATTTCTTTGGTTTTCCACTTTCAATTTTTATTCTTACAAAAAATAGAAGATTTACTGTTATGCAGACTGCTGCATTAGTGTAGAAATGGTATAAATAATATCAGCGCACTTGTGAAAGAATATTAGACTCACCAGTTGACACATATTGGTTGCTTGGCATGACTTGTTTACTTTTGAACTTTGGTAAAAATCGAACATTTCTGTTACTTTGAGCTCAATTTCAAGGTACTTTTCATTGTAAAACCAGTCAAAATCATCTCAATTTCTGTAATATGTCTTCCATTCTATAAAATGAGACCAAGAAAACTAGAATACAACAATAAATAACCCCTGGCTGCCTTCAAGAGAGAGCTGGACAGATACCTAAAGTCAGTGCCGGATCAGCCGGGCTGTGGCTCGTACGTTGGACTGCGTGCGGCCAGCAGTAACAGCCTAGTTGATCAGGCCCTGATCCATCGGGAGGCCTGGTCATGGACCGGGCCGCGGGGGCGTTGATCCCCGGAATAACCTCCAGGTAACCATCTGAAAATACAGTGCAAAGTCGCTGTTTTATTCCAAAAACATAGTCTTTTTTTTTCTCATTATGCACTGTGTGCTGCAGGATTTTTTGTATACTGCGCACACTGACCACATAGACCCATTCTTTCATATGTATGCCTACCAGCTTTCTCCCACTAGATTTGAGGGCGCTAGAATTTAGGCGTACTAGTACGTCAAAAACCTTGGGTCGTAAGCCGTACTAGTACGGCCGAAACTCTCAAAGGGTTAAGGTACACATAAATACAGTTACATAGATTATCATACATAGCAGCCTGTGTATAGTGTACTTGTGGATGAGGGAGTGGAGTGTACTAATGGATGAGGGTGTGGAGTGTACTAGTGGATGAGGATGTGTAGTATACTAGTGGATGAGGGTGTTGAGTGTACTAGGGGATGTGGGTGTAGAGTGTACTAGGGGATGTGGGTGTGGAGTGTACTAGGGGATGTGGGTGTGAGAATGTACTAGGGGATGTGGGTGTGGAGTGTACTAGTGGATGAGGGAGTGGAGTGTACTGGATGAGGGTGTGGAGTGTACTAGGGGATGTGGAGGCACACACCCTGGGATGCATCACCATAATCCATTTATGATTAAGAAGCATGGCCCAATAGCTAGAGCTCACTCATGAACATAAATAGGGAAGTGCAAGTGGATATGTGTACATCCTCTTTCCCCCTTCCTTATATCCCTTTCTTACACAGTATCCCTTTCCCATCCTTCTCTTAAATCCTTCTTTCCAAGTTTTCCTGCCAGTGTTTGATCCACTGTGTGGGGCACAAATTTAATGTAAATCTAGTATGCTTTTGTTTAGTTATAATCATTCTCTTCTGTGTATTGAAGTGATACACGTGGCTTGTGCAGCATGAAGGACCAGCATTGAGGTTATGAAATAGTATTTCTGATTTCCATGATTTCGTAACTACGCCTTTTCTCCATCTTTATGTCAGTCACTTCGTAACATCCTTCAACCCCATTTTACAGGTCGTGAGCAGGCATCACTGACGGGGGATCGACTCAAGCAACTTAACTTGCCATACTCGCGTATTGTCTATTCTACGATGACCAGGGCTGCAGAAACAGCAAGGATAATCATTGAGAGGCTGGACAATGTAGAAGAGGTTGAACACTGTGACCTGCTACGAGAGGGGGCACCTGTTCCACCTGAACCACCCATTGGAAGCTGGAAGCCAGAAATGCACGTATGTTGCTGTTATTAAGTTCAGGGTGCCTGCACTCTGAAGGAGAGGTGGGGAAGTTGCAGTTCAGAGGGTCATCCGAACTATGATGTCTAGCAAGATTGAATGATTGAAGGTGAAAGTGTTTCCTCTTTTTTGAGTTGCCCTACCTCAGTAGGAGATGGCCACAGTGTTAAAAAAAAGAATACTCTACAATAATATACTATATTTGACAGTAATTAGAAAAACATTTTCTACCCATGCACCATCATCACTCAAAATTTCCTCTCCAAAAGGGGGGGCTGTATATTAAATTTAGTGTTGATCATTGAATTACAGTCGTCTCTGGTATGCATGGGGATATTGGTTCCAGGACTCCCCATGGATACGAAAATCCTTGGGTGCTCAAGTACCGTATACAAAATGTCGTAGTATTTGCATATAACCTATGCACAACCTCCCGTATACTACTTTAAATCTTTAAAACAGCCTTTGAGGGATTGCTTTGACAATTTAACCATTTAACTGTTTTATTCATTCCAAATTTATTACACTTTCATGATACTAACAATGGAATTCAGCCACAAAATACACTATGAAAATGAAAATGATTATTTCTCTGCAAAGCTTACAATGTGTGGCTTACATATTACAAAATATTAAGTACAAAGAAAGCAATTAGCATGCCTAGGGATTCCTGGCAGACTAAGCCTAATTCTTACTGTCTGCTCTGTATTGACACAGGTTATGGAACAGTACATTTTAATATTTGTTATCTCTCATTATTATAAAAGTTTATCATTAATAAGATTGATAACAGTGAGGTAGCAAAAAACATGTAACAGTATTACAATTAGTATAATTTAGTAATGGGTGTGGTTTTATCTCGTCATGATGCACTGCTTCTATAATCAAAAGCTCCTATATTAGCAAGAGTATTTCAGGACTAACTTAAAATTAATTAGGCAGTAACTAAATTAGAAATTTTATGTTTACAGTCATTTGGGTGAGTATAAGTATAAAACTGAGAGAATTACAGATAATGAGAGTAAGTCTGTTTTGTTACGGATGTGTTCAGGATATTGAAAATAGCATGTGTAGTTTTCACATAGCTGATGTTGGGTTATGTTAGGGAGAGAAGGTGTTTTTTAATGGTAGTTTTGAAAATGGTGGTAGAGTCTGCGGTTTTGGAGATTTCAGGCAGAGAATTCCAGATTTTGGGCAGTCTTATGTACACTGAATTTTTGAAGAGATTTAGTCAGACATGATGTATATTTACCCATGTCCATGGGTCCAGTTTCTGCTGTTTAGCATGGCCCAAAAATAAGCCATAAATTGCTTAATATTGGCACAGTAGTTCAAAAGTAGTGAGGGTGACAGTTCTTTAAAGCCTAAGAGATACCATGAAATGCTTTCCATCAATGAAAAAGTGATAATTCTTGACATACTGTGTGTAATTTATCAACTAAACTATAATAGGTAAGTCTTTCTTCTTTCTTTCAACAAACCAGTCGTATCCCACTGAGGCAGGGTGGCCCAAAAAAGAAAAACGAAAGTTTCGCTTTTAAAATTTAGTAATTTATACAGGAGAAGGGGTTACTAGCCTCTTGCTCCTGGCATTTTAGTCGCCTCTTACAACACGCATGGCTTACGGAGGAAGAATTCTGTTCCACTTCCCCATGGAGATAAGAGGAAATAAACAAGAACTAGAAAGGAAAGAGAAGAAAACCCAGACGGGTGTGTATATACAGTGGACCCCCGGTTAACGATATTTTTTCAATCCAGAAGTATGTTCAGGTGCCAGTACTGACCGAATTTGTTCCCATAAGGAATATTGTGAAGTAGATTAGTCCATTTCAGACCCCCAAACATACACGTACAAATGCACTTACATAAATACACTTGTTAGGTAAGACACATATGCAACAGTTAGGTATCTTTATTTTGAAACGTTTCGCCTACACAGTAGGCTTCTTCAGTCGAGTACAGAAAAGTTGATAGAAGCAGAAGATACTTGAAGACGATGTAATCAGTCCATCACCCTTAAAGTTTTGAGGTGGTCAGTCCCTCAGTCTGCAGAAGAGCATTGTTCCATAGAATGAAACAATATGTTGTTTCATTCTATGGAACAATGCTCTTCTGCAGACTGAGGGACTGACCACCTCAAAACTTTAAGGGTGATGGACTGATTACATCGTCTTCAAGTATCTTCTGCTTCTATCAACTTTTCTGTACTCGACTGAAGAAGCCTACTGTGTAGGCGAAACGTTTCAAAATAAAGATACCTAACTGTTGCATATGTGTCTTACCTAACAACCTGTCGGTATTTTATACCATTTTAATGTTCATAAATACACTTACATAATTGGTCGCATTCGGAGGTGATCATTATGCGGGGGTCCACTGTATATGCTTGTACATGTATGTGTAGTGTGACCTAAGTGTAAGTAGAAGTAGCAAGACGTACCTGAAATCTTGCATGTTTATGAGACGGAAAAAAGACACCAGCAATCCTACCATCATGTAAAACAATTACAGATTTCCATTTTACACTCACTTGGCAGGACGGTAGTACCTCCCTGGGCGGTTGCTGTCTACCAACCTACTACCTAGGTAATAGGTAAGTATGTAAATGAAAAACGACTTGTATGTTGGTTTCAGTATCTGTGGCAGGTGCTTGAAACATATCCCCGCAGCTACGGGGGTTCTACTATACTGATTATTCTAAGTGAAGCATTGTTTGAAGTGCTAAACCACCTTGAAACACGTCTAATATAAGAAACTAGTCTGTATAGTGTTAAACATTAAAAACAATTAAATAACAGAAAAACAGTCACGTCTTAACATCAGTAAATTGTAAAATGTAAATATCACTAGCACTTTTATACTAGTGTTGCTGATTACTGATAATTTTTTCACCAACTTTATCACATCATAAGTTATCAAATCTCGCTCTTGTTCAATTCAGAAAAACAAGCTCTATTGATCTGTAAGATTTTTTTTTTTGTCATTTTTCTATATTTTTTCCATAAATTTTGATCGACAGTTGGTTGAATCCGCAGATGCGGAACCCACAGATACGGAGGGCCAACTGTACTTCATCACCATCCTCACTGAGTCCCTTCAGAGATATAACCCAACTTTCATTCTAACAGCATATCATGTTCTTCAGATCATTCTCCTCTGTTCCAACCAAATACGGCTAGATGGTTAAGCCTTCTAACTCTCAATAGATCTTTCTGCTAATTCTTCCTTGTGTGTTCCCAGTGATGTTTCATTCATGCAAAGTTTATACATCTTAATCAACGTTTTTACATTATTAAAACATTTCGGGCCCCAATGATCTACTTTGAATTATACTTTTCATAATGTTTTGCAACACTATAACTTATGGTAGTATTCTTTTTTTTTTTTGGTCTCAATTTGATAGAATGGAAGATACACTACAGAAATAGATATGATTTTGATTGGTTTCATCACGAAAAGTACCTTGAAATTGGACTCAGAGTAGCGGAAATGTTAAATTTTTGCCAATGTTCAAGAGTAAACAGATGATGTCACTGTTCAGTACATGTTCAACTGGCCAGTCTAATACGCAGTCACGATTGGGTTGACATTATTTATACAATTATTACAATAGTGGAGTAAGCCACTTAACAGTAAGTCTCCTATTTTTTGTGTGAATAAAAATTCAAAGCTGAAAGCAAGCGTAATATAAGAGGGGCATGGAGATGTGACTAATAAACAGAGAAAATGTTATTTTAGTGCTAGGAATGTCCGCATTGTATATTCTGGACCCTATTTTGAAATTGGCATCTCTTGAAATTTTTGTGAAATTGGCCAAATGACCAATTTCTGACCATTTTATTAGGTAGTTAAAATAGGTAAATGGGCAGTTTCTTGCATTCAGTTGACAGAATAGAAGGAATACTAGTGAAATAGCTATGAGTTTGGTAAACTGGAATAATGGAATGGGTCAAAAATAGGGCGTAAAGTGGGTGAAATCACCAATGGGTAAATATCACCGTTGGGTTAAGTGTATTCTAATGTAACCACTCTGTAATCCATCAAAATCACTAATCCCGCACCCTACAGGTCCCGATGATGCCGAATTAGTGATGGTCAGCCTATATTGACACTTGTTTTTTCTATGCACCACCATCTCTCACCAAGACAGGGTGACCCAAAGAAGAAAACTTTCGTAATGTTTTTCTTCTTTTTTGCATTTAGTAATGTGCACAGCAGAAGGGGTTACTAGCTCCTTGCTCCCAGCATTTTAATCGCCTCTTACCACAAGCATGACTCACAGAGGAAGGAGTCTTCTCCACTTAACCGTGGAGATTGATATTATTATAACTTCAAATATTGATTTATACAATATCTGCTTCTCAGTTGCAACTTTCCTACTAGATCATCATTTGTGCAATGATATTTACAGCAGTTAACATGGGTAGTGCATGTGTATTTTTTTTGTGTGTGTGTGTGTGTATTTTTTGTGTACTTTTGTTTTTGTTTTTTGCATTTTCATTTGTTTTTAGTTTTTTTGTGTTTTTTGTTTGTGTGTCAACAGTGTTACTGATTCCCTATGTGATATACTTGTGTAGTTATCCACAGCATGTTAGTACTGCGTACTACTGTAGTCATAGTAACCATTACTGGTTCACCTCCCTGTATGAATCACTGATTGTTATATCACTGACTGTTATGACTCACTGCTGACCTAACATGATGTTTGAATGCCGCCGTTGCCCTCCGGACACGATAGGGCAGTCCTAGTCCAGCCACCCATCGTGTGTGTTTATTCCCTAATCCGTGATTGAACCCTATTCAACATGTGCATTTTTGTTTGTGTGCTTTTGTTTATGCATTTTTGTTTGTATTTTTGTCTGTGTGTTTTTCCTTGTGCATTTTTATTTTTGTGGGATTTTTTTTTTTTTTTTTTTTTTTTTTTTTTTTTTGTGCATTTTATTTTTGTGCTTTTGTTTTTGTATTTATTTTGTATGTATATTTGTTTGTCCATTTAGTTTTTGTGTGTTTTTGTTTTTGTGTATTTTTTGTTTGTGCATTTTTGTGTTTGTGTTTGTTTTGTTTCTTTTGTGTTTTTTTATTTTTGTTTCTTTTGTGTTTTTTATTTTTGTTTTTGTGTCTTGTTTTTATGTGTTTTTTGTTTTTGTATCTTTTTGGTTTATGTAGCCTTTTGGTTTTTGTGGCCTTTTGTGTATTTTGGTCTTTCGGTTTTTGTGGCCTTTTGTGTATTTTGGTTATTGTGTTTTTCTTTGTTACACAGACCTCTTGTTGTTGTACAGCAGTATTTGTCATTATTATTTTCCTCAGAAGTTTTATGCCGATGGTGCTCGCATTGAAGCAGCCTTCAGGAAGTATGTCCATCGTGCTCCCACTTCCCAGGAGAAGGATAGCTACGAAGTATTTGTGTGTCATGCTAATGTCATCCGATATTTTGTCTGCAGGTTAGTCATTATTGCTGGTGGCATATTAGGTATTACACTGACCTTTCAAATACAAATTAGGATAAGGTATATTTCTGAAAATACAACAGTTAAAATACTTACCGCTCTACGGCCCTTACTTTACCTTCCCTTCTTGCTGATGGACCCTCCTTTAAGCCAGACTCTCTCTTACTGACTTTTTGACAGCAACTGATTTACTGTGTAAACTCTGATGATGATGCCTCTAGTACTCCTCACGGCCCTTTTTACCTCAATCTCTGGCTACTCTCCACCCCTGCACTATCCACTGCCCCACTGCACTGCATGACCTAATAATCATCCCTCTCCCTGTTGTTACCCATTACCCTTGCAACCTTCCCTGCCCGGCTGCACTGTATGACCCTTGTAGGCTTAGAGCTTCTTTTTGATAATTATAGACATTTTGATTAATCCATCTATGATAGTTTTTCAAAATTATACATGTATAACAAACATGCTACGTAACATATAAATATGATAAATACACCCACAGTAGAATAAATTAGCAAATGTGAAATGTTTTTCCAGTCGTCTTGTTGGACTGTCGGAAAGAATAATGTTTTCTCAAGTTCAACACCAAAGAAAATGTTACACAATAGTATTACTGGGAGTAACTTTAGAAAATTATTCCTTTCGTATGCCTTCACTCAGAGCACTATTCCTTCTAAAAGTGGTGTGTTACATGAGAATGGGAGTGTTGCTCTTTATTTATTCTACTTTACCAATGTGGGGACAACTTGTACACAATGTAACGTGTTTGTATTATGGTATAAGATTCACAGACATGGGAATGAATATGTATGAACCAAAAGCAGACGTGTTCGTCTGTTTGTTTACATACTCCGTGGCTCTGTCCTCTCTCATTTGCTCATTCTCTCTCTCTCTCTCTCTCTTGTTTATTCACTTTTATATAGTTTACTCATCTCTCACCTTACATTAAGACTACAAATATTTTAACGTATGATATAGCACGTAATGAAAGTAGTTTGTTAGATTATGTGTTGGTGGATAAAAGGTTGATGGGTAGGCTCCAGGATGTACACGTTTATAGAGGGGCAACTGGTATAGCGGATCATTATTTAGTTGTAGCTACAGTTAGAGTAAGAGGTAGATGGGACAAGAGGAAAATGGCAACAAGAAGTAAGAGGGAGGTGAAAGTGTACAAACTAAGAGAGGAGGAAGTTCGGGTGAGATATAAGCAACTATTGGCAGAAAGGTGGGCTCGTGCAAGTATTAGTGGTGGGGAAGTTGAAGAGGGTTGGAATACATTTAAAAATGCATTTTTAGAATGTGGGGCAGAAGTTTGTGGTTATAGGAGGGTGGGTGCAGGAGGAAAGAGGAGTGAATGGTGGAATGATGAAGTAAAGGGGGTGATAATAGAGAAAAAGGTAGCTTATGAGAGGTTTTGACAAAGCAGAAGCATTATAAGAAGAGTAGAGTATATGGAGAGTAGAAGAAAGGTGAAGAGAGTGGTGAGAGAGTGCAAAAGCAGAGCAGATGATAGAGTGGGAGAGGTACTATCAAGAAATTTTAATGAAAATAAGAAAAAATTTTGGAGTTAAACAAGTTAAGAAAGCCTAGGGAACGAATGGATTTGTCAGTTAAAAACAGAGTAGGGAAGTTAGTAGATGGGGAGATGGAGGTATTGGGTAGATGGCGAGAATATTTTGAGGAACTTTTAAATGTCGACGAAGAAAGGGAGGTGGTAATTTCATGCACTGGCCAGGAAGGTATACCATCTTTTAGGAGTGAAGAAGAGCAGGATGCGAGTGTGGGGAGGTGCATGAGGCATTACATAGAATGAAAGGGGGTAAAGCAGCTGGAACTGACGAGATCATGACAGAAATGTTAAAAGCTGGGGGGGGATGTAGTGTTGGAGTGGTTGGTATTTTTGTTTAATAAATGTATGATAGAGTGGATAGAGGAGCAATATGGCAGATGTTGCAAGTATATGGAATAGGTGGTAAGTTATTAATCGCTGTAAAGAGCTTTTATGAGGATAGTGAGGCTCAGGTTAGGGTGTGTAGAAGAGAGGGAGACTACTTCCCGGTAAAAGTAGGTCTTAGACAGGGATGTGTAATGTCACCATGGTTGTTTAATATATTTATAGATGGGGTTGTAAAGGAAGTAAATGCTAGGGTGTTCAGGAGAGGGGTGGGATTAAATTTTGGGGAATCAAATTCAAAATGGGAATTGACACAGTTACTTTTTGCTGATGATACTGTGCTTATGGGAGATTCTAAAGAAAAATTGCAAAGGTTAGTGGATGAGTTTGGGAATGTGTGTAAAGGTAGAAAGTTGAAAGTGAACATAGAAAAGAGTAAGGTGATGAGGGTGTCAAATGATTTAGATAAAGAAAAATTGGATATCAAATTGGGGAGGAGGAGTATGGAAGAAGTGAATGTTTTCAGATACTTGGGAGTTGACGTGTCGGCGGATGGATTTATGAAGGATGAGGTTAATCATAGAATTGATGAGGGAAAAAAGGTGAGTGGTGCGTTGAGGTATATGTGGAGTCAAAAAACGTTATCTATGGAGGCAAAGAAGGGAATGTATGAAAGTAGTAGTAGTACCAACACTCTTATATGGGTGTGAAGCTTGGGTGGTAAATGCAGCAGCGAGGAGACGGTTGGAGGCAGTGGAGATGTCCTGTTTAAGGGCAATGTGTGATGTAAATATTATGCAGAAAATTCGGAGTGTGGAAATTAGGAAAAGGTGTGGAGTTAATAAAAGTATTAGTCAGAGGGCAGAAGAGGGGTTGTTGAGGTGGTTTGGTTATTTAGAGAGAATGGATCAAAGTAGAATGACATGGAAAGCATATAAATCTATAGGGGAAGGAAGGCGGGGTAGGGGTCGTCCTCGAAAGGGTTGGAGAGAGGGGGTAAAGGAGGTTTTGTGGGCAAGGGGCTTGGACTTCCAGCAAGCGTGCGTGAGCGTGTTAGATAGGAGTGAATGGAGACGAATGGTACTTGGACCTGACGATCTGCTGGAGTGTGAGCAGGGTAATATTTAGTGAAGGGATTCAGGGAAACCGGTTATTTTCATATAGTCGGACTTGAGTCCTGGAAATGGGAAGTACAATGCCTGCACTTTAAAGGAGGGGTTTGGGATATTGGCAGTTTGGAGGGATATGTTGTGTATCTTTATATGTGTATGCTTCTAAACTGTTGTATTCTGAGCACCTCTGCAAAAACAGTGATAATGTGCGAGTGTGGTGAAAGTGTTGAATGATGATGAAAGTATTTTCTTTTTGGGGATTTTCTTTCTTTTTTTTGGGTCACCCTGCCTCGGTGGGAGACGGCCGACTTGTTGAAAAAAAAAAAATGTATGAAAGAGGGGAAGGTACCTAGAGATTGGTAGAGAGTATGTATAGTCCCTTTATATAAAGGGAAGGGGGACAAGAGAGATTGTAAAAATTATAGAGGAATAAGTTTACTGAGTATACCAGGAAAAGTGTACGGTAGGGTTATTATTGAAAGAATTAGAGGCGAGACAGAATGTAGGATTGCGGATGAGCAAGGAGGTTTTAGAGTGGGTAGGGGATGTGTAGATCAAGTGTTTACATTGAAGCATATATGTGAACAGTATTTAGATAAGGTTAGGGTGTGTAGAAGAGAGGAAGACTACTTCCCTGTAAAAGTACGTAGGTCTTAGACAGGGATGTGTAATGTCACCATGGTTGTTTAATATATTTATAGATGGGGTGGTAAAAGAAGTAAATACAGTGGACCCCTTGTATTCGATGGCATCGGTATTCGATAAATCCAGTATTCGATGCATTATATCGCAAAAAATTTTCCTTGGTATTTGATTGAAAACCCGGTATTCAATACGATTCGTACAAGACCTGTCCATGTGTGGCCTGAACTGCCCCGTGTGTGCCAGTGTTTACAAGCCAGCCAGTGTGCGTGCATCTAAGGATACATTCGGTACATTCCATATTATCCATATTATCACTGTGTTTGGTGCTTGTTTCTGCAAAATAAGTCACCATGGGCCCCAAGAAAGCTTCTAGCACCAACCCTGTGGTAAAAAGGGTGAGAATTAGTATGGAAATTAAGAAAGATTTTGAAGGGTTTGGGGCTAACCCTGAGAAGCCTATGCCAGTTGTGGAATCCATTGTGCCTACTTCAAAAATTAAGGAAATGTGTGCACAGTGGGTTGAAGTGCAAACCTTTATGGATGAAAATCACCCTAACACAGCTATTGCAAGCTGTGCTGGTGACTATTACAATGACAATGTTGTGGCCCATTTTAGACAAATTGTAAAGGAACGGGAGGTACAGAGCTCTATGGACAGATTTGTTGTGCGACAGAGGTCCAGTGACTCTCAAGGTGGTCCTAGTGGCATTAAAAGAAGAAGGGAAGTAACCCCAGAAAAGGACTTGCTACCTCAAGTCCTAACACCTCTCCCCTCCTCCCATCCCATCAATCATCACCAGATCTTCATTAAAGGTAAGTGTCAATTATTTTATTATTATTGTAATTATTCTATTGCATTAAACTTAATATTTCATGTAGTAAAAATTTTTTTTTTCATACTTTTGGGTGTCTTGCACGGATTAATTTGATTTCCATTATTTCTTATGAGGAAAATTGATTCGGTTTTCGATATTATCGGTATTCGATGAGCTCTCAGGAACGGATTAATATCGAATACCGGGGGTCCACTGTACTAGGGTGTTCAGGAGAGGGGTAGGATTAAATTATGGGGAGTCAAATACAAAATGGGAATTGACACAGTTACTTTTTGCTGACGATACTGTGCTTATGGGAGATTCTAAAGAAAAATTGCTAAGGTAAGTGGACGAGTTTGGGAGTGTGTGTAAAGGTAGAAAGTCGAAAGTGAACATAGAAAAGAGTAAGGTGATGAGGGTATCAAATGATTTAGATAAAGAAAAATTGGATATCAAATTGGGGAGGAGGAGTATGGAAGAAGTGAGTGTTTTCAGATATTTGGGAGTTGACGCGTCAGCGGATGGATTTATGAAGGACGAGGTTAATCATAGAATTGATGAAGGAAAAAAGGTGAGTGGTGCATTGAGGTATATGTGGAGGCAAAAAATGTTATCTATGGAGGCAAAGAAGGGAATGTATGAAAGTATAGTAGTACCAACACTCTTATATGGGTGTGAAGCTTGGGTTGTAAATGCTGTTGTGGGCGAGGGGTTTGGACTTCCAGCAGATTATTATTATTATAATCAAGGGGGAAGCGCTAAACCCGGAGGATTATACAGCGCCTGGGGGGGGGATGTGGAAGGCATTCAAGCTTAATTCGGGGAACTGGAGCACAGATCCAATTCCCTAAATCAAGAGCCCCTCACCAACATCAAGGAACCTTCCTTGAGGGGACTTCCAGCAGAGCTATGACATCTCTGTATGTGGCTGATTCCTTATCTTGTCAGCCTTATATACCATTATTGTAATGATATTTCTTGTAATTTTGAAAGATTGTCATTATTAATTTATTGCATTTGCAGAGCATTGCAGCTTCCCCCTGAAGCCTGGTTACGCATGACTCTGCACAATGGCAGCATGACGCACATTGTGGTTCGTCCTGATGGTCGGGTTGGAATGTGGCATCTAGGTGAATGTGGCTACATGCCTCCCGAGAAACTCTCCCGCTCATGATAAACATTTCCTTTAAAAGTGTCATAAATCTTCAATATTGGTTAATAAGTTATTTCTTGTCGAGGCATATAAAATGTATATTATTTACATGTGATCAATATTTCAATTTGTGTAGTCATTTTACTGATGATGGATGTGTTAACCTTGCTAGTTTAAGCAAGGTGGGGAAGACTTTTTAATTCATGTTTCAAGTTTGTTGTAATTATTTACCACTTGACTCAGGACCAATTTGTACAACTATGTCAAGGTTTTTAATGCTATAAATAAGCAGCTTAATTAAATTTAATGAAAAATGTGAATTACATTAGATTGGTAATTAATTGTACAACCATTTGTGAATAACAGATGGAGTGATGTACCCAAATACACACATTTGTTTACCAACTACAGAATAGTATACAAAAATATAGATGTTTGTATGGTTTCCATGGCTACTTTTGTTGCTTTAAGATAATTTTTTTTAAAGAGATTACATGCTTATAGATATTTTATAATATAACCTTTGATAGTGTTACAAACTTGCGCATGGTATCAGTACTGGTGCGGCTACACTGGTTTACATGTTTGCTTAACATGTACTTGTCTAGGATTAAATATTTGTATGCCTTCCTTTGTTTATTATATCACCACCTCTCTGACATGCTTGTTGCAGCCATCCTCCTCACTGACGGTCCAGCCATCATCCACACACTGCAAGGTGATCTCTTAACCGATACAGATTTTGCTACATCAACTATGACCCTCCAGTCTTTCAGATGATGACCTTCCCTCAACACCACCACCCTCTCTCTACCATCATTTTCACCCTTGCCTTGCAATACTGAATAACCCTCAAAGGTTTAGCACTTGTGATGAGAGTAATAATAATAATATGCTATCACTACACACTTCAAGATGGCCCTAATACACATTTTGTCAAGTGTTTGTGCAGGTTCCTGATAGTAGTTTTTAGTTTTACATATGATACTGAAGTTATATGATTTATATATACTTCTGGTGATATACTCTGCAATGCTTATTCACAGATCTTTCTCTGTGCACATTGTAGTACATCCTCCTAGTTGATAAGTTGTTTGGTCATTTTTTTCCCTCCTTTTCTTTATATTGCTGTGCAGTTGTCTGAAATGAATTCAAACGATCACTTTCCCATCCACATTTGCAGTCTATTCGTCTTGCTGGAACCTCTGTCATCTTCCTCATTAATTTAACATCATTCACCAACTGCAATATATGGGATTTAATTTCTTTTGGCAGGTTATTATGTAAATCAGAAACAGCATTATTCATGCACTGGTATCTGGAGGTCTGTACTCCCACAAGGAAGGTTCCTTAATGCTGGAAAGGGACTCTTGATCCAAGGGATTGGACCTGAACTCCCTTGGATCAAACCTGAATACCTTGCATTCTGCAGGCACTATATGACCCCTATGGGCTTAGTGCTTCCCCAAGTAAAATTAATAAATTTTCTTGAGTGACATTTTACCACAGTTGTATGCTGGTTGTATGACTTCTGGTGAATACTGATTCCATGTTTATGGTCCTGCAAATCTTCATTATAAAACCACTTGTATTGTATGGGAGATTACCACCTCAGCAGCTTCTTGTAGTGCCACTCTTAAGTAATATATCTACACCATCCAGGTCTTCTGGTAGACTTTGGGTTATTTATTACAGCTCAAGCTGAAGTTGTAGGACTAACCCTGATTACCTCCCATTTCTCCCAGGTGCTGTCATCACTAGGTTATAGTGCCCCTCCCCATGAATTTAACTCTCAGATGCTTATAAGTCATGACTGCTGTTAATTTATTTGCACTTGACTCATTCAGTGGCTCCTTAGAAGAAGTTAACTTGATATATTTACGTACCCCCATAATCACCCTGTGGCTGGTAGTCAGAAAATTAGAGATGAATTATTACTATTACACTCTTAGAGGAGTGCTAAACCTGTAGGGGTCATACAGCACCTGGGGAAATGGAAGGCATTCAGGCTTAATCCAAGGAAGGGGAGCACAGGTCCAATTTCTTAGATGAAGAGCCCATGATTGGCATTAAGGAACCTCCTGCCCCTCTGGGGAAGTTCCTTGATGCTGGTGAGGGGCTCTTGATATAGGGAATTGGATCTGTGCTCCAGTTCCATAAATTGTCTGAATACCTTTGATTCCCCCCCCCCACAGGCGCTCTATAATCCCTACGGGTTTAGCGCTCACCCATGATTATGATAGAAGGAACCTCCCAAACAGAGCAGTACTTAAGGTCAAGGAACTAGTCTCAACATCTGTTTAAATTAGTGCTAATGAAATAGTTACAAATTTGTCTTCAGAATAATAGTGATGAGTGCATATTCATCAATTCAATCACAAAAAAAACATAATACGTAACCGGTACATATTAATGATTTAATGTGCTATGTGCCGATATGGGTTTAGTGCTTAGTTTTGATTGTAATAGCTACAAGTTAATATATTAAGTTTGAAGGATGGGAGCTCAATTCTTGATGTATGATCCAGTTTCTATGTGGGACCTATTGCATTTTATGGCTATAATAAACTGCTGTCAGTGGCTCGATGAACAGGGTAATCATCATAGTTTGTGGAAGAGAATGCCATGTGGTTAAAGCATCAGTCCAGCTTAAAGCACAATGCATAACTTCAAAACAAAGTTCTGATTGTATTTTATTAAGGTTCCTAGGAATGGGGGAGGGGAGAATATAAGAGACAGTGATTGGACAGACACATTTTTTCTCGGTGCAAGGAAGCGCTGCTGCCTTACTTGACATACATGTACATTGTTCATCAGATTCATTTGAGGGTCAGTTCCAGTTTTAAAGATCTATTTGGAGGAGTGCTCACCTGTGGTAAAATATTTATGGGGAAGCACTAAACCCATAGGGGTCATATAACACCTGGGGAATAGGAAGCATTAGGCTTGATCCAAGGAAGGTGAGGGCTGGTTCAAATAAAGGGACCTCATCAGAGGTATTGGTATCTTGTCTTACATTCGAGCCAAGACTCATCGTGCCACTGGATCCTGTGGACTGCACCTACCTGTTGATGACTGTGCTATTTCTGTACCTTTGTTTTCTTAGTCAAAACGATCATTTCCTTTAGGGGGAGTGCTAAACACACAGGGGGTCATAGAGTGCCTGGGGGAATGGAAGGTGGCTTTCAGACTCAATCCAAGAAAGGGGAGCACAGGTTCAAATTCCTTAACCGAGAGCTCCTCACCAGCATCAAGGAACCTGCCCTGAGGGGCTAAGGTGATCAACCCCAGGTCCCAACATGAGTAAGTTTATTTAGACACAGGTACACAAGTACAATTGTCAAGTATAGCACAAATTGCCTAGGATACCCAAAAAAAAGTCAGTGACTTCATTTCCATTATAGATGGAGAACTGGTAGTATGACAAAATTAAAGCTAGTAATATAATAACTTGGCGGTGGGTATTGAGAACTTTCAGAACAATAGACCCTCAAAGAAGGTTCCTTGATGCTGGTGAGGGGCTCTTGATCTAGGGAATTGGATTTGTGCTCCAGTTCCCTGAATTAAGCCTGAATACCTTCCACATCCCCCCCACAGGCGCTACATAATCCTACGGGTTTAGTGCTCCCCTTGATAATAATAATCAGAACAATAGAAATAATGCCAGTAGTGACACTTACCAAATCGCTAGTGTTCCTCATTTGGAATACTGCTGTGTTGATGGCCCTGTTCAAGGCAGGAGAAATATCAGAACTTGAACAAATATAGAGATCATTTATAGCCCACATAGAGCCAGTAAAGCATTTAACCAATTCAGGGTCTGGGGTGTTGTTCTATGTCTTTAAAATCAGGGTCAGTGCTGAACTTCTATGTCAAAATTCTAGCGGCTTCAAATTTAGTGCAAGAAGGCTGGTAGGCCTACATATGAGAAACTGGGTTTTCGTGGTCAGTGTGTGCAGTAAACAAAAAATTGGGGCACCCGCAATGCATTGCAAGAACTCCACCTCAGTATGCCTTTTTCACCATGCCTCGTGGTAGGAAAAATCTCACTCCCCATCGTATTGGGAATCTCTTCCCAAGTGACAGTTCTAACAGAAGTGGATCTATGTAGGCCCAAATTTACTGGTCACAGCTTATCTGAGTGAGCTGAGCTCATGGCAACCGACAGTGGCTTCAAAGCCACCTTATCTTTTATGGACAATGTATGGTGTATGTACTTTACACAATGAGAAGCATTTCTTTTATTCATTGGAACCATGGCTAGGGCTAAAAGTGAGCAGGTTATCACAATAAATGGAGAAAAGGAAATTGGAATGACTTGTGCAGCAAGTAGCGCCACAAAACAGTAGTGGCAGGTTGGTATGGAGACCATGGAAATTTGAAATTATGCTAGCTGAAATTAGTTCTGGATTACTGATTGCTAGATTAGTGATGGCCAACCTGTGTAAAACAAATGATCTATAAAAAAAAATGGAAAAATAGCAAAAAAATTATAAGAAAATCTTAAAATGCAGGAACTTCCTGTGGAAAGCAATCATGCTGCCATTCAATGGTCACAAAAATTAGCTTAAAATTTATCTCTAAGTAATAATCATATTTCACTCATTCTTCTCTTGTAAACCATACCATGGGCGGGGTTAGAACCCGCGATCAAAGTTATAAAACTCCAGACCGATGCGTTAGCCACCGGGCCAGCTAGCCACAATAAGATTCATCCAGCTAAGTATATTTATACACCATTGGAAGGTTAGCATAAGCACCACTGTGACCACAAATGAAAGTTTTTACAGATGAATCTGCAACTAGCGTGGCCATGATACTCTAGCTCAAGTCCCCTCAAAGCCGTCAACATGATTCACGAAATGTAATGACATGATTGCAAACAGGGTTAGAACCCGTGATCAGAGTCATAAAACTCCAAACTCTCTGACTGTGTGTTCTAACCCCACCTGTGGTATGGTTTGTTTACAATCGTGTCATAATTTCGTGAGTCATTCTTCTCTCATACTTTTAAAATTAGGGAGAATTTCTTAGCAATGTCATTTTTTTCAAAATCACCGATCACCGAGAGCACATTAATTTTAGACCCTACAGCAGTTAAGTGTTAAGGAATATTTTGACTTGTGTATATTACTCAACACCCATAGGCATAAAAAATATACACAATAAAACAAGGATAAAATCAACAATCAACAAAAGAAACACACATCAACATAACACAAATATATCATGCAAGTTAAAATAGCCAGCATCAATTAAAAAAATCAATAAATTGTCAAAATGACTCGAAAAAAGTTCCATGAAGTGTCTACAGGCACCTTGGTAATTATATAAAATCATGACAGAAACAGAAAAACCTCAGTCAAGGGCAAACTGTTAAAATATGACCCCATAGTCACTGGCACATCTAAAGCTACACACGGCAGATGACAGGAGCACCCGTGTCCAGGTGTGTGTGTCAGATCCTCAGTTGACACATTTGTCTTAAAGTGACAATTACTGTTGGAGGGACAAACATCATCTTGATGAGCTCATTAAAGTGACCAGCATTGGGGGAGAACACAAACTTCTTTTATTCCACAACCTCATTAACCTTTTCACTCTACAGAGCCCAAAAACAAAACTGCTCACATTGTCCACATTAAAAAAAAACTCACGATGGGAAACATGGAATTATGCAGATGCAAATTTAGTAGTTAGGTGAAATTTATGCATTGGTGATTTTGCAAACATTGAGTCCCATTTTAAGCCAATTCCACTGTTCAATTCAACTAAATTCTTAGATATATTGCTAATATGCCTTCCAATTTATTAACTGAGCACAAGAAAATGCCCATTCAACTATTAAAACTACACTATACAGTACACAGAATTTTGTTTGGATAATTTTATGCAAAATTAAAAAAATTCCAATTAATAGTCCAAAATAAACACTGTAGATATTACAGACACTAAAACAATATTTCCGGCCATACTAGTATGGCTTACGACCCAGGGTTTTTGAAGTACTAGTACGCCTAAATTCTAGCGCCCTCAAATCTAGTGAGAGAAAGCTGGTAGGCCTACATATGAAAGAATGGGTCTAAGTGGTCATTGTGCACAGTATAAAAAAAATCCTGCAGCACACAGTGCATAATGAGAAAAAAAAAACTTTGACCGTGTTTTTGGATTAAAACAGCGACTTTGCACTGTATTTTCAGATGGTATTTATTGTTGTATTCTAGTTTTCCTGGTCTCATTTTATAGAATGGAAGACATATTACAGAAATTGAGATGATTTTGACTGGTTTTACAATGAAAAGTACCTTGAAATTGAGCTCAAAGTAACAGAAATGTTCGATTTTTACCAAGTTCAAAAGTAAACAAATCATGCCAAGCGTCCAATACACACCAACTGGTGAGTCTAATGTTCTTTCACAAGTGCACTGATATTATTTATACCATTTCTACACTAATGCAGTAGTCTGCATAACAGTAAATCTTGTATTTTTTTGTGAGAATAAAAATTCAGTGGAAAGCAAAAGAATGTAAGAGGGGTATGGGGATGTGACAGAGGAAATGTTATTTTAGTGCCAGGAATGTCTTGTTTATTCTGGACCCTATTTGGAAATTGACATCTTTTGAAATTTGTGTGAAATTGGCAAAATTGCTAAATTCTGACCACTCCATTGGATAGTTGAAATCGGTAAATGGGTGGTTTCTTGTACTCATCCGATAGAAAAAATGGAGTTCTAGCAAAATAGTTATGATTTTTATTGACAAGTACACTGGAATTGGCTGAAAATAGGGCTCAAAGTGGGCAAAATCGCCGATGCGTAAACATCGTCGACACCGCTAACTTCGCGAGAGCATAATTCCGTAAGTTTTTCATCAAATTTCATACTTTTGGTGTCATTATGATCGGGAAAAGATTCTCTATCTTTTCATAAGATTTTTTTTTTTTTTTTTTTAATTTGGCTGATCCTGAGAACAAGTCTCTGAGGGGGCCTGTCGACCCTGAAAGGGTTAATACACTTGCCTTCCATTTTGAATTCACAAAAAATTTAAGTTTCATCCTATTTCTTGGATAACAAAATATAATCAGGATGGGTCATGGTTTATGGCATTTCAATTATAATTCAGACCTAGTAAAAAATCCATAAAATAGACTTGGTGTGTAGTGGGGCATCACCCATCCTTAGAAAAATTGAATATTTCTGCTAATTTATAGCCAATTTCAAGCTACTTCTCATCATGGAACCAACCAAAATCATCTCTATTTCATTAGTATGTCATTCTATCAAATGATACCAAGGAACCTCCAGTAAAATTATAAAAGAACATCCATGGAAACACCTTGAAGTCACTTTTAAACCAAACACATGGTCAGAGTTTTCCTTTTCCCATCATACACTACAGGAGGCAGAATTTTTTTATACTGTGCACACTCACTACATAGACCTATTCTATTATATCTGTGTCTAAATTTACTGCTCACAGCTTATATGAGCGAGCTGAGCTCATGATGTCAGTCTACATAATGGACTTTGGTATCAATAACTTAGTTATGTGACTGAAAGAGTTAAGGTGACCAGCATCTGGGAGAAGACACAAACCTTATAAAGTGACCAGCATCAGGCCAACATAAATCACTCCAATAATAGATATACAAAATGTTTGTCACATTCAGAAAATATATCTCAGTACTATACCTTCAATTTGGCAGGAAAAATAATGAATTATTAAAGATCTATAAATGCTTGGTATTATTTAATGAAACTTTATAATACATCATTCTATAGCTTTTATTTTTAAATGTATTTCCATGATCAAGAAACTCTCACAGCGAGGAAAGATTCACTCGCCAGAGACTCTCGTAATGAGGAAGGATTCACTCACCAGACTCTCATATTGAAGAAAGATTCACTCACCAAGACACTCACAGTGAGGAAAGATTCACTCACCAGAGCTGGTTTCAGATAATGAAGTCACATAATATTTGCAAAATCTTCTATTAATCAAGATTTTCAGTGATCAAACATATATAATGCAACAAATGCAATATTTTATAAAAAGCAAATAAAATCCCTGGATACTTAAATATATTTACTGTAGAGTGTACCATGACCTGCTTTCAGCCTACTCTTGAAGTCACATTAATGATACTGAAACATACTCTGCTGCTGATTTTCCACTTGTGTTACATGAAACATATTTAATGTCTGTTGTGCTGTGTTGTCACTGTCAGGAGCAGCAGCCTCAAGTGTGTGGTATTCTCTTCCTGATGTGTTATCATCCTGTGGTTGTTGAGTGGAGGTTTGTTGCAACACTTGTGTCTGCTGGTGAGTATGGTTGTGGTGTTGCTGTTGCTGCTGCTGCTGCTGCTGTTGTTGTTGTTGTTGTTGTTGTTGTTGCTGCTGCTGCTGCTGCTGCTGTGGAGGGTGAGGTTGCTGATGGAACTGTGGAAGACTAGAAGTTGTTTCTGTTGCTGCAGTAACAACCTGAGCTTCAATGTCACATTTCTTCAGCTTGTGTTGCTGTTGTAGATGTTGACGAACACCTTGCAACCATCTGAAACAAATTTCATATAAGCAAATATAATAAATAATCTTACTATAAATTTTGGAATAACACTAGTACTTGAAAAGGGAAGAAATAAGCCATAACAAATTATGAAGTGCAACATTTTATCTAGGAGACCTAACTCGAGAGAAAAAAAAATAATATTTAACAAAAGTATCAAACCTGGGAAGTTGAAGATAATCTTCACATAGTACACATTCAAATTCAAATTTTTTTTTTACATGGTACATAAAAGTAAGGTAATTTACTTGTAATAAAATATTCATAGTCACAAAAGAAAGTGACTATTATGCAGTGTATTTAAGGCAAAGTAAATGTCAAGTGTCATGTAGTAACAGAAGAGTAATACATCACATGATAATGACTCCTCTGTGTTTCACAATATTGTATTCCATGTAATACATCACATGATAGTGACTCTTCTGTGTTTCACAATATTGTATTCCATGTAATACATCACATGACTTGTCCACAGGGTCCAAGAATTTAAAAAAAAAAAAAAAAAAAATTATTTTTCCTTATGAAATGGTAAAGAATCTTTTCCTGAAAGTAATAAAGTAATCTTGCTACTCCTACTTACACTTTGGTCACACTTCACAGACACGTACATGCATAAATATATACATACATCTAGGTTTTTCTCCTTTTTCTAAATAGCTCTTGTTCCTCTTTATTTCTTCTATTGTCCATGGGGAAGTGGAAAAGAATCTTTCCTCCGTAAGCCATGCGTGTCGTATGAGGCGACTAAAATGCCAGGAGCAATGGGCTAGTAACCCCTTCTCCTGTAGACATTTACTAAAAAAGAGAAGAAGAAAAACTTTATAAAACTGGGATGCTTAAATGTGCGTGGATGCAGTGCGGATGACAAGAAACAGATGATTGCTGATGTTATGAATGAAAAGAAGTTGGATGTCCTGGCCCTAAGCGAAACAAAGCTGAAGGGGGTAGGGAGTTTCGGTGGGGGGAAATAAATGGGATTAAATCTGGAGTATCTGAGAGAGTTAGAGCAAAGGAAGGGGTAGCAGTAATGTTGAATGATCAGTTATGGAAGGAGAAAAGAGAATATGAATGTGTAAATTCAAGAATTATGTGGATTAAAGTAAAGGTTGGATGCGAGAAGTGGGTCATAATAAGCGTGTATGCACCTGGAGAAGAGAGGAATGCAGAGGAGAGAGAGAGATTTTGGGAGATGTTAAGTGAATGTATAGGAGCTTTTGAACCAAGTGAGAGAGTAATTGTGGTAGGGGATCTGAATGCTAAAGTAGGAGAAACTTTTAGAGAGGGTGTGGTAGGTAAGTTTGGGGTGCCAGGTGTAAATGATAATGGGAGCCCTTTGATTGAACTTTGTATAGAAAGGGTTTAGTTATAGGTAATACATATTTTAAGAAAAAGAGGATAAATAAGTATACAAGATATGATGTAGGGCGAAATGACAGTAGTTTGTTGGATTATGTATTGGAAGATAAAAGACTGTTGAGTAGACTTCAGGATGTACAGGTTTATAGAGGGGCCACAGATATATCAGATCACTTTCTAGTTGTAGCTACACTGAGAGTAAAAGGTAGATGGGATACAAGGAGAATAGAAGCATCAGGGAAGAGAGAGGTGAAGGTTTATAAACTAAAAGAGGAGGCAGTTAGGGTAAGATATAAACAGCTATTGGAGGATAGATGGGCTAATGAGAGCATAGGCAATGGGGTCGAGGAGGTATGGGGTAGGTTTAAAAATGTAGTGTTAGAGTGTTCAGCAGAAGTTTGTGGTTACAGGAAAGTGGGTGCGGGAGGGAAGAGGAGCGATTGGTGGAATGATGTGAAGAGAGTAGTAAGGGAGAAAAAGTTATCATATGAGAAGTTTTTACAAAGTAGAAGTGATGCAAGGAGGGAAGAGTATATGGAGAAAAAGAGAGAGGTTAAGAGAGTGGTGAAGCAGTGTAAAAAGAGAGCAAATGAGAGAGTGGGTGAGATGTTATCAACAAATTTTGTTGAAAATAAGAAAAAGTTTTGGAGTGAGATTAACAAGTTAAGAAAGCCTAGAGAACAAATGGATTTGTCAGATAAAAATAGGAGAGGAGAGTTATTAAATGGAGAGTTAGAGGTATTGGGAAGATGGAGGGAATATTTTGAGGAATTGTTAAATGTTGATGAAGATAGGGAAGCTGTGATTTCGTGTATAGGGCAAGGAGGAACAACATCTTGTAGGAGTGAAGAAGAGCCAGTTGTGAGTGTGGGGGAAGTTCGTGAGGCAGTAGGTAAAATGAAAGGGGGTAAGGCAGCCGGGATTGATGGGATAAAGATAGAAATGTTAAAAGCAGGTGGGGATGTAGTTTTGGAGTGGTTGGTGCAATTATTTAATAAATGTATGGAAGAGGGTAAGGTTACCTAGGGACTGGCAGAGAGCATGCATAGTTCCTTTGTATAAAGGCAAAGGGGATAAAAGAGAGTGCAAAAATTATAGGGGGATAAGTCTGTTGAGTATACCTGGCAAAGTGTATGGTAGAGTTATTATTGAAAGAATTAAGAGTAAGACGGAGAATAGGATAGCAGATGAACAAGGAGGCTTTAGGAAAGGTAGGGGGTGTGTGGACCAGGTGTTTACAGTGAAACATATAAGTGAACAGTATTTAGATAAGGCTAAAGAGGTCTTTGTGGCATTTATGGATTTGGAAAAGGCGTATGACAGGGTGGATAGGGGGGCAATGTGGCAGATGTTGCAGGTGTAGGAGGTAGGTTACTGAAAGCAGTGAAGAGTTTTTACGAGGATAGTGAGGCTCAAGTTAGAGTATGTAGGAAAGAGGGAAATTATTTCCCAGTAAAAGTAGGCCTTAGACAAGGATGTGTGATGTCACCGTGGTTGTTTAATATATTTATAGATGGGGTTGTAAGAGAAGTAAATGCGAGGGTCTTGGCAAGAGGCGTGGAGTTAAAAGATAAAGAATCACACATAAAGTGGGAGTTGTCACAGTTGCTCTTTGCTGATGACACTGTGCTCTTGGGAGATTCTGAAGAGAAGTTGCAGAGATTGGTGGATGAATTTGGTAGGGTGTGCAAAAGAAGAAAATTGAAAGTGAATACAGGAAAGAGTAAGGTTATGAGGATAACAAAAAGATTAGGTGATGAAAGATTGGATATCAGATTGGAGGGAGAGAGTATGGAGGAGGTGAATGTATTCAGATATTTGGGAGTGGACATGTCAGCGGATGGGTCTATGAAAGATGAGGTGAATCATAGAACTGATGAGGGGAAAAGAGTGAGTGGTGCACTTAGGAGTCTGTGGAGACAAAGAGAGGAATGTATGAGAGTATAGTTTTACCAACGCTCTTATAAGGGTGTGAAGCATGGGTGATGAATGTTGCAGCGAGGAGAAGGCTGGAGGCAGTGGAGATGTCATGTCTGAGAGCAATGTGTGGTGTGAATATAATGCAGAGAATTCGTACTTTGGAAGTTAGGAGGAGGTGCGGGATTACCAAAACTGTTGTCCAGAGGGCTGAGGAAGGGTTGTTGAGGTGGTTCGGACATGTGGAGAGAATGGAGCGAAACAGAATAACTTCAAGAGTGTATCAGTCTGTAGTGGAAGGAAGGTGGGGTAGGGGTTGGCCTAGGAAAGGTTGGAGGGAGGGGGTAAAGGAGGTTTTGTGTGCGAGGGGCTTGGACTTCCAGCAGGCATGCGTGAGCGTGTTTGATAGGAGTGAATGGAGACAAATGGTTTTTAATACTTGACGTGCTGTTGGAGTGTGAGCAAAGTAACATTTATGAAGGGGTTCAGGGAAACCGGCAGGCCGGACTTGAGTCCTGGAGATGGGAAGTACAGTGCCTGCACTCTGAAGGAGGGGTGTTAATGTTGCAGTTTAAAAACTGAAGTGTAAAGCATCCTTCTGGCAAGACAGTGATGGAGTGAATGATGGTGAAAGTTTTTCTTTTTCGGGGCCACCCTGCCTTGGTGGGAATCGGCCAGTGTGATAAAAAAAAAATAAAAAAAAAAGTATGAAATTTGATGGAAAATTGAAGAAATTACACTCGCGAATTTTGCTGCTTCAGTGATATTTACGCATTGGTGATTTTGCCCACTTTGACTCCCATTTTAGGCCACTTACTGTATTCCAGTCAACCAAATTCTTAGCTATTTTGCTAGTATTACTTCTATTTTATCGAGTGAGCACAAGAAATCGCCCAATCAATTATTTCAACTAGCCAATAAAGTGATTGGAAATTGGTAATTTGGCCAGTTTCACACAAAGTTCAAAATATTCCAATTTCAAATAGGGTCCACAATAAACAATGCAAGCATTCCTGGCACTAAAATTACATTTCTTCTGTTTATTAATTATGTTTCCAGGCTTTAAAAATGAATTCCATTTTTATTTTTTATTCACACCAAAAAAATAGAAGATTTACTGTTATGAAACATTGTAATAATTGTATAAATAATATCAGCTCATTTGTGAATGCACATCAGACCCACCAGCTGATGTATATTAAATGCGTGATGTCATTTGTTTACTCTTTAACATCGGCAAAAATAAAAAATTTTTCACTACTTTGAGCTCTGTTTCAAGCCATTTTCAGTACTAAAACTAATCAAAATCATCTTTATGGAACGTATCTTCCATTCTATCAAGTGAGACCAAGAAATCGCGAATACAACTGTAAAATACATACGAAAATACACTTCAAAGTAGTAGCTGCTTTAATCCTAAAACACAGTCGAATTTTTTTTCTCTCATTATGCACTGCGTGCTGTAGGATTTATTTTATATGGTGCACACTTACTACATAGATGCATTCTCTCATATCTAGGCCCAAATTTACAGCTAACAGCTTATCTGAGTGAACAGAGCTCATGATGTAGAATTACGGCTTGGACCTTGGCTTCAAAGCTGCAGAACTATGGTAAGGACCCTCAAAGGGTTAACAATGATTTATTCCATGTAATACATCACTTGACAGTGGCTTTATTTTGTGTTTAACAATGATTTATTCCATACAATACATCACATGATAGTGGATTTTTGTGTTTAATAATAATTTTCTATTCCATGAAAGCTACATTTTTTATACTGCAATGAAAAATAATGTTTGTTTGGTATGTTTATGTATCATACAAGAATGGACTAACTGCAACTGCTGTGGCAATAATTTTTATTTTTTTTTCAACATGTTGGCTGTCTCCCACCAAGGCAGGGTGACCCAAAAAAGAAACACTTTCACCATAATTCACACAAAATCACTGTCTTTGCAGAGATGCCCAGATATAGCAGTTTAGATATCACTCCAAACAGCCAATATCTCAAACCCCTCCTTTAACCCCTTAATTGTCCAAATAAAGATCTACGTTGTTACTGCTAGCACTTCAAACATAGATAATTTTATTTTTCCTGTCTCCAAATTTGGTATCATTGACCTGGGATGCCTGGTCAGCATAAAATGGGTCTTAACACTTGGTGTGTGCAGTACTAAAAAATCTGGGACCACTTAGTACCTTGTGGGAGCACCAGCTCAATTGAGTGCCAGCTAGAGCAAATAGCGTGGCAAACACCAGGGATTTATTGATGTCATGTCATATTAACACTCCCCTTTTAAAAGGAAAGTGATGTTGACCCTGAGTTTAGTGGCTTTGAGATGGATGTGGCCACAAGTGGTAGAGGAAATATCAAAAACCTCGATAATAACCCATGTGCAACATTTGTGCAACATCCTTTCATTTCTGATACCACTGGTAGTGTCATCCTACCAGAATGTCCTATGACCTAAGTAAAGAGAAATAGCTCTGGAACATGTGTAATACATGTTCAGCAGGCCAGCCAGCCGACTGGGTGGTCGGCTGGGTGGCTAGGTGATTGACTATGGCTGTCTCTATCTCTGTCTCACAGGTAGACAAATACAATTATACATAGTGTAAATTACCTAGGATAAACCCAAAAAATCCAGACAAAGTGCTATACTGTGCTTGTAGATATCAGGCATAATAAGCATGCCTGGCAAGTTATATACATTTTCACTTGTTCAGGAATCAAACGTGACGACTCTGCATTGTGCGTAATACAAGTTAGTTCATGAGCGAATATCTCTGGGACAGATAGAGAGACAAGCAGACAGAGAGACAGAAAGACTGATAAGCAGAGACAGAGCTAGACAGACAGATAGACAAATATGTTTGTGTGTAACAGTGAAAACAAAGCCAGGGCAGTGCACAATCAAGTGTCACTCCACTGCTGCACTGTCAGCAAGCCTCACTACATGCTGCATGCCAAGCCTCACTACAACATGCTGCATGCCAAGCCTCACTACAACATGCTGCATGCCAAGCCTCACTACAACATGCTGCATGCCAAGCCTCACTACAACATGCTGCATGCCAAACCTCAGTACAACATGCTGCATGCCAAGCCTCACTACAACATGCTGCATGCCAAACCTCAGTACAACATGCTGCATGCCAAGCCTCACTACATGCTGCATGCCAAGCCTCACTACAACATGCTGCATGCCAAGCCTCACTACAACATGCTGCATGCCAAACCTCAGTACAACATGCTGCATGCCAAGCCTCACTACATGCTGCATGCCAAACCTCAGTACAACATGCTGCATGCCAAGCCTCACTACATGCTGCATGCCAAACCTCAGTACAACATGCTGCATGCCAAACCTCACTACATGCTGCATTCCAAACCTCAGTACATGATGCATACCAAGCCTCACTACAACATGCTGCATGCCAAACCTCACTACAACATGCTGAGGAATACAGAATTTGCAAACACAAGGTCAGATGTTTGCTTTTTTTTTTTTCAAGTAATGGGTGGGGAAAGATTTTTTTTATATTCTGCACACACCCATTCTCTCTTACATCTAATCCAAAATATACCATTTGCACTATAATGGAGGCTACTTTGCTCAAGATGTAGATCTACACGGGATACACTGGTGTCAATAATGTAGATCTACATAAGCAACACTGGTGTCAATAACATAGATCTACATAAGCAACACTGGTGTTAATAATGTAGATCTACATTAGATACACTGAAAGGATAAAGAATACATTAATATTAAATAAAATACTGCAGTTTGTAAGTAAATATTTTAAACCCACCGGAACCACTTGCCACAGAGGCGACACTTGTACTTGGATTCAGCACTGTGAGTCTGCATGTGTTTTTTAACACTGTCATGCCAGGAGAACTTTTTTCCGCACAACTCGCACATATAAGGCTTCTCGCCGGTGTGGATTCGCATATGCTCGTTGTAGTGTGCTCGATGATAAAATCGTTTTAAGCAGAGTTCACATTGAATGTTATACCTAAAAAAAAGAAAATATATCATCAATGAAATTTAAAAGTAAATGAAACCTAGCCTACTGTTATATGCATCAAAATGGGTCTAAACCTTAAATATGAGGCGTTTCTTGGTAGATAAGAATAAACACCGGTACAGCCAAAATTCCAGCAAGTGAGTGAATCAATTCCTTAACATATTGTCTGTCTGTGGGACTACAGAGTGAGCACCCAACCTGGTGCTAAAATATCATACCTCTATCATCCATACAACCTGAGATACAAATTACAATAAGTATCAAAACTTTAGAAGCTTATTCTTTTCTTCTGCACAATGGCTCATACGTGAGCCAAGTTTTATTTAGGGTTGGAGAGAGGGGGTAAAGGAGGTTTTGTGGGCAAGGGGCTTGGACTTCCAGCAAGCGTGCGTGAGCGTGTTAGATAGGAGTGAATGTAGACGAATGGTACTTGGGACCTGACGATCTGTTGGAGTGTGAGCAGGGTAATATTTAGTGAAGGGATTCAGAGAAACCGGTTATTTTCATATAGTCGGACTTGAGTCCTGGAAATGGGAAGTACAATGCCTGCACTTTAAAGGAGGGGTTTGGGATATTGGCAGTTTGGAGGGATATGTTGTGTATCTTTATATGTGTATGCTTCTAAACTGTTGTATTCTGAGCACCTCTGCAAAAACAGTGATAATGTGCGAGTGTGGTGAAAGTGTTGAATGATGGTGAAAGTATTTTCTTTTTGGGGATTTTCTTTCTTTTTTGGGTCACCCTGCCTCGGTGGGAGACGGCCGACTTGTTGAAAAAAAAAAAAATAATATAATTTAATCTCCATGGGGAAGTGGAACAGAATTCTTCCTCCGTAAGCCATGCATGTCGTAAGAGGCGACTAAAATGCCGGGAGCAAGGGGCTAGTAACCCCTTCTCCTGTATAAATTACTAAATTTAAAAAGAGAAACTTTCGTTTTTCTTTTTGGACCACCCTGCCTTGGTGGGATACGGCCGGTTTGTTGAGAAAAAAAAAATATATAATTTAAAACTTTTATGCTGGTTTAACATAATAAATCACCTTATGCCTACACATTGGTCAACAATTTACACTGAGTATAAATGTTAGTGGTAGGTAGTAGGCTGGTAGACAGCAACCGCCCAGGGAGGTACTACCATCCTGCCAAGCGAGTGTAAAATGGAAGCCTGTAATTGTTTTACATGCATGATTTCAGGTACATCTTGCTACTTCTACTTACACTTAGGTCACACTACACATACATGTACAAGCATATATATACACACCCCTCTGGGTTTTCTTCTATTTTCTTTCTAGTTCTTGTTTATTTCCTCTTATCTCCATGGGGAAATGGAAACGCGTGTTGTAAGAGGCAACTAAAATGCCGGGAGCAAGGGGTTAGTTACCTCTTCTCCTGTATATATTACTAAATGTAAAAGGAGAAACTTTAATTTTTCCTTTTGGGTCACCCTGCCTCGGTGGGATACGGCTGGTTTGTTGAAAGAAAGAAGATACGTATATAATTTAAAACTTTTATGCTAGTTTAACATAATAAATTACCATATGCCTACACACTGGTGGCCTGGTGGTTAACGCTCTCGCTTCACACGGTGAGGGCCTGGGTTCGATTCCCAGCCAGAGTAGAAACATTGGACGTGTTTCTTTCCACCTGTTGTCTATGTTCCCCATCAGTAAAATGGGTACCTGGGTGTTAGTCGACTGGTGTGGGTCGCATCCTGGGACACTGACCTAAGGAGGCCTGGTCACAGACCGGGCCGCGGGGGCGTTGACCCCCGGAACTCTCTCCAGGTAAACTCCAGGTAGGTAAACACTGGTCAACAATTTACACCAAGTATAAATGTTAGTGGTAGGTAGTAGGTTGGTGGACAGCAACTGCCCAGGGAGGTACTACCGCCCTGCCAAGTGAGTGTAAAACGAAAGCCTGTAATCGTTTTACATGATGGTAGGATTGCTGGTGTCCTTTTTACTGTCTCATAAACATGCAAGATTTCAGGTATGTCTTGCTACTTCTACTTATACTGAGGTCACACTACACATACATGTACAAGCATACATATACACACCTCTCCGGGTTTTCTTCTATTTTCTTTCTAGTTCTTGTTCTTGTTCATTTCCTCTTATCTCCATGGGGAAGTGGAACAGAATTCTTCCTCCGTAAGCCATGCGTGTTGTAAGAGGCGACTAAAATGCCGGGAGCATGGGACTAGCAACCCCTTCTGTATAAATTACTAAATTTAACCCTTTCAGGGTCCAAGGCCAAAATCTGAAGTGGTGCCCCAGTGTCCAAGAATTTTCAAAAAAAAAAAAATTTTTTATTTTTTCTTATGAAATGGTAGAGAATCTTTTTGTGTATGTAATAAAACAAAAAGTACGAAATTTGATGGAAAATTGACGAAATTATGCTCTCGTGAATTTTGATGTGTCAGCGATATTTACGAATCGGCGATTTTGCCGACTTTGACTCCCATTTTAGGCCAATTACATTATTCCAGTCGACCAAATTCTCAGCTATTTCACTAGTATTACTTCTATTCTATCGATTGAGCACAAGAAATCGCCAAGTCAACTGTTTCAACAACAAAATAAAGTGACCGGAAATTGGTAATTTGGCCAATTTAACACAAAGTTCAAAATATTCCAATTTCAAAATAGGGTCCAGAATAAACAATGTAGGTATTCCTGGCACTAAACTAACATTTCCTCTGTTCATTAGTTATGTTTTGAGGCTTTACAAATAAATTCCATTTTGATTTTTTATTCACATAATGAATTTTTATTCACACCAAAAAATAGAAGATTTACTGTTATGCAATATTGTAATAATTGTATAAATATCATCACCACATTTGTGAATGTATATTAGACCCACCAGCTGGCGTGTATTAGACGTGTGAGGTCGTTTGTTTACTCTTGAACATCGGAAAAAATTTAACATTTCCGCCACTTTGAGCTCAATTTCAAGCCATTTCCAGTGCTAACACCAATCAAAATTATCTCTATTTCTGTAATATGTCTTCCATTCTATCAAATGAGACCAAGAAATCACAAATACAACTATAAAAAACATACGAAAAAACACTGCAAAGTTGCTGTTTTAATCGAAAATCATGGTCTCAGTTTTTTTTCTCTCATTATACACAGTGTGCTGCAGGATTTGTTTTATGTGGTGCACACATACCACATAGATGTATTCTCTCATATCTAGGCCCAAATTTATCACTCACAGTTTATCAGAGTGAGCTGAGCTCATGACGTAGATCTACGGTTTGGACCCTGAACGTAAAGCCGTTGATCTACGGGACGGACCCTGAAAGGGTTAAAAAGAGAAACTTTCGTTTTTCTTTTTGGGCCACCCTGCCTTGGTGGGATACGGCCGGTTTGTTGAAAAAAAAAAATAAATGCTAGTGATACATGATAGAGCTAAAAATAAGGCCAGGCCAGCTGGGTACATTACTAGAAGAGTGAAGCGACACCACTAACTTACTGGTACTGTCGTGTTAGTACTCTAACTTGTACCACAACTGCAAGTTTTATTTGCTGCTTCTTACCTGTTTTATTTTTATTGCCCAGACACTTTTTTTTAACCCTTTCAGGGTTTCGGCCATACTAGTATGGCTTACGACCCAGGGTTTTTGACGTACTAATACGCCTAAATTCTAGCGCCCTCAAATCTAGTGGGAGAAAGCTGGTAGGCCTACATATGAAAGAATAGGTCTATGTGGTCAGTGTGCACAGTATAAAAAAAATCCTGCAGCACACAGTGCATAATGAGAAAAAAAATACTTTGACCGTTTTTTTGGAATACAACAGCGACTTTGCACTGTATTTTCATATGGTATTTATTGTTGTATTCTAGTTTTCTTGGTCTCATTTTATAGAATGGAAGACATATTACAGAAATTGAGATGATTTTGACTGGTTTTACAATGAAAAGTACCTTGAAATTGAGCTCGAAGTAGCAGAAATGTTCGATTTTTACCAAAGTTCAAAAGTAAACAAATCATGCCAAGTGTCCAATACACGTCAACTGGTGAGTCTAATATTCTTTCGCAAGTGTGCCAATATTATTTATACCATTTTTTACACTAATGCAATAGTCTGCATAACAGTAAATCTTCTATTTTTTGTGAGAATAAAAATTCAAAGTGGAAAGCAAAAGAATGTAAGAGGGGCCTTGAGACATGACTAATGAACAGAGAAAATGTCATTTTAGTGCCAGGAATGTCTTTCTTGTTTATTCTGGACCCTATTCAGAAATTGGCATGTTTTGAAATTTGTGTGAAATTGGCAAAATTGCTAAATTCTGACCACTGTACTGGATAGTTGAAATTGGTAAATGGGTGGTTTCTTGCACTCATTCGATAGAAAAAATGGAGTTCTAATGAAATATTCATGTTTTTTATCGACTAGTACAATGGAATTGGCCGAAAATGGGGCTCAAAGTGGGCAAAATCGCCGATGCGTAAACATTGCCGAGACCGCTAACTTCGCGAGAGCATAATTCCGTAAGTTTTCCATCAAATTTCATACTTTTGGTGTCATCATAAAAGTTTTTCATAAGATTTTTTTTTTTTTTTAAATTTGGCCGACCCTGAGAACGAGTCTCGGAGAGGGCCTGTCGACCCTCAAATGGTTAACATGCTAACTGTCTCCCACCAAGGCAAGGTAACCCAAAAAAAGAAAGCATTTTCACCATCATTCACACTATCACTGTCTTGCCAGAGGTGCACAGTTACAACAGTTAAGATATCATTTTAAATAGCAAATATCCCAAACCCCTCCTTTAAAGTGAAGGCATTGTACTTCCCACCTCCAGGACTCAAGTCCAGCTAACATGCCTTAAAATCTAAAACACCAAAAATAGGAAAAATAAAGATGGAGAAATATGATGCACTATTTCCTAATATTCAACCAAGTGTCCATGTTAGTCCACTCAGACACTCAACTTGATCTAGGTGAAAATACTGGAGGCCTTAAAGAGTGCAGACATAGCTCCTTTGCATAAGGGAGGTAGTAGAGCACTAGCTAAAAATAACGGATCAGTAGCCCTAACTTCTCACATCATAAAAATCTTCGAAAGAGTGATGAGACAGCAGATTACAAATTTCATGAACCAGCATAACCCGAACCATCATGGTTTTAGAGCAGGAAGATCATGCCTGTCACAGCTGATGAACCATTATGACAGAATTACGGAGGCATTGGAAGAAGACCAAAATGCAGTTGTGATTTACAAAGATTTTGCAAAGGTGTTTGACAAATGCGATCCTGGAGTGATAGCGCACAAAGTGAGGGCCACGGGTATTACGGGGAAGGTAGGCAGATGGATTTTCGGGTTCCTAACACACACAACACAATAAGTAGTAGTAAACAGAGCAAGATCCAGCATCAGCGAGGTCAAAAGCTCAGTGCCCCAAGGCACTGTCCTGGCACCTCTGCTGTTTCTCATCCTTATAGCAGACATAAATCAAAACACCTATCACACTTTTGTATCGTCATTTGCAGATGACACTAAAATAAGCATGAAAGTCACCATGGTAGAGGACACTGAAAAATTACAGGAAGACATAAGCAGGGTTTTCCAGTGGGCAGTGGAGAACAACATGACATTCAATGGTGATAAGTTCCAGCTGCTTAGGTATGGAAAAAATGAAGAACTCAAAAGGAACACTATACAGTGGACCCCCGCTTAACGATCACCTCCAAATGCGACCAATTATGTAAGTGTATTTATGTAAGTGCGTTTGTACGTGTATGTTTGGGGGTCTGAAATGGACTAATCTACTTCACAATATTCCTTATGGGAAAAAATTCGGTCAGTACTGGCACCTGAACATACTACTGGAATGAAAAAAGTTCGTTAACCGGGGGTCCACTGTATACAAAACTCAAGAGGGTCACCAAACAGAACTGAAAGGAACACATAAAAGACCTGGGAATAATTATATCAGCTGACCTTTCTTTTAAGGAACATAAGACAAAGAGCATGCCAGCCAGGAAGATGACAGGGTGGGTATAGAGAACTTTCAAAACAAGGGAAATAATGCCGATAGTGACACTCTTCAAATCACTAGTGCTCCCTCATTTAGAATATTGATTAGTGCTGATGGCCCAGTTCAAAGCAGGAGAAATATCAGAGCTGGAACAAGTACAGAGATTGTTTACAGCTTGCACTGAGCCAGTAAAGCACCTAAATTACTGGGAATGCCTTTAAGTCTTGAACATGTACTTACTGGAGCAGAGGAGAGATACATAATAATATACACCTGGAAAGTACTCAAGGGCCTGGTCCCAAATCTGCACACTGCCATAGCAACATACTGGAGTGAGAGATATGGGAGGAAGTGTAAAATAAACCCAGTGAGGAGCAGGGGTGAGGTGGGGACAATAAGGGAACACTGTATCAACATCCAGGGTCCCAGACTATTCAAAATCTTACCAGAAGATATCAGAAACATGGCTGGAACAAGTGTAGAAGCCTTCAAGAGGAAACTGGACAAGTGTCTTCACCAGGTGCCAGATCAACCAGGCTGTGATGGATATATGGGGCAGCAGACCGCCAGCATCAACAGCCTGGTTGATCAGGCAAACACCAGACAAGCCTGGCCCACAGCCAGGCTCTGAGAGTAGTTAAACTCTCAAAACTCTTCAAAGGTATATCAAAGGTATCAAAGGGGCAGCAGTGAGTGGCGAGTGTTGTGACAGCAGCACTGAGTGGCGAGTGTTGCGAGGGCAACAGTAGGTGGCGAGTGTTGTGGGGGCAGCAGTGGGTGGTGATGGTTGCATTCTTCTTGATGGTAGGAGACACTGTACTGGTATTAACCCTTTGACTGTCGCAACCCCCAATCCTGAGGTGTCTCCTGGTGTCACAAAATTTAAAAAAAGGAAAAATTATTTTTTCTTATGAAATGATAGAGAATCTTTTCCCGATTGTAATGACATCAAAAAAACGAAATTTGAAGGAAAACTGACGGAATTATGCTCTCGCAAAGTTAGCGACCTCGGCGCTGTTTACAAATCGGCGATTTCGCCCACTTTGAGCCCTATTTTCGGCTAATTCCATTGTTCCAGTCGCCCAAACTCCAAGCTATTTCTTTAGAACTCCATTTTTGCTATCGATTGAGTACAAGAAACTGCCCATTTACCGGTTTCAACTACCTAATAATGTGGTCAGAAATTTGCAATTTGGCCAATTTCACGAAAACTAAAAAATATGACAATTTCAAAATAAGGTCCAGAATGAACAATGCAGACATTCCTGACTCTAAAATAACATTTTCTTTGCTCATCCAGGCCCCTCTGATATTACTCTTGCTTTCTATTTTGAATTTTTATTCAAACAAAAAATAGAAGACTTACTATTATGCAGACTACTGCAATACTGTAATAATTGTATAAATAACATCAACCCATTCATGACTGCATATTAGAATGGCTAGTTGGACTTTTATTGGACAACGGCATCATTTGTTTACTTTTGAACATTGGCAAAAATCAAACATTTCCCCTACTTTGAGCTCCATTTCTAGGTTCTTTTTATAGTAAAATCAATCAAAATCACCTCTATTTCTATAATATGTTTTCCATTTTATCAAATGAGACCAAGAAAACGAGAATACAACCATAAATACTATACAAAAATAGACCACAAAGTCGGCATTTTAATTAAAAAAAACGGTCGGAGTTTTTTTTTCTCATTATGCACTGCGTGCTCCAGGATTTTTTTATATGGTGCACCCATTCTCTCACATGTGGGCCTACCAGCTTTCTCCTGCTTGATTTGAAGCCGCTAGAATTTATGAGTATATATACGTCAAACACGGTACCTCGTAAGACATATATATACGGCCGCGAGAGTCAAAGGGTTAATGTTTCCCCTCACCTGTGTGCTTGTGTGTCCTGGCTTGTTTACTGGATTTTCTTGTGTTGGCCTGACCCTTGGCCAGTGACAGTGGGTTCAGGTGGTTTGTTACAGTATGGGTAGTGGGCAGATGTAGAGAAGATTCACTTCGATTAGCAGTGGGGTGACAACAAATCTTGGTTGGTATTATTGTATGGATTTAGGTGATTTCTGCAGCTATTTATCTCATTATGGGTCTCCACTTGTGTTAGTGTTATGTGTGTCTTTGCTAGGCCATCACAAGGTTGTCAGTATCCTCCGGTGATCGTAAAACAGAGGAGAAAAGACCATGCTGCCGCTGCCGCAGTATGAATGCAAAATAAAGACTGAACATAAGACAGTGAATGTGTTTCCTCTTTTCTTCATTTCTGTGTCACATTACCTTACTGGGAGATGACTGCTATGTTGATTTTTAACATAGGATAACCCAATAAAGTTAAACAATGTAACTTATAAATTATGCAAATCATAAATTATTTAAAACCTCAGCTGTATGTTACACAAATCTAAAAGGAGATAAAATCTTTAGTGTGTTTTACAAATGTGACAAAAACTAAAACCTTGGCTACATGTTATGAATCTAGAGTGAACTAAATAACATTAGGTGGTTATATAAATTTAAAGCCAAGAAAAATCTTAGCTCTATTTTATACAAATCAAAATTTCCTTCCTTCCTTGTAATGAAGATAATATTACACATTGCAAGGTGCTACGAATCCGTTTATCATGACATATTTTGCTCTGTCTAGAAAGAACTTTTTCAGTGGGCAGTGGCCTGCCAGTTACAGTAGGCAGTGGCCTGCCAGTTACAGTAGGCAGTGGCCTACCAGTTTCAGTGGGCAGTGGCCTGCTAGTTTCAGTGGGCAGTGGGCAGTGGGCAGTGGCCTGCCAGTTTCAGTGGGCAGTGGCCTGCCAGTTTCAGCGGGAAGTGACCTGCCAGTTTCAGTGGGAAGTGACCTGCCAGTTTCAGTGGGAAGTGACCTGCCAGTTTCAGTGGGAAGTGACCTGCCAGTTACAGTGGGCAGTGACCTGCCAGTTTCAGGACTAACTTATCGCAGTTTTAAACCCCCATCCATCTCTGAAAGTTCTGTATAGACAATCACTAAAGTTAAAGATAGTTTTCTTACCTTTTTTCATGCTGTGATCTAATGTGGCACTGTAAAGTTGACTTGTCAGTGAACACTCGCTGGCACTGGTTGCACTCGTACTTACAATCTGCAACACAGTAACCAACATATTTTCTCAGAATAAACCTGACTTTTAAAATCACTATGAAACTTACTGTGTCTTATTCATAGGGTAAAAAAAAAAAAGATTATATACAGTATTGCAACTGGAGTAAATGTGACATAATTATCAAAGATGGTCAAACAATTTGCTGTGAACTTGGTGAGAACACGTCCTGTACGAAATTCAGTCAATGCACTCCTTCAAATAATGGTTTCAATTGATTTGTACAATAGTGGCAACCAAAAGGAATGAAAAGGCACAATACTGTGATGGAACAATACACAAATAACTCACACATATGTTGTTATAAGTTTCTTTCTCAAGTGCTGGATTTGTGTACTGGCTACCAAATTATCTAACTCAGAGACCTTTTCCTCTAGAGCTAGCCTTCCTTAACCCTTCAAGGGTCCAAGTTGTAGATATATGCCTTGTCCACAGGGTCCAAACCATAGTTCTACGCCATGAGCTCAGCTCACTCAGGTAAGCATTGAGCAGTAAATTTGGGCCTAGATATGAGAGAATGGATCTACGTGGTAAGTGTGCACCATATAAAACAAATTCTGCAGAATGCATTGCATGATGAGAAAAAAAAATGCGACCGTGTGTGTGTGGATTAAGCACAAATTTTGCGGTGTATTTTCGTATGGCTTTGACGGTTGTATTCGTGGTTTCTTAATCTCATTTGATAGAAAGGAAGATATATTACAGAAATAAAGATGATTTTGATTGGTGTTAGTACTGTAAATAGCTTGAAATTGAGCTAAAAGCAGTGGAAATGTTCTATTTTTGCCGATGTTCAAGAGTAAACAAATGACGTTACGTGTCCAATACAAGTCAACTGGTGGATCTAATATATGTTCACAAATGTGCTGGTATCATTTATACAATTATTACAGTATTGCATAACAGTAAATCTTCTATTTTTTGGTGTGAATAAAAAATCAAAATGGAATTCATCTGTAAAGTCTGGAAATGTAACTAATAAACAGAGGAAATGTCATTTTAGTGCCAGGAATGCCTGCATTGTAAATTCTGGACCCTATTTTAAAACTAGAATATTCTGAACTGTGAAACTGGCCAAATTACCAATTTCTGATCACTTTATTGGGTAGTTGAAATAGCTGATTGGGCAGTTTCTTGTACTCAATCGATAAAATATAAGTAATATTAAAGAAATAGCTAAGAATTTGGTCGACTGGAATAATTTAATTGACCTAAAACAAGAGTCAAAGTGGGAAAAGTCGCCAATGCGTAAATATCGCTGATGCAGTAAAATTCGAAATAGTGTAATTTTGTCAATTTTCCATCAAATTTGATACTTTTTGTTTTATTACCTTCAGAAAGATTCTCTACCATTTCATAAGAAAAAATAACTTTTTTTTTTTTTTTAAATTCTTGGACCCTGTGGACAAGGCGTGGATCTACGGCTTGAACCCTGAAAGGGTTAACAAGGTGACCTTGTGTTCACCAGGAACTATCCTTCTTTAACAAGGTGACCTTGTGTTTACCAGGAACTATTCTGCCTTAATAAGGAGACCTTGTGTTCACCAGGAACTATCCTTCCTTAACAAGGTGACCTTGTATTCACCAGGAACTATCCTTCCTTAACAAGGTGATCTTGTGTTCATCAGGGATTATCCTTCGTTAACAAGGTGACCTTGTGTTCACCAGGAACTATCCTGCTTTAACAAGGTGACCTTGTGTTCACCAGAAACTATCATGCCTTAACAAGGTGACCTTGTGTTCACCAGGAACTATCCTGCCTTAACAAGGTGACCTTGTGTAAAATTGTCTTGAATTTCAGCTGCCCTCAAGTGCCTGTTACTAAAAGTGTATTAATTACAATGATGACTGTATTAGTGTTGGAAGAATTACTGACAATATGTTAGGTAGAAGGTTGGTAGACAGCAACCACCCAAGGAGGTATTACTGTCCTACCAAATGAGTGCAAAACACAAGCCTGTAACTGTTTTGCATGATGGTAGGCTTGCTGGTGTCTTTTTGTCTCATAAACATGCAAGGTTGCAGGTATGTCTTGCTACTTCTTCTTACACTTAGGTCACACTACACATGCATGTACAAGCATATACAGTGGACCCTCGACTAACGCTATTAATCCGTTCCTGAGAGCTCATCGTTAGTCAAAATTATCGTTAGTCAAGTTAATTTTCCCCATAATAAATAATGGAAATCAAATTAATCTGTGTAGGACACCCCAAAGTATGAAAAAAAAAATGGTTTTACCACATGAAATATTAATTTTAATACACACAAACTGAAGAAGACATGCACAGTTACATGACACTTACCTTTATTGAAGATCAGGTGATGATTGATGGGATGGGAGGAGGGGAGAGTGTTGATGGTCTTAGTGTTTAGAAGGGGAATCCCCTTCCATTAGGACTTGAGGTGGCAAGTCCTTTTCCAGGGTTACTTCCCTTCCCTTTAAATCTCTCAAACCAACCTTTGCTGGCCTTAAATTCACTCACATCACCACTAGTTGCTGGCATTTTTTTAATTAAATTGTCATGCAACTTCCTAGCCTTTTCACATATGATCGCTTGAGAGATGCTATCTCCTGCTATCTGTTTTTCGTTTATCCACACCAATAACAGTCTCTCAATATCTTCGAGTACTTGCAATCTCAGTTTCGAAAACATAGTTGCACCTTTGGCAAGAACAGCTTCCTTGATTGCCGTTTTCTTGCCCACAATAGCAGCGATGGTTGATTGGGGTTTTGTGTACAACTTAGCAATGATCTCTTTCTTCATATCCATAGTAATTCTCACCCTTTTTGCTGTAGGGTTGGCACTAGAAGCTTTCTTGGGGCCCATGGTGACTTATTTTGCAGGTGCAATCACTAAAAAGGCTGTGATAATATGAAATGTTCCGATTGTATGCTTGGAAGTAACCGCGGTGGCTGGCTGGCTTGTAAACACTGGCCAGAAGTGGACGCGTCTCAGACGGAATGAATAGTGTTGGTCGAGTTTTTTAGCGCTAGTCGAGGCAAAATTTTTGCGTTAAAATGTATCGCTAGTCGGATTTATCGTTAATCGAGGGTCCACTGTATATACAGACCCCTCTGGGTTTTCTTCTATTTTCTTACTAGTTCTTGTTCTTGTTTATTTCTGCTCATCTCCATGGGGAAGTGGAACAGAATTCTTCTTCCGTAAGCCATGCGTGTCTTAAGAGGTGACTAAAATGTCAGGAGCAAGGGGCTAGTAACCCCTTCTCCTGTATATATTACAGCCTCTTCTCACTTAGCGACGTACTCGTTTACCGATGACTCAGACTTACGACAGGTTCTCTGATCAGTATGCATACCTAGATAATGTGTATTAGAGCTGATTTCCTCTATTCTGTTTATTACAATGTACAATACACTACTGTAAAAACTTTTAAAAATATAATAAAAATGTTATAAATGGTGCAAGGGTGACATTAAAGAAATATCAGAGATGGTTGACATAAACCCACCACCATTATAGTATGCTCCCCCTTTAGCAATGAATTCGTTTACCGACACGGTACTAGGAATGGAACTCTGTTGTTAAGTGAGGAGAGGCTGTACTAAATTTAAAAGGAGAAACTTTCATTTTTCCTTTGGGTCACCCTGCCTCAGTGGGATATGACTGGCTTGTTGAAAGAAGTAGAAGAAATTTCTAAGTGAAGATCAGTGCCAGATTCAAGAGGGTAGGAAGCAACCAGGGCACTAGCCAAGGGGCTAGTGGAATTGGCCTAAAAGAAGACTCAAAGCATGTGAAATCGCTGGTGTGTAAATTGTAATGAGACTGCTAACTTTGCACCTACATAATTCCCTGAGTTTTTCCATCAAATTTCATATTTATGGTGTCAATACCTTCAAAAAAGATTGTCTATCATTTCAGAAATATATTTGGGGGGAGAGGGGGGAGAAATTTTTGGACACTGAGAGCAAGTTTCATTTTGGGAGTCTGGACAGTAAAAGGATTAATCTAGCACTGGAGTTTTTGTTTTACCTCAATAGCCATCTCCAGTCAAGGAAGGGTGACCCAAGAAGAAAATACAGTGACTAACATTCATTAAACTGCTACATTTGAAAGAGTATGCTGACATCACAATTCAAATTACCCTCTGAATGCAACATCTCCACTTGTCCTTCAGAGTGGAGGCAATGTCCTTCTCACGTCCAGGACTCAAGTCTGGTTAATCAGTTTCTCCTGAATCCCTTCATAAATGTTACCTTGCTCACACTCCAACAGTGTACATCCATTAATAACCACTGGTCTTCATTCACTGCTTTATAACATACTGACACAATATAATAGAGGAGTTGGTGACAGATGGTAAGACAGAGTGTACTTAAGACTATAATCTTACTCTCATGCTTCTTGATGTGTTGCTTGAGGTTGAAGGGCTTCTTGAAGTATGCATGACAGTAGGGGCACGTGTGCAAGGTAAGGTCGTGGCTGTGCATGTGTTTTTTAAGGTGGTTCTCCTGTAACAAAACATAAACCTGTCTCAGCATGTAACAAACCTGCTTCAACATACTGCAAACCTGCCACAATAACAAATGTCTATCAGTATTTAACAAATCTGCCATGGTATATTATTATATTTGAAAGAATGTGCAACACCCATACACTCAACCTACTGTATCAATTATATATATATATATATATATATATAATGAGAAATGGTTCATCAGCAAGCAGAGTATGAGTGATAGTGAATATGTTTGTTTCTCTGGTTCACCTACCCTGGTGAGACCTGTCCACAGTGCTCAACACAAGCTGCCTATCTCAAAAGTTGGGTATATACGTATTACCTTTCTTCCTACCTTTGAAGTACTTTGATAAAATGACTTTAAAACCAGTATCAAATGTTAAAAATTATAGTAACAAACTTTCAAACCAGAAAACAATCTGTCATTTTATAAGAGGCATACTATACCCACGAAATGTTTTCCTGTACCGCTGGCTTCATCAGTCAAATACAGAAGTGAATTGCAATCCTGGGGACTAGAAGATGAGGAGAGGTAGTTTTAAGTAATCAGTCCCTCAGCCTTTATGAAAAATGGTTGGTCAGTCCCAAATAGGCTAAGAGACTGACCATCTTTCATTGAAGGTGAGAGACTGATTACCTTTACTGTTATTGCTTCCAGATTGTACTGCATTTTACATCTGTCTGATGAAGCCTGCTGTGCATCCTGTCAGTAATGATATGCAAGTGTTGCATATGTATCTTACTGATCAGAAAACAATCTGATGGAGTGATTATATATGATGCATTATGTTCACGAGAGCCTGAAAAAAAATTTCAGCTACAAATAATTTATTTTAACACACCGGCTGGCTCCCATAGAGGCAGGGTGACCAGAAAAAGAAAAAACACTTTCACTATCACTCACTCCATCACTGTCTTGCCAGAGGTGTGCCAACATTACAGCTGAGATGTCCCTCCAACCTACAATATCTCCACACCCCCAGAATGCAGGTACTGTACTTTTCACCTCCAGGACTCGAGTCCAGCTAACTGGTTTCCCTGAACCCTTTCATAGGTGTTACCTTGCTCACACTCCAACAGCACATCAAGTCATAAAAACCACTCACCTCCACTGACTTCTAACACCCTCACACTTTTTGGTGTCACCCTATTTCAATGGAAAATGGTGTTAAAAACTGAAATGCATGAATCTGGAAGGCCATAAATTTTTGAATTTCATATGTATCACATAAGGCTGTGTCATGTGAATAACAAATATGAAAAAATTAGGACTGCAGACTGGACTAGCTTATTATGTGTATCAATAACATTGAGTAGAATATAGAGACTATGCTAGGCTAAACTTACCCCAACAAATCTTTCCTTACAAACAGTACAAACTAAATTCTTGGGCTTGCCACAAGAATCTGTGTCAGATTTCTTTTTTCTCTTTTTCTTGCCACTATGTACGGGTGTTGCCTCCATTTCCTGGAATTAAAAAGTTGTTAAGTGCTACTGAAGCTTTATATATACCATACTCATGTTGTTATATCAGCAAAGGTCAGCAAGTGTAACTTGGGATCTTGTATCTGTATTTTGTTAGTGGCTTCAGGAATCACTAGCCCTCATGGCCTGGTCTTGGATTAGGCCTCAAAGTGGAATGGAAATATTAAACCCACATTATAATGCATTAATTGGAGGGAAAGGGACTGTATGAGTGACAGTTAAATATGAACAATGTTTAAAAAATAGCAGGAAAAGTACTTATGTACTTATGGTACTGTACACACAATGTGCAGAGGTTGGTGGACAAATTTGGGAAAGATCATAAAAAGAAATTAAAAATGAATACAAGAAAGAGCAAGGTGACAAGGACAACAAAATATTTAGGTAATGAAAGATTGGATATCAAACTGGAGGGAGGGAGTATGGAGGAAGTAAAAGTATTCAGATATTTGAGAGTGAACTTGTCAGCAGATGAGTCTATGAAAAATAAGGCAAATCACAGAACTGATGAGGAGACAAAAGGCGAGTGGTGCACTGAGGAGTCTATGGAGACAAAGAATGCTATCTAATGAAGAAAAGAAGGGAATGTATGAGTGTAGTGGTACCAATGCCCTTATATGGGTGTGAAGCATGGGTGGTGAATGTTGCAATAAGGAGAAGGCTGGAGGCAGTGGAGATGTTGTGTCTTAGGGCAATGTGTAGTGTGAATGTTATGCAGAGAATCTCTAGCTTGGAGATTAACCCTTTCAGGGTCTGTCCCATAGATCTACAGCTATGAAGCCAGGGTCCAAGCTGTAGATCTACGCCAAAATTCTAGCGGCTTCAAACATAAAGTGAGAAGGCTGGTAGGCCTACATCTAAGAGAATGGGTCTGCGTGGTCAATGTGCGCAGTAAACAAAAAATCAGCGCACCCGCATTGCACTGTGGGAACGCCATCTCAGTTCGCTTTGTCCATCATGCCTGGTGGCAAGGAAGCTCTCACTCACCAGTGAATTCTGACTCTCCTCTTCCCAAGTAATTGGGATTCTGCTGTTGACTCTCGCTCTGGCAGGTCATAGAAGCTCTCCTTACTTGCACAGTATCCCTACGATCCCCATTGGGGAGGGGAACCTCTACCATCTCCACGATGTCTCATCGTGTGAGAATTAAGCCCAAGTCTGTTGTCGTCGATGATGCCACGAAGCTTGAGCTTGCAGCTTCTCTCAACACTTGTATTCACGCAAAGTTCTCCAAGATCACGTCACTGAAAGAAGCTTTCATCGTCACTTTTCTCGATGATACTGAAGCTGACAAGGTGCTTACACCTACTGCCATGAAGACCTTAGAAGACCGAGGCTTTACCATCTCTACGTCACCATACATGCTTGCAAAACGTTCAGTGTTTATGAAACGTCTTGACAAGCTGATCACGAACATGATCATCCAGGAAATTACTACATCACTTGAAGACCTCAACACCTGGGCCAAGATTGACAATGTAGTGAAGATCCCCAACGCTTCCTCAATGCTCAAGGTCACATTCCTGGACATTACCATGGTGACCAGAGCACTGTCTGATGGCCTGGCCATCTTTTACTACTACATCAACCCTCGACAGATTGAACCTGAACGCTTCACGTACATAACACCTTGCTGGACATGTTACTCGTACAGTCACTCTACTGCCGACTGCCACGTGAAGAATAAGAAGATATGTTCCACCTGTGGGTCTGCAGGACACGATTTTCGTTCTTGCACTTCCACTGCTGCTCCCACTTGCATCAACTGAAGATATGTTCCACCTGTGGGTCTGCAGGACACGATTTTCGTTCTTGCACTTCCACTGCTGCTCCCACTTGCATCAACTGTAAGAGTGATCACCATACTCTTGCAGCCAAGTGTCAAGTGCGAAAGGATATCCTTTCTAAGAAACTAAAGGAAGAAACAAAGAAGTCATCTGGAACCTCTCTTACATACGCTGCAATTGCCAAGATTCAATCTACAACATCCAAGATTCTACAAGCTACTCAACAGTCGTCTCCAAGAATACTTCAAGCATCTACTCAGCCCGCCTCCACCGTCATCACTCCTCCAACATGTGACGTAACCAAGATTCACTACTGTTTATTATACGCTCACATGCAGAACATGGCTGTACCTGGATCATTTAACTCTACCATCAACGAGTTATTTGCATTAAATAACATGCCTTCATTTACATTTCCCACATCTCCACCTTCTGAAGAAATTCTCAAATTCACCAAAAACTTAATCGCCAACTCTTCTGCAGAAGTTCCATCAACACCACCAACTAGTGACGTCAATCCTACAACGACCAATGAGAAGCCTCCACCGCCACCACCTCTAACTGAATCCAACCAATCAGAAGCCTTACCACCAGAAACATCTAATTCGTCTACTGAAGTTGAAAACGAAGCAACACCACCTTCCTCTACTTCACCACCGCCTTCTCTACTTAGCTCACGTCGATTACCTGTAACACCATGCTTTAAACATAAAGGACTCATATTCTACACCACGAGGCTATACCCTGCAAGCATGACTCGCCTAGAACTCATCCAACATCTCCAAGACAACACTGTATCATACCAAAGCGAAGAAAGACCACTCCCTACCTACAACCAGATACTCCACCACCTCCAAACCAATGAAGACTACTACAGCTCTCCCATAAGTGTGATACAACTCTCTCGAAAACAATATACCGCACTGATAAACGGTTTAAGACCATAACCAACTCATCCTGCTTGCTGCCTTCTGACACTCCCAGCTCCTACCGCTGCCTTCGCCATCCTCTCCTAGTGAGCCAAGCAATGACATCAGTCAAGCCTCTCTATCTACGTCTCCAGTACTTTTGTACCACATGTCCCAAAGTGGTTGGGCCACTTGCCTTGATTCCTCCTCTTCCCCTCCTCCCCATCCTTTTCCAGTTATTTCCATCCTTCCTTATCCTTCTTCCTTCCCATCTTACGACAGCTCTCGTCGTCCTCGATCTGATCCGATCCGATCTTCCCAAGTTATAGTTCTAACACTGATGAAAGTGGATCTGAAGAGGAATTCTATGGTTTTGAACCACATGGTATAATGATACAAGGTACAATGGTACCACATGGTATAATAATACCACATGGTACATTATACCATATGGTACAGGGATGTAGCCAGTAGCCTACATGCTTAGCTCCCCCCCCCTGAGGGCAAGCCTGGAGGGCATGCCACTTCAGCCTGCCCACCCTTGCCTCTCTCTCTCACTTGGAATTCAGGCATCCTAGTATCTACAAGGCCTACTCCTCTCTCCCTCGCGGGCACGACCCCTCCAGGGCTAGGGCACTAACACATTGCCTGTGTACCCACGATATCGCAAATAAAGAAACCTCTGAAGCCTTATCATTCAACCCAGCTACCAATTAACCCACAAACAGGGACCCTAATGGAAATATGTCACTTTGTCTGACTTTTCTTGGTTATCCTAGGTTCTCCACACATATGCTGCTATGTATGATAATCTATGCAACTATCTGTATATCCCTGAATAAATTTACTTACAATGCCATATGCTAACTTACCTTAAAATATTTGTAGCCTTAATGTAGAGTGAGAGGTGAGCAGTATTTATTTGTAGGATGTCAGGTATGGTAGCCAGCCAGGATACCCCCACCCACACATAATATACTACGATATTTAAAGCTCCTCTAGGTAGTAGGTTGGTAGACAGCAACCGCCCAGGGAGGCATTACCGTCCTGCCAGGTGAGTGTAAAACTCAAGCCTGTAATTGTTTTACACGATGGTAGGATTGCTGGTGTCTTTTTTTTTTTTTTCTGTCTCATACACATGCAAGATTTCAGGTACGTCTTGCTACTTCTACTTACACTTAGGTCACACTACACATACATGTACAAGCATATATATACACACCCCTTTGGGTTTTCTTCTATTTTCTTTATAGCTCTTGTTCTTGTTTATTTCCTCTTACCTCCATGGGGAAGTGGAACAGAATTCTTCCTCTGTAAACCATGCATGTTGTAAGAGGCGACTAAAATGCCAGGAGCAAGGGGCTAGTAACCCCTTCTCCTGTATATATTACTAAATGTAAAAGGAGAAACTTTCGTTTTTCCTTTTGGGCCACCCCGCCTCGGTGAGATACAGCCAGTGTGTTGAAAGAAAGAAAGATTTAAAGCTCCTCTAGGTAGTAGGTTGGTAGACAGCAACCGCCCAGGGAGGTACTACCGTCCTGCCAAGTGAGTGTAAAACGAAAGCCTGTAATTGTTTTACATGATGGTAGGAATGCTGGTGTCCATTTTTCTGTCTCATAAACATGCAAGGTTTCAGGTACGTCTTGCTGCTTCTACTTACACTTAGGTCACACTACACATACATGTACAAGCATATATATACACACACCCCTCTGGGTTTTCTTCTATTTTCTTACTAGTTCTTGTTCTAGTTCATTTTGTCTTATCTCCATGGGTGAGTGGAACAAAATTCTTCCTCCATAAGCTTTGTGTGTTGTAAGAGGCAACTAAAATGCCAGGAGCAAGGGGCTAGTAACCCCTTCTCCTGTATAAATTACTAAATTTAAAAAGAGAAACTTTCGTTTTTCTTTTTGGGCCACCCTGCCTTGGTGGGATACGGCTGGTTTGTTGGAAAAAAAAAATTAAAGCTCCCTAGAGCAATAAAATGCATATACAGTACACTCATTACTTCTTCTTCTTTCAACAAACCGGCCGTATAACAGCGAGGCAGGGTGGCCCCCCCCCAAAAATGAAAGTTTCTCTTTTTAAATTTAGTAATTTATACAGGAGAAGGGGTTACTAGCCCCTTGCTCCTGGCATTTTAGTCACCTCTTACAACACGCATGGCTTACGGAGGAAGAATTCTGTTCCACTTCCCCATGGAGATAAGAGGAAATAAACAAGAACTAGAAAGAAATCAGAAGAAAACCCAGAGGTGTGTGTATATATATGCTTGTACATGTATGTGTAGTGTGACCTAAGTGTAAGTAGAAGTAGCAAGACGTACCTTAAATCTTGCATGTTTATGAGACAGAAAAAAGGACACCAGCAATCCTACCATCCTGTAAAAGAATTACAGGCTTTCGTTTGGCACTCACTTGGCAGGACGGTAGTAGTCCCCTGGGTGGTTGCTGTCTACCAACCTACTACCTATAACTTATTACTTACCTTAAAATATTTGTAATCTTAATGTAGGTTGAGAGGTGAGCAAACGAGGTAAAACGAATAAACGAGAGAGAGAGAGAATGAGTAAATGAGAGAGGAGAGAGAGATACAAAGTTGTGTAAACAGACGAACACGTCTGGTTTTGTCTCATATGTAACATCTCATATTTATGTTAATTTATTCTACTGCAGGGTGTATTTATCATGTTTATATGTTATGTAGCGTGTTCATTATATAATTTTGAAAAAATATAGATGGATTAATGAAAATGTTTATATTAACGTAATACACGACATTTAATGCACCTCAATGTGATTACTATTGCGTATTATTATTACTATAATTAATGTGGCGTCCTCAAGACTAATAAGACACACTTAGTGATTTTAATGTGTACCTGCACACCAGCACAGTAAGTTTATTTAGGTGCAAGTACATATACAGTGGACCCCCGCATAACGATATTAATCCGTTCCTGAGAGCTCATTGTTATGCGAAATTATCATTATGCGAATGAATTTTCCCCATAAGAAATAATGGAAATCAAATTAATCCGTCCAAGACACCCAAAAGTATGAAAAAAAAATTTTTACCACATGAAATATACATTTTCCTACACACAAACAGAAAGATGCATGCACAATAGTAGAGTAGCACATGCACAATATATATTGTGCATTTACTACTCTACTAAATGAAGAATAAATGACACTTACCTTTATTGAAGATGCAGCAATGACTGATGAGCACTGTGTCCTGGGAGTGCCTTTTCCTCCTGAGTACTGTAGGTCCTGTTTGGCATTTTCTTCCAGAACAGGCCTTATCACACTGTGTATGCCACTACGATTCTTAAATCTCTCAAACCAACCTTTGCTGGCTTTAAATTCACCAATATGAGCACTAGTTCCAGGTGTTTTTCCCTGTTCACCTGGGTGTTAGTCGACTGGTGTGGGTTGCATCCTGGGAGACAAGATTAAGGACCCCAATGGAAATAAGTTAGACAGTCTTCGATGACACTGACCTTTTTGGGTTATCCTGGGTGGCTAACCCTCTGGGGTTAATTGTTTCTTGGTATTCTCAATAAGCCACACCAACAACGGTGCTACAGCAGCAGCAGCAGCAGCTGACAGTGCTACAGCAGCAGCAGCAGCTGACAGTGCTACAGCAGCAGCAGACGATGCTACAGCAGCAGCAGACGGTACTACAGCAGCAGCAGACGGTACTACAGCAGCAGCAGACAGTACTACAGCAGCAGCAGCAGCAGCTGACGGTGGTACAGCAGCAGCAGCAGCAGCTGACAGTGCAACAGCAGCAGCTGACAGTGCTACAGCAGCAGCTGACAGTGTTACAGCAGCAGCTGACAGTGCTACAGCAGCAGCAGACGATGCTACAGCAGCAGCAGCAGACGGTACTACAGCAGCAGCAGCAGCAGCAGACGGTACTACAGCAGCAGCAGCAGCTGACGGTGGTACAGTAGCAGCAGCTGATGGTGGTACAGCAGCAGCAGCAGCTGATGGTGCTACAGCAGCAGCAGCAGCTAACAGTGCTACAGCAGCAGCAGCAGCTGACAGTGCAGCAGCAGCAGCAGCTGACAGTGCTACAGCAGCAGCAGATGGTACTACAGCAGCAGCAGCAGCAGACGGTACTACAGCAGCAGCAGCAGCAGCAGACAGTACTACAGCAGCAGCAGCAGCTGACGGTGGTACAGCAGCAGCAGCAGCTGACGGTGCTACAGCAGCAGCAGCAGCTGACAGTGCTACAGCAGCAGCAGCAGCTGACAGTGCAGCAGCAGCAGCTGACAGTGCTACAGCAGCAGCAGACGATGCTACAGCAGCAGCAGACAGTACTACAGCAGCAGCAGCAGCAGACGGTACTACAGCAGCAGCAGCAGCTGACGGTGGTACAGCAACAGCAGCAGCAGCAGCTGACGGTGGTACAGCAGCAGCAGCAGCTGACGGTGCTACAGCAGCAGCAGCAGCATCAGCAGTTGACCATGGTACCACAGTATTTCGATAATATTTCTCACCCTTTTTACCACAGGGTTGGCACTAGAAGCTTTCTTGGGGCCCATGGTCACTTATTTTGCAGATAAAATCACCAAAAACGCTGTAATAATAAGAAATGTTACGATTGTATGCTTGGATGTTACCACGGAGGCTGGCTTGTAAGCAATGCCACCGGCGGAACATGTGAGGCTGGCTCAGGCCGCACATTAGACGCGTCTCAGACGAATAGTGTTGAGCGGGTTTTTTAGCGGTATGCGAGGCAAAATCTTAGAGATAAAATGTATTGGTATGCAGATTTAACGTTATGTGATGCCAACGGTATGCGAGGGTCCACTGTAAATATAATTATCAGAGTACATGTATACGTATATAAAACATGAAATAACTTTAAAACATTTGAAATTTTGAAAAGTTTCCAGACACACCGTAATGGAGAGACACGGTGCTCACGGAGCTCACAGAAAATAAAATAAAAGATAAAGGTTAATTTCTTTGTAAAGGTTACAATGTGTTATTACAATTTTGGTTTGATAAGTATAAAGAAAGCCACTATCACGCCGGGGCATTTCGAGCAGACTAATCCTAATACATAGAAATTACTTAAAACTAGACAGACAATAGTGCATAGTAACTACTTAATTTTATTCAGTCTTAATACTAATGCAAGGTAGTCAAGGTGGAGGTTCTGAAGAAAAATAATCCTGAAGTTACACATAATAAAAACAATACAGTGGACCCCCCGCATAACGATCAGCTCCCAACTCGACCAATTATGTAAGTGTATTTTTGTAAGTGCTTTTGTAGGTGTATTTTTGGGGGTCTGAAACGGACTAATCTAATTCACAATATCTCTTATGGGAACAAATTCGGTCTATAATGGCACCCAAACAGACTTCTGGATTGAAATAATATCGTTATCCGGGGGTCCACTGTATTACAAATAATGGTTCAGACAGTAATATTTCATGGACTGACAGAAGTTTAAAAGTCTAGAAGTTACATAATATAACTAATTAGCTTTTGTTTTGGTTGAATTGGTTAATATTGAGAGATAAGATGATTTTTTAGCAAAGTCCTAAATTTATAAGTAGTCAAGGGATCCTTTACTGTTTCTGGTAGTAAGTTCAAGATCTTTGGGCCCTTTATATGCATAGTGTAAGACTGACAAGAGTGATGTTGAAGAGTGCCTTATACCTTGTATTGTGCATTCTGTTGTAACTGTCAAGGAGTAGTTTAAGTGGAGGGTTTATAGTGGAATTTATGGTTCTGTATATGTAGTAGGCACAATAATATGATTGTATGTCTTGTATATTTAGCAAGTTTAGGCTTTGAAAAGTGGTGGGGTGTGCTGTCTGGCATAGCCGCTGGTAATCATCTGCACAGCAACTTTTTGTTGGGTTATTAAAGGTTTAAGGTAGTTGATCCCCAGGCACAAATACCATAGGTGAGGTAAAGATATACTAAAGAATGGTGTAGGGTAAGGAGTGTCATTTGTGGTACAACAAACCAGGTGGGGCATGGTGACCATATTAGAAAGTCAGGTGGGGGGAGCCATACAGCGAGTTTTGGTCATAATTGAAAATGTCTGCATTAGTGGAATGCCGTAAGGCAAAATGCTGTAAAGCAAGGCTGTACTGTATATAAGCTAGCAATTAGTTATTGCCTTTTTAGTCTGAAGTTAGGCTTAAATTTGTCCAAAATGCTCTGCATAACAATGGGCTTTCTGCATGCACACCTCAATGTCACCCATTTTTGTACAAACATTGTATCATGCTGATTATGATTATGACTCTAGACTAAAATGCATCAAAATCATTATTTTAACCCACATACAGTGTCAGAGGTTAACTGTTCCTATCATGCACCACTTCAGGCAGGAACTTTTTTTTTTTTTTTTACTGCACACACTCACTACACAGACCCATTCAGTAAAAGATATTTGCAGAATATAACTACTAGTGTACCATTGGTTGTGGCATAGGCTGGAGGGACGGGTCACAAGGACGGTAAAATATGCCAAGAATTTCTAGCATCCGCTGCACTTGGTCTTCCTTAATGTTGAACTCTTTAGTGAGTTGTTCCACCCTCGCATTGATGTCCCAGGGACCTGTGGCTGATGTTCTGTTGCTGGTAGCACACACTGCCCCTTCCTGCCACAAACACAACAAAATCAATTTAAGTACAGTAATTTTAAATTATTTTTAAATTCATGGAAAGTGGTAAACTGTATGTGCTAAGAAGCACTACACAGTGGTAGGAAAAGCAGAGAGATGAAGGTGGAGAGGAAAGAGGCAGCATTTCACAGTAATGGGAGAAATAATTAAAACATGATATACTGACAAGGGAAATTAACCTCTCTCTAAAACAGATACATTATGCTTACCCACACCTCACAGAATAGCTCAGCTCCTGTAGCTGCAAACACACAATTACCAATAGGTAATTACATAGGAAATCTGTGCCTAGAGATCCACTTTGGCAGCCCACCTCAAATCAACCACCACCCAACAAAAGGCAGCCATCAGAGCATCACAAGCTATAAATATACCTAACACACACCTAAATGTGGTGTTCACAGGTGTGGGTGGTGAAATAAGTAATGGTGAATTAAGTAATGGTGAAATAAGTAAAGATGAATTCACTTAAATGACTTTTACTTTATATGTTTCTCAATATCAACAATAAATTCTGATTAGAATTGATTTTTTTAACACCAGCAGTCTCCTACTGAGGTAGGGTGACTTAACAAAGAAGAGACACTTTCACCATCATTCACTATCACTGTCTTGTCTGAGGCACACTGATACTATAGTTCAGGTGCCCCTCCAAATTACAGTATTCCCACTCCTCCCTCAGAATGCAGGCACTGTACTTCCCATTTCCAGAACTCAAGTCTGGCTAACCAGTTTTCCTGAATCCCTTCACAAAATGTTACCTTACAGACACTAACAGCTCATCAAATCCTAAAAGCTATTTGCCTCCAATCACTCCTATCTAACATGCTCACACACCCCTGCTGGATGTCCAAGCCTCTGGCACACAAAACCCTCTTTACCCTCTCCCATCAATCTTTCCTAGGGCAACCCCTATCCTGCCTTCCTTCCACTACAGATTTATACACCCTCCAAGTTATCATATTTTGTTCTATCCTCTCTAAATGTGCAAACCACCTTAACAACCCCTCCTCAGCCCTCTTCATAATGTTTTCAGTACCCCTGCACCTCATCCTAACTTCTAAGCTACGAATTCTCTGCATAATATTTACACCACACATTGATTTCAGATGTGACGTCTCCACTGCCTCCAGCCTTCTTGTTGAAATATATACACCACCCATGCTTCAAACCTAAGTGTGTTGGTACCACTATACTCTTATACATCCCCCTTTTTACCAGCATGAATAATGTTCAGTGTCTCCTCAGATGCCTCAATGCACTACCCACCTTTTTTTCTTCATTAATTCTATGGTTCACCTTGTCTTTCACAGACCATCCACTAACATGTCCACTCCCAAATATGTGAATACTATTTTTTTTTCCAACAAACCGGCAGTACCCCACCAAGGCAGGGTAATCTAAAAAGAAAAACTGAAGTTTTTCTTTTTGAATTTAGTAATTTGTACAGAAGAAAGGGTTACTAGCCCCTTGCTACCAACATTTTAGTCACCTCTTACAACAAGCATGGCTTACGGAGGAAGAATTCTTTTCCACTTCCCCATGGAAACTATTATTATATTTTAATATTTGTCATCACAGCATACAACATACCCAGGTATAACAGATGGACACTATTTGTAGAAGTGCACTTCTCTAGTGTTAAATATAAATATCATTCATACATACTACTGTTTACCTAAGATGTTTATAACACTACACTGTGCTGCAGATGCTGTCAAGGAAAACTAAGAGAACACAGGCATGCTACTAGAAGCAAACACTTCTCTTATGTCCCTCACGTTCATTTGAACAATATACAAAATTCTACACAACTTAAAGAACCAAAGATGTTGAATAACTTAAGTGAATTAAAGAAAATGTAACAATGAATTAAAATTAAAGTAAAAAAATACCAAGTGCCGAAATAGTTCTACAACCAAGAATTTTATATCAATAAGTAATTTCTGAGCATCTCTGCAAAAACAGTGATTATGTGTGAGTGAGGTGAAAGTGTTGAATGATAATGAATGTATTTTCTTTTTGGGGATTTTCTTTCTTTTTGGGTAACCCTGCCTCGGTGGGAGGCGGCCGACATGTTAAAAAAAAAAAAAAAATCAGTCTTATTGTGCTCATCTGTGATCCTGCTCTCCATCTTACCCATAATTCTTTTAATAATAAATTTACCATACACTACCAGGTATAGTATACTTAACAGGCTTATTCCCCTATAATTCTTACACTCTCTCTTTTATCCCCTTTACTTTATACAAAGGAACTATGCATACTTTCTGCCAATCCCTAGGTACCTTCCTCCCTTTCATACATTTATTAAATACATGTATATGCACCAACCATATAGTCGGACTTGAGTCCTGGAAATGGGAAGTACAATGCCTGCACTTTAAAGGAGGGGTTTGGGATATTGGCAGTTTGGAGGGATATGTTGTGTATCTTTATACGTATATGCTTCTAAACTGTTGTATTCTGAGCACCTCTGAAAAAACAGTGATTATGTGTGAGTGTGGTGAAAGTGTTGAATGATGATGAAAGCATTTTCTTTTTGGGGATTTTCTTTCTTTTTTGGGTCACCCTGCCTCGGTGGGAGACGGCCAACTTGTTGAAAAAAAAAAAAAAAAAATGCACCAACCATTCCAAAACTATATCCCCCTCATACTTATAACATTTCTGTCTTTATCCCATCAATTCCAGCTGCTTTACCCGTTTTCATTCTGCCCACCGCCTCTTACACCCCCCACCCATATTAATTAATTAATTATTACATATTTTTTTCAATGAACCAGGCATATCCCACTGAGGCAGGGTGACCTATAAAGAAAAACAAGAGTTTTTCCTTTTATATTTAGTAATTTCTACAGGAAAAGGGGTTACTAGCCTCTTGCTTCCGGCATTTTAGTCGCGTCTTATGACACGTATGACTCGCAGAGAAAGAGGAGATATTCCTGTAGAGCAGCATTTCTCACCAGGGTTCCCCGGAACCCTAGAGTTTCGTGAACTGTCGCTATGGGTTTCGAGAGAAATGGTGATAAATAGGCTAATCGTGTGTAAATGCATTTTTGAGTAATTTTTGTGTTTAATTTTTTTTTTTCAACAAACTGGCCGTATCTGTATTCGTAATTTTACCATACACATACGGCATATTCTTGAAAAATTCTTGGCTATTATAATAAAGTCTTCAACCTGTTATATCATTTAATGCTTTCATTTTCAGGACCCCTAATTCTAAACTCTCGCTCTGTGTCAAAAAATATTCAGAAAACAAAAAAAAATTATTTTTTCTTACCAAAATCTTAAGAATATTTTTGTGAGTGTTTTAAAACAAAAACAAAAAAATTGTGATCAGAACTTACCGAGATATAGAGGCATGAAATTGACAAAGTTAACCGCTTACGGTAACATCGATGACTGCCGCTCACTCTAATATTATTTTTTACTTTTATTGCATTTTTTCTTTTATTTTTTAATATTTTAAATTTTCAAGTAACTTTTGTGGCTTGTGAGACCAATATAATGTGTAATGTATATTTTTTTTTTTTTTTTAACAAGTCGGCCGTCTCCCACCGAGGCAGGGTGACCCAAAAAAGAAAGAAAATCCCCAAAAAGAAAATACTTTCATCATTCAACACTTTCACCACACTCACACATTATCACTGCTTTTGCAGAGGTGCTCAGAATACAACAGTTTAGAAGCATATACGTATAAAGATACACAACATATCCCTCCAAACTGCCAATATCCCAAACCCCTCCTTTATAGTGCAGGCATTGTACTTCCCATTTCCAGGACACAAGTCAGACTATATGAAAATAACCGGTTTCCCTGAATCCCTTCACTAAATATTACCCTGCTCACACTCCAACAGATCGTCAGGTCCCAAGTATCATTCGTCTCCATTCACTCCTATCTAACACGCTCATGCACGCTTGCTGGAAGTCCAAGCCCCTCGCCCACAAAACCTCCTTTACCCTCTCTTTCCAACCCTTTCGAGGACGACCCCTACCCCTCTTTCCTTCCCCTATAGATTTATATGCTTTCCATGTCATTCTACTTTGATCCAATCTCTCTAAATGACCAAACCACCTCAACAACCCCTCTTCTGCCCACTGACTAATGCTTTTATTAACTCCACACCTTCTCCTAATTTCCACACTCCGAATTTTCTGCATAATATTTACACCACACATTGCCCTTAGACAGGACATCTCCACTGCCTCCAACCGTCTCCTCGCTGCTGCATTTACCACCCAAGCTTCACATCCATATAAGAGTGTTGGTACTACTATACTTTCATACATTCCCTTCTTTGCCTCCATAGATAATGTATATATATCCACTAATTGTATGCAACACAATAACTGCACAAATATTATTATCAATACAATGTTAACAAAACCTGTTTACACAAACAAACAATAAAAAAAGGTGTTTTTTATTATTGTTCTATAATATACATACACATAAGTAGTCACTGGACACATTCCTAGAACTGCTACAGCTAGTGGAAGGTTGTTGTGTGTGTTTGGCCTTTGTTGTGGGTGCTGAGAGTGGCGTGGTTGGTGTCACAATGACGCATTACAAAATCGCCACCACCTATTACCCACACCATCTTCCCCAACAAACATGCTGTATTCCCCACCACCCACATGGAAATAAGTCACTGACTTATTTTGGGTTATCCTAGGTTGAGGGTCATCTGGGTCGTCTTTCCTTCCTACCTTCCTTACTTCTTCCTTCTTTCCTTCCTTTCTTTCTTTCTTCCTTCTGGTTTCCTGGGCATTTCTTTCGGTCACAAACTCCTCAAAACCATGAAATTCATATTTACTGATACTTCCATCTGTGTCAGAACTGTCACTTAGGAAAAGAAGAGTCCCAGTTTGCCGGGGAGTGAGTTACAGTGGACCCCCGCATAACAATCACCTCCGAATGCGACCAATTATGTAAGTGTATTTATGTAAGTGAGTTTGTACGTGTATGTTTGGGGGTTTGAAATGGACTAATCTACTTCACAATATTCCTTATGGGAACAAATTCGGTCAGTACTGGCACTTGAACATACTTCTGGAGTGAAAAAATATCGTTAACCGGGGGTCCACTGTATTTCTTACCGCATGGGAAACAAGGCATACTGAAATGGCATTCCCACAATGCACCACTGGCTCCACAATTTTTTTTTATATGCGCACACTGACCATGCAGACCCATTTTTTCACATGTAGGCCTACCAGCTTTCTCCCGCTAGAATTTTGGCATAGTATTACGGGACCAACACTGGCTCTCAAACCATAATATTATGGGACCGACAGTGAAAGGGTTAAAAATATAATAATCATGGGGAATATACTGAGAGATGTCTATACGGCACCAGTGAGAAAACAGTTTTAGTGGTCAATGGACAGGAGATGTACATGACAGATTCATGTACCATTAAGTGACTCACTTCAGTACAGGACACATACATGGTCTCCATCAGTCCTGTTTGTGCTTCCTGGTATGCAAGTACACTCCCTCATTCACCCACATTATTTAGTAAATGTTACCCTCCCTCATTCACCCACATTATTTAGTAAATGTTACCCATCATTTAGGGATGATATATGAATTTTAAAAATTTAAGTTGTAATTTTATAACTGGAGTGCAGGCGCACCTCTGGCAAAACAGTGATGGAGCGAATGATTGTGAAAGTTTCTTTTTCAGGCCACCCTGCCTTGGTGGGAAACAGTTGATATGTTAATAAAAAAAAACAATAAAAAAATTTTCATTGTCAATAAACTTGAGAAAAATTTAAGTTATTTCTTGTTTGCACCAGTTATCAGAAAAAAATATGTATTATATTTTCCTTATAACTTTAAGTTGACTTTTGTTTTACTTTTTGTGCCACCCTGCTTCAATGGGACACAGTTGGTTTGTTGAAACAACAACTACTTCAAGTTTATAAAAGAGTATAATAATTTTTATTTAGGGGTTGCCGAGACATTAAAATTATTTTAAAGGTTCCACAAGAGTAAAAGGTTGAGAAATGCTACCCTAGAGGGAGGTTCCTTGATACTGGTGAGGGGCTCTTGATTCAAGGAACTAGAACTGCTCTTTCCTTCTCGGATTTAACCTTAATGCCTCCAATTAACCCAAGGCACTGTATGACTCCTCCAGGTTTAGTGTTTTCCCATGAATAAGTTGGATAAATTTAGATTTAGAAAGGACATAGGTAAGTATTGGTTTTCTAACAGAGTTGTAGACGCGTGGAACAGTCTTCCCAGTGGGGTGATAGAGGCTAGGACCTTGGGTAGCTTTAAGAAGAGACTGGACAAATATATGAGTGGGAGGGGCTGGGTTTGATTGGTGTCATGGGGTACGGGAGTTATTTCTTGGGTAGCTTTAGGTAGAGGTCGTTTTGATAAGGACCTGCCTTGTATGGGCCAGTAGGCCTTCTGTAGTGTTCCTACATTCTTATGTTCTTATGTTTTTATGAATGTAATAATAATAATAAAAATAGACGAGACATTAGTTTGTTAATTATTTTCACACATACAGTATTATGTAAATGAATCTGACATTATTTTGTTAAAAGCAAGTTTGAATAGTGAATGAGTCACACAGCTCTTATTTGGCTTTGTCTTGAAATAGCATAAAATGACTTACCTGGCAGCCAGTACAAATAACACTAAGTTGGGAGACAGCTCCCTCACGGAGAGAAGCTTGCTCCTGAATCACAATGGCTCCCATGGAACCTGTACAACGATGCATCATTCTTATCATCTCACTGAGATTGGTCATATCCATTATTCGGTAGCCAACTGCTGGTATTACATCATCGACGACGCCTTCTGGTATGAGGGTTGCTGGTTCACAGTGCTCGGATGCCTTGAGCAGCTGACCCAGCAGGTTTTCCTTCTGAGATTCGTTCTGCATGGTGATTGACGGAGCAGGTATCTGACGAACAGACAACACACTCTCTGGAATTATGAAATTGTCACTTCCTTCGGTTTTTGGGAAGGGAATGAGTTTTGGCACTCTCTTTTTCTTCCTCCTGCTGCTCTTCTTGGTGTCATCAGTGAGCATATGTTGGTGGTGTTGGTTAGGAGTAGTGCCTCTACTTCTTCTGCTCCTCAGCACCAGAGTAGGCTTGCTCTCCTTTTTACTCACTTCTTCAGATAAACCTTTATTACTTTTGGTGATCTATATTATCAAAGTGTTGGTGATCAGTTACACCCGATATGATGGAAGCTGCCCTAATGACATCCGAATGTTCTGAACCCTGGTTCTGAACGCATTCCCGGTCCATTTTCTCAATTTTTGGATTACCAAGACTAGCAAGGGTAAGAGCAACTTCGCTGTCTGTGTCTGTGGAGGTGTGATATACTGCTGACATGGACAGTTGTGCCATATTTGCCACAGTTGTTACTGAACTGTCATAACAAGAGGCTGATATAAGACTAAACTCAGTGCCAATTGGCATCATATTAGAGGACTGATCCCCTACTTTTGTAAAGTTGTTAGTATCTCTGTTTTCAAGAACGATGTTAGGACTCACTCCATCACTTCCATTAATTTGCTCAATGACCATACCTTCAGAATTAGGTTCTTTCTTCTGAGGCTGGTGTAAGACATATAACGGATGAGACATATCATGAGATGGATGAGTGTAAACAGTCTCACTGACGGAGGCTTGTAGTAAGTCTACCCCCTCATTACTCTTCTCACCCATACCTTTGGACATGGGAACAGGCACTAGGGAATCAAAAGGCACAATGTTGCTGGCTGGGACTTCGTACACCATTATTGGTGCCGGGTGAAGAGGCTCGTAGTAATGCTGAGTGTCTAGGGGCAGAGTTCCGCTACCATTGGTAATGCCACCAAGCTGTAGACCTTGAGGGTTGTGTGTTTCATGAGCAGCTTGCTGGCTGGGAAAACTATGCAACTTTACTGTCTTGTTTGCATTAAGAACTTCTGATGCATCTTCTAGCAGATTGGTCTGAGGAGAAAAATCTTTTGTAGATAAAACAACATTAATATAAAAACATAGGCAAAGAGTATAACACAGATTGTTTAAGAAGTACAGGAGATGGAAGCATGGTTCATGCAACTGCAATGCCATAACTGTACTGACTTAACTACTGAGTGATCAGTCAAGGACTTGCAGTTGCAGGGATGTGGATCAGTCCCCAGTACTCCTTACACAATCTGACTAAATCTGAATTTACAGTATTTATGTGAAGTAATAAGCCATCATTGAGAGCAAGGAAGGATAATGGCTCGGTCTTTTGCCTGATGATCAGAAGACACAGACAGACACACACACACACAGGTGGGGCCAGGAGCTGTGACTCGACCCCTGCAACCACAACTAGGTGAGTACAGACACATATACACGCACACATATACAACAGGCTTAGTGTCTAATCGACATGTGCCTAGGACAAAATGGTAACTAACACACACACACAAAAGGATGAAGGATTCAGAATTAGTGCATTAGTGCATGGGATGGTACAGTAAAAGTTGCACTTCTAGGGTCTTGGAACCATTCACCATAAAACTATGTAGTATTTTGGAATTTGAGTTACACTGGCTTTGAGATACATCTTCTAGACTACATTAAAGTTATAACTCAAAGAACCACTGTACTTGTATATAAAGCCAATAGAAAAAAAACTAGTTTCAAAAGTTACCTGATGAGTAATGACCTGTACATCTTGATTCTGATCCATGTCTGTGATCTCGCCATCCATTGTCAGATTATCTTCATTATTTACAGCAAGAGGGTCAGAAACCTGAGAGTAATCACTGCTGACTTGTTGCATGTCGTTGTCCGTCAGCCTCAACTCTTCCCCGTCAACCGATATACCGTTGTTAACTTGGTGGAGCTGTCCGCCAACCTGGCGTATGTCTTGGGCAGCTTGGTGTAAGCCTTCTTGAACTGGCTGTATCTCGTCGTTTATTGAGTGTATACCTGCATCCACTGGTCGAAGGCCAAGCCCCGAGGAGAGTTCATGCTTCCGGGAAGATGTGGGGCGAAGTTCTGGTGATAAAGATCCACTTGTGACATTGGGGATCGCCTGATGATCCATTCTGAAATCAGAGCAATTATTGGCATATTTTTCATTGCATAATTTAAAGTTTTTAAAAATACAGTACGTATATGTATATACTTCAGGTGATAGTGTTAAAAAAAAAGTTACAAGACTTCCTAATAAGAAAGTGAACAGTCTGTGTGTGTGTGTGTGTGTGTGTGAGTGAGAGAGAGAGAGAGAGAGAGAGAGAGAGAGAGAGAGAGAGAGAGAGAGAGAGAGAGAGAGAGAGAGAGAGAGAGAGAGAGAGAGAGAGAGAGAGAGAGAGGGGGGGGGGGGTGAAGACGTGTCACCGTGTGCTCCACAAACTTTCTTAATATTACTTAACTACGAGGGTTGGTAAGTAAGTAAATTTATTCAGGTATACACAAATACAGTTACACAGAATTATCATACATAGCAGCATATGTGTAGAGAACCTAGGATAACCCAAAAAAGTCAGACAGAGTGACTTATTTCCATTGGGGTCCTTTTACCTTATTATTATTATTATAATATAAAGGTTATAATATTTTCTTATTATTCTACAATGAAGATAACATCTTATTATCATACTAAAAAGACTATCTACAATACGAGGGTCATTACTAGGGATAAGGTAAAATTTACACGTATTTTAGCTAAAAAATAGAAAATCATCCCCCTCCCTTTCTGTAGCTTCATTCATCATTCATTCTTCATTCAACTGTTCAGTGACGAAGAACTACCTACAACACATTAGTACAAGTAAGCCAACTCCTCCACTGAAGTGAATACAAGCAATATCAGTGATATTTAAGTGTGGTATGGTGAAGACATAGTGTGTGTGAGGGGACAGTGGCAGGCCTTAGGAGTGACGTTACTACTGCCTTCAGAGTGAGCATCTAATATTATATATGTTTGTGCTATGTACTAGCATCTGGTGCTTTATAACAACGTGACTGGTACAATGCAACATAGTGATTTGTGTAACATCTTCCTTTAGTGGAAAAGTGGACAGCATAAACAGTGTTTATTAAGTGATAGTGAGAAGGCAACACTTCCAGCTGGCCGGCCCACTGCTGCCCTCACTACCCACCCCGCCATAAACACCCCCACCCACCATACCACCACCCCACCCACGATACAACCACCCCAACCCACGACACACCACCACCCACCCTCTCTCTCTCTCCTGTGAACTTTATTTATTTATTTATTTATTTAAAAATTTGAGCACACATACAGAGGTACAACAAATACAGGTAAGAGCAGTATGCCAAAGCCACTTATACTATGCATAGCATTACGGGCTGGCTTAAAATTAACTTAAGATTAACTAAGCAATGATGAAATCAGTGATTAATATTTATTTATTTAATTTGAGACACATACGAGGTACAAAAAAATCACATGATATACAAAGACAGTCCAACCCACTTATAGCTATGCATAGCATTAGGCTGCTTAAAATTACTTAAGATACAAGCAATGATGAAATCAGTGAAAACAATTATATGTTATATAAAGCACAAGTGAGTATTACAAATACAGTCATATGGTTTGTATGCATTGTTGTACATTCAGTAGAATGGAGTATTCTGTTAGGTAGATGTATTTAAAATATAAAGTTATATTGGTTTTAGGTTTTAACATTTATTGATATATTGTGAGAAACTTTAAGAATACAATTTTAAGGTTCAGTTATTCAGTATTTTTTGTTTTGGGTGAGTAAGTGATCTTTGAGAAGAGACTTGAATTTATAAACAGGTAGTGTTTCTTTATATTTACAGGTAATGAATTCCAGATTTTAGGGCCTTTTATGTGCATTGAGTTTTTACATAGTGTGAGATGGACACGAGGAACATCAAAGAGTAATCTGTGCCTTGTGTTATGGTCATGTGTTCTGTTGAGGTTGGCAAGGAGATGTTTGAGGGGAGGGTTAAATCAATTTAATGTTCTATGTATGTAATGGTGCAGAAATAGGATTTTTGTAGGGTGAGGGGGTTTAGTGTATTGATATTGGGGGGGGTTGCGCCAATAGTGAAATTTTTACTTTCTAACTGAAAGCCTTTTTTTGGGGAAATTTTAGCCCCTCGGGGATGACTTCACCCGCAAAATGAAAGAATATTACCATCTGGCTATTGTCCCTTTTTTACTCATGTTTGTGGGTAACCAAAAGGGGGAAAAAATTCTTCTTAGATTAAAAGGGCCTATTTGTTCCAACTACTGCCACAAGATTGCTTTCCAAAGAAGAATTTTTTGCACCAGTTAAAAAATCCAAAAAATTTTAAAGGAATCCTTTAATCCTGTGGTATATGGGGATACAAGCGGGGAGAAGGGGGGAAGGCAAACCCCTACCTCACTCCTTCCAAAGATCAAGACGGCCCTTTGGCGTGTTGTAAAAGTTGCACAAAGAAAATCCATCAGGGGGGAAACCTTCTGAGCTCCTAAAATCATTAGATAACCACAACTTTTGTAAAGGCCATGAAAGCCGCATCAATGACTAGTGCTCACTGAGGACACAATTGAAAACTGGAACCCACACTGAGTTTACTCGGGGGAAATAACTGGGGGGAATTCTGTCATCGCTAAGGTCCCACAGACGACAGAGTTCAAAAATATTTTGGGAATTCAAACCCAAAATTCCCCTCTGACCACCACAGAGGAACAATCCTCTTCCCAGCAACGAGGGAACCCTTGGATCTTTAATTCCCCCCCCGACACTCTGCTTCCCACTCCAGTCACTTGACAGTCACATACCCCCTTGATCCTACACCTGTCAGCAAAACCTCCGACACATTCCAAATCTGGTATATGCTTCGTCGAAATTTTCTGAGCCGGAGTTTCTCCACCCAAGATGGGTACAGTTAATAACAGGGAACCCTTTTCTTTGCCCCTATCACCTACTCGCCAAAGTACGAACAGCAGGACACATCTGTCAAACGGAGGGGAGGGGGCAGAGGACGTGGAGGGGGACGGGAGGGGAAGCATCACACCCACTCACCCTCCACTAACCATTCCAGGGGGGAAATCTGAACAAATCTCAAAACCGGAGGTGCAACAAATCCTAGCCCCCCCCCCAGGAACCTGGGCTGTGCCCCCCTGTCACCGAAGGGGCACACTCCCAACAACGCCTCGAGATACCAGGTGAAATTTACTGCAAAAAGAAAGGAATAAGGGCCCATTCAGAAGAAAAAGGAAACGACAGACGGGGCCACCTTTTTTAGAGCCCTGTTCTCAGAACAAACCAGGGGACTCGAATTGGTGAACACCTCACACCACTCACTTAGTACCCTATCCCGCCCCGCAGGGGGGATTGGTGCCTTATACAACACCACAGACCACAGACCCCAATGGAAATAAGTAAAGGACCCCAATGGAAATATCACTCTGTCTGACTTTTTTGGGGGTTTTCCAGGTTCCTACACAATGGCTTATGATAATTCTATTAAAATGTATTTTTGTTTAAAACCCGAATAAACTTACTTACTTACTTTCTTACTTACATAACCCCTTTCAGCTGCCCGTACCCTACCTCTCTCAAGGCAGGCCCCTTACATTCCCAACACCCCCCACCTCAAGCTGACCACTTCATCTGAGGGGCCATCTATCAGCACCTGTCGGGCCCAAAATTAAAGGGGTTTTATCCAATTTTGGGGAGCTCACCATGTTTTGTGAAAACCGACGCCCGACATGAAGCTGTTGTTAAACATTTTTGGATACGGACCCCAGAAATTTTTCAAGAATTGCTGGCTACACCTCTGGGGAAAAAGAGACAGGCAGGGGAAGGGGGGAGGGTTTTCTGTGTCTTCTCAAAAGTGTTCACGCCCAGCACATTTATGTTGCCACCCCTACACATCTTTAAATATTTTCTTCAACCGATAAACACAGTACCTCGTACTAGCAGTGCAATTACAGACCCCGTGGCAACATGCAGACCCCATCAACTTCCAATGGAAAAAATTGACTCCCCTTTGCTACAGCCAAATGTCAACATATTATAAGTTGGGGACCCCAACCAGCACCTTTTACAGAGGGACTTTGATGACCTTCTTGCAGTGTTTGAAAGAGAAACTTTGTTTATTTCCTACTCATACTCTGGCCCTCCCCTTACCCATAGTGAGGATTTGGGAGAAGGCATAGTCACTTGTCAACCCCCGCTACTTGGATCGTCTGACCATTAGGCTGTTTTTTTCACACTTAAATCCCAACAGAACAGGTAGGGGTCCACACACAAACCTGGCTAGGGAAAGAGGAATTGGCCCCCCTTTGCTCGAGCTCGCCACCACCCGATTGGGAAAGCTCTTCTCCCAAGGGGGTGTTGACAACCCCAAGTGAAAGCCTTCATGGAACCATCCTTAACTACAACAAGAACCATTCCTCACCGGCAAAATGACGAAACCTTTCAGATCAGCCTTGGGTTTTTCTTTTCATTGTAGAAGGCTGCTCGCTAATACAAAAAATGGCGAAGGTTTTGACACCACCACCATAACAGGGCTGCCAGGCAAGCCGTGGGGAATGGTATGTTCAAAATTGGGCCTTGAAATGGGAGGGGGACAACTAAAAAAAATTCATCAGGGAGGGGAGGCTCCAAAACCTGGGGTCCCCGGTCAAGGGAAAAAGGTTATCTGCCGATGAACTTATTCCCCCCTAAATCGAAATGGGGCAACCTCTACAGTAGTCAAGAGAAGGGGGACCTCTTTGCTGAACACTTTGCACCAAAATGCAATTCCTGATCCAACAAGGGTCCCTCCTTTCTGCGCAAAACCGTGTCAAAACTGCAGTGGGCAAAAGGGAGGGGGAGGTGCATTTCCTTCTTAAATCGCTGGGCCAAGAAAAGGCTGTGGGCCCAGACAAGTTGGCCCAAGATTGTTGAGAAGATGTGCAGACCCCTAGCAGCACCTCTAACCGCATCTTTCGCCTGCCTAGACAGTGTAAATGGCCCTCTCTATGGAAAAGAGGCAAAAAGTAGTCCCGTTCACAAAAAAAAGAGCAGAGCAGAAATCAGCAAATACAGACCAGTGTCATTTTTTGTCAATCACTGGTAAGATCCTTGAGACAATAATCTCAAGACAAATGACAGAGTTTTTTGACTACCACTCACTACTTTGTGATCGTCAATATGGCTTCAGGAAAGGTTACTCTGCTGCTGATCTGTTGTTAAACCTCTCCACTAAGTGGCACCAGTCACTGGATGAATCCAAAGTCAGCTGTGTGGTAGCACTGGACATTGCTGGCGCTTTCGACCGGTGTGTGGCCCCAGGGCCTCTTAGCAAAACTTCAAGCACTGGGAATTGCAGGCTCTACGCTATGTCTCCTCAGTGATTACCTTCAGGGTAGATCTCTAAGTGTAGTTCTCAATGGAACGGAATCAGCAAGACATCCTATTGGGGCAAGTGTTCCACAAGGAAGCGTGCTGGGTCCATTGTTATGGAATGTCTACTTCAACGACCTTCATCTCATCCCAGAATCACATGCATATGCAGACGACTGTACACTGACATTCACTTATCCAAGAGAAGAAATGCCACTGCTCTAAGCTACATCAATCACCACTGAGAGCTGTATCAGCTTGGGGAAATAGATGCAAGTAACATTTGCACCTGAGAAAAACGCAAATGATGATCGTCTCTAGGCACCATGAGGGTAATGCGGGGGCAGTAGTAAGGATGAATGGAAGGGTGTTGGCACCTGGAGAAGAAGTTGATATCCTTGGGGTGAAATTTGACTTCCAAACTAACCATGAAGAACCATTTTTGTAAATCTTGCAAACAAGGCAGCCAGGAAGCTTACAGCACTTTGCCGTATCTCGCATGCTTGACAGTAGGGGTTGCAAGATCCTGTACGAGGCACAAGTACGCTCACACACCTTGAGTATGCCCACTTTCTTGGTTTGCCTGCCCCCCCCTCTCATCTGCGACTGCTTGACAGAGTAGAAACAGAGCAAGACGTCTCACTCTCGCCTGGACACATCCTGGATAGATCTGTCATTTCAGCAGAGCCTTTAACATAGGAGGGATGTGGGTGGCCTTACTGTTATGTACAAGGCCAATAATTTTCAAAATACCAAAACTTGGATCCACTTCGAGGACAGCGTGAAACAAGCTTTTATGCCACAAGACGGGCAGAAAGCAGCAACTTCACTCTGGCTGTACCCTTCTCCAGAACATCACTCCATCCGAGATCATACATACCCCAGGATGACCGAGTATGGGGAAAACATTTGTACAGCATAATGATGTCAACGAGATAAAGTCAGTTTATCAAATGAAAATGCTGGCCCACAGATGGCTCCAACTTCATCCTGTTCCCTATTGTATGTCTCATAACAATAAAAATGCTTTCAAATGAGCTGATGTAGGTAACAGCCTTAGCTTGCCAATAAAGTTAGAATCCTTAACCTGTAAATAGCTTTTTCAATAAAGTTAGGGATCCTTAACCTGTCAAACCCTGTGTTGTTAAACCCTCCACTAAGGGCACCAGTCACTGGATGAATCCAAAGTCACTGTGTGGTAGCACTGGGCATTGCCTGGCGGCTTTCGACCGGGTGTGGCAAACCCGGGCCTCTTAGCAAAACTTCAAGCACTGGGAAATTTCAGGCTCTACGCTATGTCTCCTCAGTGATTACCTTCATGGTAGATCTCTAAGTGTAGTTCTCAATGGAACGGAATCAGCAAGGCAAACCTATTGGGGCAAGCGTTCCACAAGGAAGTGTGCTGGGTCCACTGTTATGGAATGTCTACTTCAACGACCTTCTCATCTCATCCCAGAAAACACATGCATATGCAGACGACTGTACACTGACATTCACTTATCCAAGAGAAGAAATGCCAGCTGCTCTAAGCTACATCAATCACCAGCTGAGAGCTATATCAGCTTGGGGAAATAGATGGCAAGTAACATTTCAACCTGAGAAAACGCAAATGATGATCGTCTCTAGGCACCATGATGGTAATGCTGGTGCAGTAGTAAGGATGAATGGGACGATGTTGGCACCTGGAGAAGAAGTTGATATCCTTGGGTGAAATTTGACTCCAAACTAACCATGAAGAACCATGTTGTAAATCTTGCAAACAAGGCAGCAGAAGCTTACAGCACTTCGCCGTATCTCGCATCTGCTTGACAGTAGGGTTGCAAGATCCTGTACAAGGCACAAGTACGCTCACACCTTGAGTATGCTCCACTTTCTTGGTTTGCCTGCCCCCCCTCTCATCTGCGACTGCTTGACAGAGTAGAGAACAGAGCAAGACGTCTCATCTCTCGCCTGGACCCATCCTGGATAGATCTGTCATTTCAGCAGAGCCTTCAACATAGGAGGGATGTGGGTGGCCTTACTGTTATGTACAAGGCCAATATTGTCAAAATACCACACTTGGATCCACTTCGAGGACAGCGTGAAACAAGCTTTTATGCCACAAGACGGGCAGAAAGCAGCAATTTCACTCTGGCTGTACCCTTCTCCAGAACATCACTCCATCTGAGATCATACATACCCAGGATGACTCGAGTATGGAACACATTCGTACAGCATAATGATGTCAACGAGATAACGTCAGTTGATCAAATGAAAAATGCTGGCCCACAGATGGCTCCAACTTCATCCTGTTCCCTACTTGTATGTCTCATAACAATAAAAATGCTTTCAAATGAGCTGATGTAGGTAACAGCTCTTAGCTTGCCAATAAAGTTAGGAATCCTTAACCTGTAAATAGCTGTCAATAAAGCTAGGGATCCTTAACCTTGTCAAACCCTGTGTAAAAAAAAAAAAAAAAAAAAAAAAAAAAAAAAAAAAAAAGAGAGAGAGAGTAGAGAGAGAGAGTAGAGAGAGAGAGTAGAGAGAGAGAGAGAGAGGAGAGAGAGAGGAGAGAGAGAGAAGAGAGAGGAGAGAGAGAGAGGAGAGAGAGAGGAGAGAGGTAGGTAGGTAGATTAAAGTGGAAAAATTAATGTTATTAAAAGACGAGGTAACTAATGTGCCTGTTAAGTTGACCCAAAATGGTCTACATATATAGAGGCTTTCAGCATGTATACCTGATGTCATTCATTCTATTTTATACAATCACTATCATGCTGAAATAAAATATAATTATTTGTTTGTTTCACATACGTGTAAATTACCCAGGATAACCCCCAAAAAAGTCCTATTTCCACTGTGGTTTAGACAATGCGTCACTTTTGAACACAATTCCAACACTTAATACTTACCTACAAGGTAGAAGCCTAGAGCCATCATAGTGAGGGTAAGAACTAGAGGATATAAGAGCAGTAAAGTATAATAATAATATGAGTGATGTGAGTGAGTGTGTCGTCGGCCATGACAATGTAAACACTGACCTGAGAGACCAGCTGTGACGAGAGTGATTCTTATCAATCACGTTTTTACACTTCAAGATGAAGATAATCTCTATTAAGATTATTGTGCGTCTGAAACTTACCCATAAACTGTCTATACAGCTCACGCTGATGCCGGATAATAGTGTCCTATTTTATTTTGCAGAAAATTTGGAGTTTGGGTGGACACGGTGCAGGACGAGAAAACTCTGCTGACATATATATATTGTCAACATCTTATTTTCATGTAATACAAAAACACATGTAATAAAACCTTAAAAAATATCATCAAAAATATATATTGAATTGAAAAAAGCAGAAAAATCATAAGAAAATTATATAATTGAGCATAACACCTGTTGAAATATTTTTTTTGAAGGCTACGAGTGTATATTTTTTTATTTAAAATAGAAACACTACATTGAGGAACTACCCTAAGTGATATAAAAGTTTCTTATCATTCTCTATGACATTATGGTTTACTATCATACTCCATCACACAGGATAGTCTTTTATCATACTCCATCACACAGGATAGTCTTATTATACTCCATCACACAGGATAGTCTTCTATCATACTCCATCACACAGGATAGTCTTTTATCATACTCCATCACACAGGATAGTCTTTTATTATACTCCATCACACAGGATAGTCTTTTATTATACTCCATCACACAGGATAGTCTTCTATCATAGTCCATCACACAGGATAGTCTTCTATTATAGTCCATCACACAGGATAGTCTTCTATCATAGTCCATCACACAGAATAGTCTTCTATCATATTCCATCACACAGGATAGTCTTCTATCATACTCCATTACACAGGATAGTCTTCTATCATAGTCCATCACACAGGATAGTCTTCTATCATAGTCCATCACACAGGATAGTCTTCTATCATACTCCATCATACATAATAGTCTTCTATCATACTCCATCACACAGGATAGTCTTCTATCATACTCCGTGGCCAGTTAGTGCTGGGCTCTGTACAGTTCGCCCTGGCACGGGTCATCGCAGCAGACATGATCTCAGTACACCATCATCATGCACAGAAATGAACAGGAGCCACAGACGGGTATCAGCCATGGGTAAATAAGTTTTTTCATGTATACACAAATACAGTTACATAGATTATCATACATACCAGCATATGTGTAAATAACATAGGATAACCCCCAAAAAAGTCAGAGTGACTTATTTCCATTGGGGTCCTTTGGGAATTGCATCTGTATAACAATTATGCAGGAGAGGGAATAAATCACTCTGGCTGACTTTTTGGGTTTATCCTAGATAATCTACACATATGTAACTGTATTTATGTGTACCTGTACATGAATAAAAACTTACTTAACATACCGAGTGATGGAAGAGCCGAGGAGACCGGACACTAGAGTGTACATCATTGCATATGAATCTTCCTCACCTGCACAATGACAGCTCCTGCACAACCTTCCTTGACCTTAAATCTGCTTTTGATATGCCAACCAACATGTAATCATTAGTAAACTTGCCAGAATGGGCTAAAAAGATGGCTTCTCTTCTGAATTAAAGGCTACCTGTGTAACAGTCTTGTGTGTTGTTGCAGAGGCATAGAAGTGTAACTAAATACTTTGAATTAGGAACTCCACAAGGTGGTGTGCTCAGTCCCATCTTATCCAGTATTCTAATAAATGCCTTACTTAATGTTATGCCTAGCCAGCCTTATCATTATACGATTCGCTTTCCTAATGATATAATGATTCACACCACCGGATTCTCCAACTCCCAAAAACATCCTGAACCATGTACTAACTTCGTGTCAGGACCTGGGGTTGATAATCTCTACGTCCTCCTCGACAGAGGCGCAGTTCGCCATATCTGGGTTCGATTTCCGGTGAGGGTTGAAATATTGGGCGTGTTCCCTTACACTGGTTGTTTGTGTTCACCCATCAGTATGAAATGGGTACCTGGGTGCTAGTCGACTGGTGTGGGTCGCATCCCGCGACAAAACTAACCTAATTTACCCGAAATGCTCTGCAAATAAAGGGCTTTCTAAATAGTAGTATGTCATTTATGTAAGCTAAGCCTTTATATCTTGTACATGTACTTGTAGTATATAAAGATATTATATTATATTATATTATTGTAATCTACCCCATCTTTGAAGGAGTATAACTTAGCCAATTCATCAGTTCTCTCATGCATCTGAAAACCAGTGTGAGATGGAATCCATAGCATGTTCATTCTGACTCTACTGTCTACAATCTTACCATACCTGTGTCTGGCTTCTGACACAAGCATGCCACAATTTATATTTAATGAGCTGAAAGCATTTATGGATGATAGAGAATCAGTTACGATTAGTGTCAACATTAGATACATGATTATATACACTTGGAAAATCCTAGAGGGATTAGTACCAAACTTGCACACGAAAATTACTCCATATGAAAGCAAAAGACTCGGCAGACGAGGCAACATCCCCCCAATGAAAAGCAGGGGCGCCACGAGCACGATAAGAGACAACACAATAAGCGTCAGGGGCCCAAGACTATTCAACTGCCTCCCAGCATACAGAAAGATGATTACCAATATTACCTTTGTAACTTGTGAGTTCATTACCTTTGTACCTTGTTCAGCTATCAAAACTTTGGGGCCCAGTCCCTGGATCCATTATGTACCTCTGCAATCCGTAAATACTTTTGTAACTTGTCATGATTGTGACCATATCTACCTGGAGTTCATTACCTTTTTAACTCGCTCAACTATGAAAACTTTGGGGCCTAGTCCCTGGACCCATTTTGTACCTCTGTAATCCATTGACTACCGCCCACAGGATGGGTATGGGGTGCATAATAAACATATTAAACTAAAAAAAAAAATCAATAGACCCCCCTGGCTGTCTTCAAGAAGGCGCTGGACAGGCACCTAAAGTCAGTACCTGACAGCCGGGTTGTGGTTCATACGTTGGGTTGCGTGCGGCTAACAGTAACAGGCCTGATTGATCATAATGCCTGTTGATCATGATGCCTGGTCACAGACCGGGCCGGGGGGTGTTGATCCCCGAAACCCTCTCTAGGTATCTTCAGTGAAATATCTGGAAATTCCCTTTGACCCAAGAATGTTATGAGAACTGAGAGTTAACAATGTAGTAAAACAAAAAAACAGCGAACTTAAGGCTAAAGATAAGATAAGATTTTCTTCGGATTTTTGACCCCGGAGGGTTAGCCACCCAGGATAATCCAAGAAAGTCAGTGCGTCATCGAGGACTGTCTTATTTCCATTGTGGTCCTCAATCTTGTCCCCCAGGATGCGACCCACACCAGTCGACTAACACCCAGGTACCTACTTGCTGCTAGGTGAAGAGGATAACAGGTGTAAGGAAACATGTCAAAATGTTACCACCCCGCCGGGAATCCAACCCGGGCCCTCCGTGTGTGAAGCGAGAGTTTTAGCCACCAGACCACCAAGCTGGTGTACAGATAGGCAGTGTGTATCTACTGAGGCTCTCAGGACTAGTCTTGCTCTTAAACAATGTCTTATAGATTATTATTGTTCTTCGTGGTACTCTGCTTTAACAAAAAAAAAATGAATGGCGGTCTACAAATCACCCAGAGCAAAATGGTGAGATTCATCCTAGTTCGGGGCCCAAGAGAGCATGTAGGTCAGGCTGAATTACAACAACTGAATGTTGAAGACAGAGTAAAGCAACTAAAGTTAATTCACATTTATAAAACTGCTGACAAGCAGTGCCCAGAATATCTTGCTGTCAAGTTTGTCAGGATTAGGAACCAAAACCAGTATGGCCCGGTGGCCTGGTGGCTAAAGCTCCCGCTTCACACACGGAGGGCCCGGGTTCGATTCCCGGCGGGTGGAAACATTCGACACGTTTCCTTACACCTGTTGTCCTGTTCACCTAGCAGCAAATAGGTACCTGGGTGTTAGTCGACTGGTGTGGGTCGCATCCTGGGGGACAAGATTAAGGACCCCAATGGAAATAAGTTAGACAGTCCTCGATGACGCACTGACTTTCTTGGGTTATCCTGGGTGGCTAACCCTCCGGGGTTAAAAATCCGAACGAAACCTTATCTTAACACAGGTTTGTAGTACTTACAGTAGGTGGTCAGACCTCAAACAATGCTTACCATCTGACTCCTCTCACTGTATATACTTGTCCTTAGTTGTCTGTATTATGTCTGAAGAAGCCACTCGTGGCGAAGCGCTTCCTCTAAATAAATATCATGAACTGTATATAAGTGTCTTTTGAATAAGACAAGATTTGTTGGGATTTTTAACCCGGGGAGGGTCAGCCACAAAGAGAACCCAACAAAATCAGCGCGTCATCAGGGACTGTCTGTCTTGGTTACATTAAGGTCCTTCAGGCTTGTCCACCAAGATACGACGCACACCAGTTGACCCAGGTACCTACTTAACGCTAGGTGAACAGGTGTCCCGTAGCTTCAGTGTGTGAGCTTAATGCGCTAGTTAGGTTCTCTTCACATATGCTGCTATGTATGATAATCCCCGGTACGGGTGGAAATATTAGGACGTGTTTCCTTAAGGCACCTACTGTCCATGTTCACCTATCAGTAAAATAGGTACCTGTAATGATTTTTCACGCAGTTGAGTTACTTAGATGTTTTAACATTTAAGGTTATAATCATGAGTGATTTCTGCTGTAACTTACAGCTAGGCTTTAAATAATAAAATATTACAAGGATCCCTATGGAAGTAATCACTTTGTCTGACTTTTTTATGGGTTTCCTAGGTGATTTGCACATATGTTATTATGTATGATAGTTGTAGTCACCCAGATCTATATAACTGTACTTATGTGTACGTGTACTTAGGGTTATCCTGGGTTATACTCGGTTAAATAACAAAAAGTCACAATACCATGACTGGAACAATACACACATAACCCCTGGCATAGGAGAGAGGAGCTTACGACGACGTTTCGGTCCGACTTGGACCATTTACAAAATTTACAAGTGACTTTGTAAATGGTCCAGGTAGGACAGAAACGTCGTCGTCAGCTCCTCTTTCATGTGTGCGAGTTATGTGTGTATTATCCCCGATTATTCCTGGTTACTAACACTCTTTGTTCAATAAAATAAGTAATTTTGACTTTTTGTGGTTTATCCTAGATAACTTACACATACATTATCATGTAAAACAATTGCGACCATGCAAGGACTGTGTAATTATATCTAAATAAACTTTTTTTTTACTTCACTATTCTATGGTGAAAATTATTTAAAAAAAATGCAAGAGTTATCCTCCTTAATATAATTTATCGTTTTCTTTGGTTTTCAACCATATTGTTAACATCTCAATTTTTTTTATTATTAAAAATTCTTCCAAATTCTAGATAAAAAAGTGAGAAATAAAAAGGAATGATTAGTTTGCCTAGTTAAAATTTAATGAATTATTGTACTCTATTAATTTCTTTGCTGTAGGTAATATTGTTTATATTTCATTATTAAGGTATTTTGACCTAATTTTTGTTTACTTAGGTATTATAAAAAAATATTGTGACTCAAGATAATATATGATAATGAAATTAAACCTTGATAAATGAATAATAATAATGGGCATAGTTAGCAGAATTTTACAAACAATAGTGGAGGAAATTGACGCTGGTTTTATCTTGTCAAAAACCTTTATTTCTGGTAGGATTTATTGCTTTTTATTAACTGGTGAGTAGCTAGAAGACTGGTGTATATCTCCATGAATGTGTGAGGGTGTGGAGAATGAGGTGAGGGAGAGGGAGAATAAGAGTGTCAAGAGGGAGAGAGAGGACAAACGCGCGCACAGGGAAGTGAGAGAGAATAGTAATAAAGGTGATATATACGCCATCTTGGCCTATATACGCCAGGGTGAAGCCTTTTGGGTGCTTCCCTGGAGGCTAGGGTGAGTGTTGGGGAGGAGGTGGGTGGTGGGGGGTTTGTGTTGGAGGGTGTCAGTCCCCAACACTTGTGACGGCCCCTCCCAGACGTCATTCCTTCCTTATCTCATCCTCCCAGGCTTCCTTCCTTCCTTATATCACCCTCCCAGGCTTCCTTCCTTCCTTATCTCATCCTCCCAGGCTTCCTTCCTTCCTTATCTCACCCTCCCAGGCTTCCTTCCTTCCTTATCTCATCCTCCCAGGCTTCCTTCCTTCCTTATCTCATCCCTCCAGGCTTCTTTCCTTCCTTATTCTCCCCTCCCAGGCTTCCTTCCTTCCTTATCTCATCCTCCCAGACTTCCTTCCTTCCTTATCTCACCCTCCCAGGCTTCCTTCCTTCCTTATCTCATCCTCCCAAGCTTCCTTCCTTATCTCACCCTCCCAGGCTTCCTTCCTTCCTTATCTCATCCTCCCAGGCTTCCTTCCTTCCTTCCTTATCTCACCCTCCCAGGCTTCCTTCCTTATCTCATCCTCCCAGGCTTCATTCCTTCCTTATCTCATCCTCCCAGACTTCCTTCCTTCCTTATCTCATCCTCCCAGACTTCCTTCCTTCCTTATCTCATCCTCCCAGACTTCCTTCCTTCCTTATCTCATCCTCCCAGGCTTCCTTCCTTCCTTATCTCATCCTCCCAGACTTACTTCCTTCCTTATCTCACCCTCCCAGGCTTCCTTCCTTATCTCATCCTCCCAGGCTTCCTTCCTTCCTTCCTTATCTCATCCTCCCAGGCTTCCTTCCTTCCTTATCTCATCCTCCCAGGCTTCCTTCCTTCCTTATCTCACCCTCCCAGACGACCTTCCTTATCTCACCCTCCCAGGCTTCCTTCCTTATCTCACCCTCCCAGGCTTCCTTCCTTATCTCACCCTCCAGGCTTCCTTCCTTATCTCACCCTCCCAGGCTTCCTTCCTTATCTCACCCTCCCAGGCTTCCTTCCTTATCTCACCCTCCAAGGCTTCCTTCCTTATCTCACCCTCCCAGGCTTCCTTCCCTATCTCACCCTCCCAGACGTCCTTCCTTATCTCACCCTCCCAGGCTTCCTTCCTTATCTCACCCTCCCAGGCTTCCTTCCTTATCTCACCCTCCCAGGTTTCCTTCCTCATCTCACCCTCCCAGGCTTCCTTCCTTATCTCACCCTCCCAGGCTCCCTTCCTTATCTCACCCTCCCAGGCTCCCTTCCTTATCTCACCCTCCTAGGCTTCCTTCCTTATCTCACCCTCCTAGGCTTCCTCCCTTCCTCATCTCACCCTCCCAGGCTTCCTTCCTTCTCTCACCCTCCTAGGCTTCCTCCCTTCCTCATCTCACCCTCCCAGGCTTCTTATCTCACCCTCCCAGGCTTCCTTCCTTATCTCACCCTCCTAGGCTTCCTTCCTTATCTCACCCTCCTAGGCTTCCTCTCTTCCTCATCTCACCCTCCCAGGCTTCCTTATCTCACCCTCCCAGGCTTCCTTCCTTATCTCACCCTCCTAGGCTTCCTCCCTTATCTCACCATCCTAGGCTTCCTCCCTTCCTTATCTCACCCTCCCAGGCTTCCTTCCTTACCTCACCCTCCCAGGCTTCCTCCCTCCCTTATCTCACCCTCCTAGGCTTCCTCCCTCCCTTATCTCACCCTCCCTTATCTCATCCTCCCAGACGTCCTTATCTCTCCCTCCCAGGCTTTCCTCATCTCACCCTCCCAGGCTTCCTCATCTCACCCTCCCAGGCTTCCTCCTCCTTATCTCATCCTCCCAGACGTCCTTCCTTATCTCTCCCTCCAGGCTTCCTCATCTCACCTCCCAGGCTTCCTCATCTCACCCTCCAGGCTTCCTCCCTCCCTTATCTCATCCTTCCAGACGTCCTTCCTTATCTCGCCCTCCAGGCTTCCTTCCTTATATCACCCTCCCAAAGGGTTTCCCATTACCCCCAACTTCTCCCCTTTCCTTATCTCACCCTCCAGGCTTCCCCACATTCCTTATCTACCCTCCCAGGTTCCTTTCCTTTTCTCACCCCCCCAGGCTTCCCTTTCCTTTTTTCACCCCCCCAGGTTCCTTTCCCTTTTTCCCTCCCAGGGTTTCCCTTTTTCACCCCCCCAGGCTTCCTTCCTTTTGTCCCCCTCCCCGGTTTTCTTATCTCGCTCTCTGAGGCTTCCTTATCTCACCCTCCAGGTTTCCTCCCTTATCTCACCCTCTCAGGTTTCCTTATTTTATCCTCTCATTCTTCCTTCTTTCCTTCCTTATCTCACCTCACCAGGCTTCCTTCCTGTCTTATCTTACCCTCCCAGGCTTCCTCCATCTCTTATTTCACCTCACCATGCTTCCTCTCTCACCTTCCCAGGCTTCCTACCTTTATTATCTCATCTCACCAGGCTTCCTCCCTCTCTTATCTCACCAGGCTTCCTCCCTCTCTTATCTCACCTCACCATGCTTCCTCTCTCCTATCTCACCCTTCCAGGCTTCCTACCTTTATTATCTCATGTCACTGGACTTCCTCCCTTTCTTATCTCACTAGGCTTCCTCCCTCTCTTACCTCATCTCGCCAGGCTTTCTCCCTGAGTAAGAGAGAGAAGTTAAGATTTTGTTTGTATTTTCAACTCCAGAGGGTTAGCCACCCAGGATAACCCAAGAAAGGCAGTGCTTCATCAAGGGACTGTCTGTCTGATTTCTATTGAGGTCCCTAGAACTTGTACCCCAGGATGCGAACCACACGTGTTGACTAACACCCAGATACCTACATGTACTTGTTTGCTAGGTGAACAGGGACACCAGGTGTAAGGAAACACACCCAATGTTTCCACCCTTGCCAGGATTCGAACCACAGACACACACATTCAGTGTGTGAGACGAGAGTGTTGCCTACCAGGTCATGAGAAGTGGGTAAGTTTGTTTAGGTACAGGTACACATAAGTACAGTTATCATACATAGTTTAACATATGTGTAAATTACCTATGATAACTCAACAAAGTCAGACATAGTGACTTATTTCATTGACGTCCTTCTAATAACTTAATATTTAAAGCAAAGTTGTAAGTTACCATAGAAATTAATCATGATTATAACCTTAACCCTTAAACCGTCCAAACGTATATATATGTTCGCTGGCGCAACACCCGTAATTTTTTGAGAAAAAAAAGTTTTTTTTTTAAAGGAAAAAAGAGCATATGGTACCCAGGCATCCCCAATTTTTTTTCATATGGCACACACTGAGTGCACACACCCATTCTCTAATGTCTAGGCGACTCAGGCATATCATGACAATGTTGAGTGAATGACAAAGGAAATATATACACCTACCATCCGACTTACGACCGAGCTCGGTTCCGACCAACTGGTCGTAAGTTAAAATGGACGTAAGTCAAACTTTACTACTGAATATCAACATCACATTTTTGTAATGACTTTATTTTATTGTTTTATTTTGGTATTTCATGTTTTACTGTACTTTTTATGCTGTTAGTACTGTATTTTATACTGTAAGGTTTAGGATAAACACTGTGTGCAACACAAATAATTCTTTATTTCCCAGAAATTTGGCATAAAAAACATGGTCGTAAGTCGAGTGGTCGTATGTCGAGCAGGTTGTAAGTCGGATGGTAGGTGTATATACATTTGGGGCGCTATGCGAGAGAATGTATATATACGTTTGGACCGTTTAAGGGTTAAAGAGTAATGCAACTAAGTAACTCATCTGCATGAAAATCACTTTAGTAAAAGGAGATACAATAGGAATAAAGTGAGCCGAGTTATTTACTTTAATATTAAAGAGAGAAACTTCATTCAGCTCTTCATTAGCTCTCTTTCTGAACTGGCTTATGCTAGGACAGGCTTTGACATGTGCAGGCAATCCATTCCACTCTTTTATTGCTGTATAGTAAAAGGTGTTTGAAGCCTCACCACCTACTGTAGGTACTAAAAAACTGTTTTCACTTTCCCAAGTATACAATACTGGTTTTGATTCCCAACCTTGACAAACTTGGCAGCAAGATATGTATTCTGGACACTGCTTGTCAGCAATTTTATGAACATGACTTAACTTCTGTTGCTTTAATCTGTTCTCAACATTCAGCTCAAGGACACCAATAGAAATAAATCACTGTCAGAATTTTTGGGTTATCCTAGGTAATTTACACATATGCTACAGTGCATGATAATTTCTGTAACTAAATTATGTGTATCTGTACTTAAATAAACTTACTTAGTATATCCAGTTAGATAAGATTTTGTTTGGATTTTTAACCCTGGAGGTTTAGCCACCCAGGATAACCCAAGAAAGGCAGTAATTCATCCTGGCAAAAATGCTCTCTTGGACCCAAGTCAGGATGAATCTCACTAGGCTTTCTCTGACTTATCTCATCTCACCAGGCTTCCCTCTCTTATCTCACTTCACCAGACTTTTTACCTGTCTTTATCACCAGGCTTTCCCCCACCTTTTCTGAAACTTCCTGTCCATCATCATCTTGAGACTTCCTGTCCCTTATCTTTCTTGAGACTTCCTGTCTCTCATTCTCCTGAGACTTCCTGTCCCTCATCCTCCTGAGACTTCCTGTACCTCACCCTGAGACATCCTGTTTCTCACCTTTCCTGAGGCTTCCCATCTCCAGCAATACATACGTTACAGTCTGGTTGGTTTCTTTTGCATGGTTTGAGGGTCAGGGAGCTGGTCTCATGGGACATTGGGAAATACCTTTTTGGATTGCAAATTGGCCAAAACAAGTTACAGTGGACCCCCGAGTTTCGTGATTAATCCATTCCAGAGAGCCTGCCGAGTCGAAATTGCCGAATGGCGAAACCATTTTCCCCATTAGAAATAATGGAAATAAAATTAATCCATTCCAGACACCCAAAAATATTAAAATAAAATTTTTTTTTTTTCAAATTAAATAAAGATTTACATACTGAAAACAATAAGAAATCAAGTACATGCATATAAAAAATAATAATAACATTACACTTACCTTTACTGCAGACTTCTGAGTGGATGGAAGACGGGAGGAGGGGATAGGAGGAAGGTGTACACTATTGTTTGGAAGGAGAATCTCCTTCCATTAGGACTTCAGGTATGAAGTCCTTATCTGGGGTTACTTCCCTTCTTTATTTTTTAAAGACACTGGCACTGGGAATAACTTGAGAGTCACTGTAACCCTGTCTCACAAATTATCTGTCCAGAGAGCTCTGTTTCTGGCATTTCTTTAAGATTTCTCTGAAGTGGGACACAACACTGTCATTGTACATGTTGCCAATACGGCCTGCAAGAGCTTTGTTAGGGTGAAGTTCATCCATAAATGTTTGCACTTCAGTCCACTTTGCATAAATGTCCTTAATCTTTGCAACAACAGCACACTTTATTTCCTTTTCTTTCGCCACAATCGAAGTGATGGTTGAATGTGGTTTGCCATACATCCTGGCAAGCTCTGTAACATGCACTCCACTCTCACATTTTTCAATGATTTCCTTCTTGAATTCGATCGTGTTCCTCACTTTCTTTACCAAAGGGCTTGCACTAGCTTTCCTTGGGCCCATGGTGACTTATTTAGAAGTTGCAATCACAAAAAACAATGGATTATTACGTATGAACCCGCGGGGTGATGGTCACGTGTTGGTAAACAATGGCACACTGAGCGTGAATGGCGTGGGAGACTGGCTTTGTGTGCACGGTGATGAGTGGACAGGTACCGGACGGTCGCTGAATCATGAGTCTAATCACGAACTGTGAGGCCAAATTTTGCTGAAAAAACTTGCCAAAAGTCGGATTTCACGAAAGTCGATGCCGCCGAAACTCGAGGGTCCACTGTACTTAATAAGTTTATTTAGGTAATGTTTTACATGGGATAACCAAAAAAAAAAAAAAAAGTGACGCTGTACTTTTATCTGGATTGACTTACTGGTGTAGCAGAGTGATTTGTGAGTATAAATCATTTTGGGAATTACAGTGGAACCTCGGTTTTTGTATGCCCAAGTTTGTATGTAGTATAACTATAGTTATTCTCTATAAAATGTATTTTTTTGTTAATATTTTTGGGTACTGGGATAAATATTTTAAATTCTGATAAATATTTTAAATTCTGGTTTTGTCATTGTAAAATCATAACCATTAGAGTTAAATTTTTTGAGTAATTTGCAATTCTAGTGGAATATTTTTCTCTTTCTTTTATAATAAAATTCTTAATCTTATATTTGTTTTTGACTGTTGAGAGAGAGTGGCACATTTTAGTATATATTACCTGTGTTGTACAAACTGGATGTCATAACTTGGTCAATCTTGTCTGTAGTTTCTCAACACTGTTATGTCTTTCCTCAGATGTGGATACCTTATGATGTTACCAAATTCAAGATGTGGGCAGGCAAGAGCTTTGCATAGCAGAACTAGTGAGTCTTGATTTAGATATTCCAATAAGGTATTAATGTTTATAAGAATATTTGTTGTGGTGTCTCTAGAAATTTGTTTACAGAACTTATGATCTTGTCACAGCAGTAACCAAATATAAAATATAATCTGTTATATTTACAGCTAAAAATGTAAAACCCCCATTTACAGTTGGTGCAGTCTACAGGGTACCTCTTGCAAATACTTACACCTTCACCAAAAACATAAAAAACCCTAATAATTTACAATAAGTTGAATAAACATCACATAATACTTGCTGGTGACTTCAACATAACCCTCATCCAAGCAGAGGACCCTCAAGTAGCTGACTTCACAAACAACATGAACAATTTCTTACCATCTATAACTTAACCTACAAGAATTTCAGAGATGAGTGCCTCCTTAATTGATCATATCTGGACCAATAAAATATCGCCTATCAAAGCTGGGATAATCGCAGATAACATCATTGACCATTAACCCACTTTTCTCATTACAGTGGACCCCCGGTTTACGATATTATTTCATTCCAGAAGTATGTTCAGGTGCCAGTACTGACCGAATTTGTTCCCATAAGGAATATTGTGAATTAGATTAGTCCATTTCAGACCCCCAAACATACACATACAAACGCACTTACATAAATACACTTACATAATTGGTCGCATTGGGAGCTGATCGTAAACCGGGGGTCCACTGTACTAACTTCTGCAAATTACCACAAGACACTAGTAAGATCTCATTTTGTCTCAATGATAAGTCATCAGTAAATAACTTTATTTCAGTAGTATGTGACCTTGACATTTATAAGTGGAAACAAATGGCATTCAGCTTTCCAGCGATGTCCACTTTCCGGCAGTAGCCTGGAACCTAAGGTGCCGTGTAAGTGGGGCCCAACTGTACACGTATACATAACTCCGAGTTGTCAGTAAATGAGTACGTCGGTAAGTGAAGAGAGGCTGTATTTGGATGTAGTGAGGATGATAAGAAAGACATGATTGCTGATGTTATGAATGAAAAGAAGTTGGATGTCCTGGCCCTAAGCGAAACAAAGCTGAAGGTGGTAGGCAAGTTTCAGTGGGGAGATATAAATGGGATTAAGTCAGGAGAGTGTATAAATCTATAGTGGAGGGAAGGCGGGGTAGGGGTCGGCCTAGGAAAGGTTGGAGGGAGGGGGTATAATAAGTTTTGCGTTCAAGGAGCTTGGACATCCAGCAAGCATGCGTGAGCGTATTTGATAGGAGTGAATGGAGACAAGTGGTTTTTAATACTTGATGTGCTGTTGGAGTTTGAGCAAAGTAACATTTATGAAGGGATTCAGGGAAACCAGGACTCAAGGACTCAAGTCTGGCAGGCTGGACTCGAGTCCTGGAGAGGGAAAGTACAGTGTCTGCACTCTGAAGGAGGGGTGTTAATGTTGCAGTTTTATAACCAGTGTAAAGCACCCCTCTGGTAAGACAGTGATGCAGTAAATAATGATGAAAGTTTTTCTTTTTCGGGCCACCCTGCCTTGGTGGGAATCAGCCAATGTATTAATAAAATAAATAAATAAATAATATATATATATATATATATATATATATATATGCAGTATTAGAATGTGGGGCAGAAGTTTGTGGTTATAGGAGGGTGGGAGCAGGAGGAAAGAGGAGTGATTGGTGGAATGATGAAGTAAAGGGTGTGATAAAAGAGAAAAAGGTAGCTTATGAGAGGTTTTTACAAAGCAGAAGTGTTATAAGAAGAGCAGAGTATATGGAGAGTAAAAGAAAGGTAAAGAGAGTGGTGAGAGAGTGCAAAAGGAGAGCAGATGATAGAGTGGGAGAGGCACTGTCAAGAAATTTTAATGAAAATAAGAAAAAATTTTGGAGTGAGTTAAACAAGTTAAGAAAGCCTAGGGAAAATATGGATTTGTCAGTTAAAAACAGAGTAGGGGAGTTAGTAGATGGGGAGATGGAGGTATTGGGTAGATGGCGAGAATATTTTGAGGAACTTTTAAATGTTAAGGAAGAAACAGAAGCAGTAATTTCATGCACTGGTCAGGGAGGTATACCATCTTTTAGGAGTGAAGAAGAGCAGAATGTAAGTGTGGGGGAGGTACGTGAGGCATTACATAAAATGAAAGGGGGTAAAGCAGCTGGAACTGATGGGATCATGACAGAAATGTTAAAAGCAGGGGGGATATAGTGTTGGAGTGGTTGGTACTTTTGTTTAATAAATGTATGAAAGAGGGGAAGGTACCTAGGGATTGGCAGAGAGCATGTATAGTCCCTTTATATAAAGGGAAAGGGGACAAAAGAGACTGTAAAAATTATAGAGGAATAAGCTTACTGAGTATACCAGGAAAAGTGTACGGTAGGGTTATAATTGAAAGAATTAGAGGTAAGACAGAATGTAGGATTGCGGATGAGCAAGGAGGTTTCAGAGTGGGTAGGGGATGTGTAGATCAAGTGTTTACATTGAAGCATATATGTGAACAGTATTTAGATAAAGGTAGGGAAGTTTTTATTGCATTTATGGATTAGAAAAGGCATATGATAGAGTGGATAGAGGAGCAATGTGGCAGATGTTGCAAGTATATGGAATAGGTGGTAAGTTATTAAATGCTGTAAAGAGTTTTTATGAGGATAGTGAACCTCAGGTTAGGGTGTGTAGAAGAGAGGGAGACTACTTCCCGGTAAAAGTAGGTCTTAGACAGGGATGTGTAATGTCACCATGGTTGTTTAATATATTTATAGATGGGGTTGTAAAGGAAGTAAATGCTAGGGTGTTCGGGAGAGGGGTGGGATTAAATTTTGGGGAATCAAATTCAAAATGGGAATTGACACAGTTACTTTTTGCTGATGATACTGTGCTTATGGGAGATTCTAAAGAAAAATTGCAAAGGTTAGTGGATGAGTTTGGGAAATGTATGTAAAGGTAGAAAGTTGAAAGTGAACATAGAAAAGAGTAAGGTGATGAGGGTGTCAAATGATTTAGATAAAGAAAAATTGGATATCAAATTGGGGAGGAGGAGTATGGAAGAAGTGAATGTTTTCAGATACTTGGGAGTTGATGTGTCGGCGGATGGATTTATGAAGGATGAGGTTAATCATAGAATTGATGAGGGAAAAAAGGTGAGTGGTGCGTTGAGGTATATGTGGAGTCAAAAAACGTTATCTATGGAGGCAAAGAAGGGAATGTATGAAAGTATAGTAGTACCAACACTCTTATATGGGTGTGAAACTTGGGTGGTAAATGCAGCAGCGAGGAGATGGTTGGAGGCAGTGGAGATGTCCTGTTTAAGGGCAATGTGTGGTGTAAATATTATGCAGAAAATTCGGAGTGTGGAAATTAGGAGAAGGTGTGGAGTTAATAAAAGTATTAGTCAGAGGGCAGAAGAGGGGTTGTTGAGGTGGTTTGGTCATTTAGAGAGAATGGATCAAAGTAGAATGACATGGAAAGCATATAAATCTATAGGGGAAGGAAGGCGAGGTAGGGGTCGTCCTCGAAAGGGTTGGAGAGAGGGGGTAAAGGAGGTTTTGTGGGCAAGGGGCTTGGACTTCCAGCAAGCGTGCGTGAGCGTGTTAGATAGGAGTGAATGGAGACGAATGGTACTTGGGACCTGACGATCTGTTGGAGTGTGAGCAGGGTAATATTTAGTGAAGGGATTCAGGGAAACCGGTTATTTTCATATATTCGGACTTGAGTCCTGGAAATGGGAAGTACAATGCCTGCACTCTAAAGGAGGGGTTTGGGATATTGGCAGTTTGGAGGGATATGTTGTGTATCTTTATATGTGTATGCTTCTAGACTGTTGTATTCTGAGCACATCTGCAAAAACTGTGATTATGTGTGAGTGAGGTGAAAGAGTTGAATGATGATGAAAGTATTTTCTTTTTGGGGATTTTCTTTCTTTTTCGGCCACCCTGCCTCGGTGGGAGACGACCGACTTGTTAAAAGAATATATATTGTGTACTATATATATATATACACACACACGTATATATTCACCTATCATCCAACTTACGACCTGCTCGACATATGACCATTCGACTTACGACCTTGTTTTCTTTGCCAAATTTCTGGGAAATAAAAAACTATTTGTGTTGCACACAGTGTTTATCCTAAACCTTACAGTATAAAATACAGTACTAACAGCATAAAAAGTAAAGTAAAACATGAAATACCAAAATAAAACAATAAAATAAAGTCATTACAAAAATGTGATGTTGATATTCAGTAGTAAGGTTCGACTTACGTACATTTCGACTTACGACCGGTTTCTCGGAACTGATCTCGGTCGTAAGTTGGATGGTACCTGTATATATATTCTAGGTAGTAGGCTGGTAGACAGCAACCACCCAGGGAGGTACTACCTTCCTGCCAAGTGACTGTAAAACAGAAGCCTGTACTTGTTTTACATGATGGTAAGATTGCTGGTGTCTTTTCTCTGTCTCATTAACATGCAAGATTTCAGGTATGTCTTGCTGCTTCTACGTACACTTAGGTCACACTACACATACATGTACAAGCATATATATACACACACACCCCTCTTGGTTTTCTTTTATTTTCTTACTAGTTCTTGTTTATTTCCTCTTATCTCCATGGAGAAGTGGAACAGAATTCTTCCTCTGTATGTCATGTGTGTTGTAAAAGGCAACTAAAATGCTGGAGCAAGGGGCTAGTACCCCTTCCCCTGTATAAATTACTAAATTTAAAAAGATACACTTGTTTTTCTTTTTGAGCCACCCTGCCTTGGTGGGATACGGCTCGTTTACTGACAACTCAGAGTTACGATGGGCTCTCTGACGAGTTGTTGTTGTATACTGTACGAGAACTTGTGTCATGAATAGGCAGCGCAGCGTCTCAGTATCAAGCATCTCAATCTCCTTCCTACAGCCACTCAGTACACTAGCTTTCACAGTCTCCAAGACTACATGTTTGTACAAATTTGTACTTTATTGTGCACCCCATAGTACAAAATAGAAGTGTAGCAGCACTTGGAAGAGGAAAGTGGAAGAAATACAAAAGAAGTTCATTTTAAAGGAGTTAGTGATGCATCTCAGCATCAAGCAATCTCCAAGACTACATATTTTGTCTATAAATTTGTACTTTATTGTGCACCCCATAGTAGAAGATAGAAACAGAAGTGCAGCAGCACTTGGAAGAGGAAAATGGAAGAAGTACGTACAGAAGAAGTTCACAGTAAAGGGATTAGCTGGTGTGTTCGTCTGTGTGTTTACATTCTCGGTGTATTGTGGCAGCTTAAGAAATGATTAAACTCAATGAACAAGGTATGTCGATGGTAATAATCATGATGATAATAATAATATGTAAATACATAATAATAATAATCACTTTAGAGTACTTTAAATGTCAGCTATCAAACCTATATGAAATATATATGACAGTTAAGGTGCTTCAGAGCAATTATTTTTTATTATTATTATTACTATAAATTATTATTACACATCTACATCTCTTTATCCGAAATTCTGAAATTCGAAAAGTTCCAAAAACCAAAGTTTTTTCGTGGAGTGTGGAGCGTCAGTCATCTCAGTGCTGGGTCACGTCACTACGTGGCATCATGACCCAGCACTGACAGGCAGAGTGGCAGGCGTCAGTTGTGTCTCAGCGCTTGTAGTGTTCACAAGTGCGTCTGCTGAAGAGCAAGTACACCTACCATCTGACTTACGACCTGCTCAGCATACGACCACTCGATTTATGACTGTTTTTTATACCAAATTTCTGGGAAATAAACAACTGTTTGTGTTGTATACAGTGTTTATCCTAAACCTTACAGCATAAAATACAGTACTAACAGCATAAAAAGTAAAGTACAAAATAAAATACCAAAATAAAACAATAAAATAAAGTCATTACAAAAATGTGATGTTGATATTCAGTAGTAAGGTTCGACTTATGTCCATTTCGACTTACGACCGGTTGGTTGGAACCAAGCTTGGTCGTAAGTCAGATGGTACCTCTACTATAAAAACTATTTCTTAAACTGTATGCTTGCTGCAGGCAACAGAGGAGTAGGAATCCAAGACTTCCTGAAAGAGTTCAGTGTTAAGGACGCATTTATGCAGTTGTTAATGCTTGGAAGGATGCTGATAAATCAACATTAACAAATGCTTGGCAGAGACTTTGGCCTAAAATGATGTGTGATGTAAATGAGCCTACAGATGAAGACTTTGAAGGATTTCGTGTCACTGATGAGAGGATATCAAACCTCATAATTAATGCTAAAAGTTTATTGGACGAAAGTGTAAATAAGTTACAGGAAGCTGACATTGAAGAATTGCTGAACATTGACAATGATGCATCTGTTGTGCATTCCTTGAGTGATGGTGAAGTTGCTGAAATGATGTTAAATACAAATAATCATGAGAATAGTAGTAATGATGATGATGACATTGTGAACACAGGCGAAAAAGTCCCCATAGATGATATGGTGAAAATATAAAGATCAGTTAATTGCTGGCCTTGAGCAACATGCATTTATCAATGAGCAAGAGATTATGGCAATTTACTCAGTTAAAGAGAGATTGCTTAGACATAAACCCATGTTAACCCTTTCAGGGTCAACAGGCCCTCTCCCAGACTTGTTCTCAGGGTCGACAAATTAAAAAAAAAAAAATTTTCTTATGAAAAGATAGAGAATTTTTCCCCATCAAAATGACACAAAAAGTCCGAAATTTGATGGAAAACTTATGGAATTATGCTCTTGCAAAGTTAGCGGTCTCGACCATGTTTACGCATCGGCGATTTTGCCCACTTTGAGCCCTATTTTCAGCCAATTCCAGTGTACAGTGGACCCCCGCATAACGATGGCATCACATAGCGATTATTTCGCATACCGCTTACTTTAATTGCAAAAATTTTGCCTCACATACCGCTTAAAAACCCGCTTACCGATTTTCGTCCGAGACGCGTCCAATGTGCGGCCTGAGCCACGCTCACATGTTCCGCCAGTGGCATTGTTTACCAGCCAGCCTCCGCGGTAACATCCAAGCATACAATCGGAATATTTCGTATTATTACAGTGTTTTCGGTGCTTTTTCTTGAAAATAAGTGACCATGGGCCCCAAGAAAGCTTCTAGTGCCAACCCTACAGCAATAAGGGTGAGAATTACAATAGAGATGAAGAAAAAGATCATTGATAAGTATGAAAGTGGAGTGCATGTCTCCGAGCTGGCCAGGTTGTATAATAAACCCCAATCAACCATCGCTACTATTGGTGGTACAGCTGCTGCTGCTGCTGCACTGTCAGCTGCTGCTGCTGCTGTAGCACCGTTGTTGGTGTGGCTTATTGAGAATACCAAGAAACAATTAACCCCAGAGGATTTGCCACCCAGGATAACCCAAAAAAGTCAGTGTCATCGAAGACTGTCTAACTTATTTCCATTGGGGTCCTTAATCTTGTCTCCCAGGATGCAACCCACACAAGTCGACTAACACCCAGGTGAACAGGGAAAAATGCCTGGAACTAGTGCTCATATTGGTGAATTTAAAGCCAGCAAAGGTTGGTTTGAGAGATTTAAGAATCGTAGTGGCATACACAGTGTGATAAGGCCTGTTCTGGAAGAAAATGCCAAACAGGACCTACAGTACTCAGGAGGAAAAGGCACTCCCAGGACACAGTGTCTCATCAGTCATTGCTGCATCTTCAATAAAGGTAAGTGTCATTTATTCTTCATTTAGTAGACTAGTACATGCACAATATATACTGTGCATGTACTACTCTACTATTGTGCATGTATCCTTCTCTTTGTGTGTGGGAAAATGTATATTTCATGTGGTAAAATTTTTTTTTTCATACTTTTGGGTGTCTTGCACGGATTAATTTGATTTCCATTATTTCTTATGGGGAAAATTCATTCACATAGCGATTATTTCGCATAACAATTACCCCTCTTGCACGGATTAAAATCGTTAACCGGGGGTCCACTGTACTAGTCGACAGAAATCATAACTATTTCGCTAGAACTCCATTTTTTTCTATCGAATGAGTACAAGATTTACCGATTTCAACTATCCAATAAAGTGGTCAGAATTTAGCAATTTTGCCAATTTCACACAAATTTCAAAAGATGCCAATTTCCAAATAGGGTCCAGAATAAACAAGAGAGACATTCCTGGCACTAAAATAACATTTCCTCTGTTCATTAGTCACGTCCCCACGCCCTTCTTACATTCTTTTGCTTTCCACTTTGAATTTTTATTCTCACAAAAAATAGAAGATTTACTGTTATGCAGACTACTGCATTAGTGTAGAAATGGTATAAATAATATCAGCACATTTGTGAAAGATTATTAGACTCAATAGTTGACGTGTATTGGACGCGTAGCATGATTTGTTTATTTTTGAACTTTGGCAAAAATCTAAGATTTCTGCTACTTTGAGCTCAATTTCAAGGTACTTTTCATTGTAGAACCAATCAAAATCGTCTCAATTTCTGTAATATGTCTTCCATTCTATAAAATGAGACCAGGAAAACTAGAATATCATCATAAATACCATACAAAAATAGTGCAAAGTCGCTCTTTTAAACCAAAAACACTGTCAAAGTTTTTTTTTCTCATTATGCACTGTGTGCTGCAGGATTTTTTTTATACTGCGCACACTGACCACATAGACCCATTCTTTTATATGTAGGCCTACCAGCTTTCTCTCACTAGATTTGAGGACACTAGAATTTAGGCATACTAGTACGTCAGAAACCCTGAAAGGTTTAATAAGACAGATGACATTTGAAGTCTTTAAAAATTCTGTTTGTCAATCGTCTTGAGAATCATGTTCCTGGTCTATAATTATCACATTATTGCATTTATCAACATATTACTCTATAAATAAACCATAGTAGTATTTGTAGTCTTTATTTATCCCACTTAGTGTGAGTATTCATATGTTTTTGCTGCAGTGTTAATGTTGGATTATGGGGTGCTGCCCTAGACCCCACCTTCATTCTGAAATTCGAAAAATTCTGAAATTCGAAACACTACTGGCCCCAATGGTTTTGGATAAAGGGATGTGGACCTGTATTAATATTATAAATTATTATAATTATTATGCTAAAATATAAATTATTATAAATAATTATTATAAATTATTATTACCTTCGACATACCTTGTTCACTCAGTTTAATCTTTTCTTAAGATGCCATGAGACAGAGAGCATAGCATACGACTCAGAAAAAAAATCAGGAAAAATCACGCTATTTTTGTGTTTTTTCTTATAAGAGTGATCTAGGAGTGTTTGCCCTGATGTAAACACCATTTTCTTTCATTACAGACCAGAGGTACAGACTAGAGAACGTATCTGTCTTATGATCTTACCCCAGAGCGGCAGCCTCCGCTGCTTACCCATCACATAATATGGCATATATTATGCATTTTAACATCTTTATTACAGTTCTAGGGTATTTATCATGTTTCCGATATCAATTTGGAATAAATGTGATAGATAACCTTTATTACTAATATTAGCATAATTACATAACATTTTATTAGCGCCACGGCTAATATCCGACGTCTGATGACTCACCAGATACTGAATGCTCCTTCTGCTGGCTTCTCCCTCTCTCCTATAGCTCCTTCCATTTTGTAATGATGTTAGACAGTGAATTTAATGTATTAGACAAAAAAAAAAAATCTGAAAATTCACTACATGCAACTAAATGAATGTATTGCAGATAATTTGAAGAATTGTTTAAAAATACTTAGCATGAAATTGGCTTTATATTCTGCCTTAGTGATGTACTCTTGAATCAGAGCATTAGAGCTTCCCTCCCCATCCTTGGATCAAACTCGATCATCTCTAATTATCCTGGCTCCATATGACCCTTATGAGAAATGATCAATGAAAGTCTTAATATTTATATTTTCAGATTCCTGATGCTGGATGTAAGTTGCCGGGTCTGTCTTCTGGAGAGGATGTCATCTAGTCGGTCACAGCAGCACTTGATCTGGTATGAAGGTTACACTTTTAACAGCTCTTTACATAAAGTTAAACTCTAGTTATTTACATGACATCACGCACTCTGGACTTGCCCACACCTGTGGACACAGGACTTAGCAACCAGTTGCATTTTCACAACATCCACAGTACAGATATTTGAAACATTCATCTTTTATATGGTACAGATATTAATATTCTTGCAGAGAGTTAGGAATGTACAAAATTAGGGAACATTATGAGGATATGAAGGTTATAATTCATAGGGCAGAGGAAGTGTTATTGAGGTGGTTTGGTCACTTAGAAAAGGAGGAGAAAATGTTTACTAAGAGGTAAATAAATCTGGGGTGAACAGGAGGTTAGGTAGAGCTTATACCATGAAGGGTTGCAGGAAGTGGATTGAAGAAGGTTTATAGTAGTAGAAGCTTGAATATCTAATGGGCATGTGTGAGCAACTAAGACCTGCTTCAGGAAACGCTTGTCTTGTTTCCTAATGAATCTTACCTAATCTATCTCTTAAAGAGGGGTGGAATGTTTCATTCTGGAGAGCCTTTTGAAGTGTGATGTCTGTACACCTCTAGTAAGACAGCCACTGAATGAGTGGTATGAATGTGTTTTCCTCTTTAACCCTTTCAGGGTCCGTCCCGTAGATCTACGGCTTTACGTTCAGGGTCCAAACCGTAGATCTACGCCATGAGCTCAGCTCACTCTGATAAACTGTGAGTGGTACATTTGGGCCTAGATATGAGAGAATACATCTATGTGGTATGTGTGCACCACATAAAACAGATCCTGCAGCACACTGTGTATAATGAGAAAAAAAAATGAAATTATGATTTTTCGATTAAAACAGCAACTTTGCAGTGTTTTTTCGTATGTTTTTTATAGTTGTATTTGCGATTTCTTGGTCTCATTTGATAGAATGGAAGACATATTACAGAAATAGAATGATTTTGATTGGTTTTTTAGCACTGTAAATGGCTTGAAACTGAGCTCAAAGTAGTAGAAATGTTAAATTTTTTGCCGATATTCAAGAGTAAACAAACGACCTCACACGTCTAATACACGTCAGCTGGTGGGTCTAATATACATTCACAAATATGGTGATGATATTTATACAATTATTACAGTATTGCATAACAGTAAATCTTCTATTTTTTGGTGTGAATAAAAATTCATTATGTGAATAAAAAATCAAAATGGAATTTATTTGTAAAGCCTCAAAACATAACTAATGAACAGAGGAAATGTTAGTTTAGTGCCAGGAATGCCTACATTGTTCATTCTGGACCCTATTTTGAAATTGGAATATTTTGAACTTTGTGTTAAATTGGCCAAATTAACAATTTCCGATCACTTTATTTTGTAGTTGAAATAGTTGACTTGGCGATTTCTTGTGCTCAATCGATAGAATAGAAGTAATACTACTAGTGAAATAGCTGAGAATTTGGTTGATTGGAATAATGTAATTGGCCTAAAATGGGAGTCAAAGTCGGCAAAATCGCCGATTCGTAAATATCGCTGACACATCAAAATTCGCGAGAGCATAATTTCGTCAATTTTCCACCAAATTTCGTACTTTTTGTTTTATTACCTTCACAAAAAGATTCTCTACGATTTCATAAGAAAAAATAATTTTTTTTTTTTTTAAATTCTTGGACACTGGTGCGTGACTCCAGATTTGGGCCTTGGACCCTGAAAGGGTTAAATCACCCAGTTTGGTGGGAGACAGCTGCTGTAAAAACATAATTCATTTGTCGGTTGAAACACCAGGAACCTGTTCACTTGTAAAATGTGGACCTGCTGTAATCTTATCCTCAAACCAAACTTTAATGCAGCATCTACCACCACAGACCGGGCCGCGGGGGCATTGACCCCCGAAACTCTCTCCAGGTAAACTCTCCAGGTAAACAACACAGTCATTGTTATTCACATTCCATTAGTGTCACATACTTTTCTTAGTACAGCATATTGCTTCATGTTTGTAGGTACAAGAGTATCTGATCAGCATATTGCTTCATGTTTTTAGGTACAAGAGTATCTGATACAGATAGGCTTAGGAAGATAATGAATTGAATGATAAGCTCCTAAAATATGAAGACTTTAAGTCTTACCTTTCCTTATTAGGTCTTCAAAAATATGGTTAGCTGATAGCATCACTTTAATGGAAGGCTGTGGGTGTGGCACAGAAGCATTGAATTAAAGATAGAAACTGCCTTCATTCACTGCCTGAGAGCACCTGATAAGAAAATAAGAACATAAGAAAGAAGGAACACTGCAACAGGCCTACTGACCCATGCAGAGTAGGTCCATGTCCCCCCTGGATTAGCCCAATGACCCACCCAGTCTGGTCACCTCCACTCAAGGAAGGAGCACGGCACCAGACCCAGCAGCACAAGCTAGTCAGGTCCAACTCACACCTACCCACACCAACTCATGTATTTATCTAACCTATTTTTAAAACTACACAACGTTTTAGCCTCAATAACTGTACTCAGGAGTTTGTTCCACTCATCCACAACTCTATTACCAAACCAATGCTTTCCTATATCCTTCCTGAATCTGAATTTTTCCAACTTAAAACCATTGCTGCGAGTCCTGTCTTGGCTGGAAATTTTCAGCACGCTATTTACAACCCCTTTATTTATTCCTGTTTTCCATTTATACACCTCGATCATATCCTCCCTAATTCTACGCCTTTCGAGAGAGTGCAGATTCAGGACCCTCAGTCTATCCTCATAGGGAAGATTTCTGATACATGGGATCATTTTTGTCATCCTCCTCTGTACCTTTTCCAGTGCATTTATATCCATTCTGTAATACGGTGACCAGAACTGAGCAGTATAGTCTAAATGATGCCTAACCAAGGATATATAGAGTTGAAGAACAACCTGATAGAAACTGCCTTCACTCCTTGAGAACACCTGATGAGTGATGGAAACTGCCTTCACTCTGTTTGAGAACTACACCAAAACCATTTGATTCATTCCACTGTAGAGTTACATAAATGACAGGCAACCTTCACTAAAATTGCTGGGTAATCAAAGTTTGCCTTGACTGCCTACACCATTGGGTGAAGTGCATGTCAAGAGGGTGTGTACCCTTGCCCCTGGGGGTTTCATGGCGCCTACTACCTACAGATCAAGGCCAGTGGTGCTTAGCTCCTGGCCCGGTGGTTCCTCCAGGGCTGGGCTTCACCTGCCTGTCTCTTTGCTCTTTGGTTGTGGCTATAACCAGCAGCTGCTGTTCAGTGATTGATGACTGACTACTCGTTTCAGGGCATGTGCTTGGGTGCTCTCTCCAGCTTCTATAGTGGGAGGGGCTTTGTTCCTGACTTGAGTTGTTGACCACCTATGTGGGAGTCAGCAGTGCTGTATATTGGCCAGCATGGAAGATCCCTCATTAATGAGCTTATCTCTGCTTCATAAAGTACAGTAAACCTTCAGTTAATACAAGGGTTATGGTCTTGAAAATCAGCATTTAACTTAACCCTTTCAAGGTCAAGAACCCCAGTCTGAACCTTGTCCATGGTCCAAAAATTTTCCAAAAAAATTATTTGTTATTTTTCTTATGAAATGGTAGAGATTTTTTTCTGAAGGTAATAAAACAAAAAGTTCAAAATTTGATGGAAAATTAACGAAATTACGCTATTGTGAATTTTGCTGCGTCAGCAGTATTTACGCATTGGCAATTTTGCCCAATTTGACTCCTACTTTAGGCCAATTACATTATTCCAGTCACCAAATTCTTAGCTATTTCATTAGTATCACTTCTGTTTTATCAACTGAGTGTAAGAAACTGCCCAATCAACTATTTCAGCTATACATAATAAAGTGATCAGAAATTGGTAATTTGACCAATTTCACACAAAGTTCAAAATATTCCAATTACGTACAAAATAGGATGCAGAATAAACAATGAATTCATTCCCGGCACTAAAATATCATTTCCTCTGTTTATTAGTTATGTTTCCAGGCTTTACAGATGAATACCATTTTGATTTTTTATTCACATGAAGAATTTTTATTCACTGTTATGCAATATTGTAATAATTGTATAAATAATATCAGCGCATTCATGAACTCAAATTAGACCCACCAGCTGATCTGTATTGGACGCGTAACGTCATTTGTTTACTCTTAAACGTCGGCAAAACTCGAACATTTTCTCTACTTTCAAGCTATTTTCATTACTAAAACCAATGAAAATTATCTCTATTTCTGTAATATATCTTCCATTCTATCAAATGAGACCAAGAAACCATGAATACAATCATAAAAATCATACAAAAATACACCACAAAGTCACTGTTTTAATCCAAAAACACGTTCATTTTTTTCTCGTGCACTGCGTGCTGCAGGATTTGTTTTGTATGGTGCACACTTACCACATAGATGCATTCTCTCATATCTAGGCCCAAATTTACCGCTTGCAGCTTATCTGAGTGAGCAGAGCTCATGACGTAGTACTACAGCTTGGACCCTGGCTTCAAAGCCGTAGAACTAAGGGACGGACACTCAGAGGGTTAAAACACTTGAAATTTTGGAAAGTTTCTGGACATAATGGAGAGATGTTCTCATGAAGAATGTAAACAAACTGGGTGGTGCGTGGTGACCATATTAGAGAGTCAGGTGTGGGGAGCTGTATAGCGAATTTTTGGTCATAATTTGAAATGTCCATACAGTGGACCCCCGCATAGCGATTTTAATCCGTGCAAGAGGGCTCATTGTTATGCGAAATGATCGGTATGAGAATGAATTTTCCCCATAAGAAATAATGGAAATCAAATTAATCCGTGCAAGACACCCAAAAGTATGAAAAAAAAAAATTTTACCACATGAAATGTTAATTTTAATACACACAAACTGAAAAAGGCATGCACAATTACATGACACTTACTTTTATTGAAGATCTGGTGATGATTGATGGGATGGGAGGAGGGGAGAGAGAGTGTTAGTGTTTAGAAGGGGAATCCCCTTCCATTAAGACTTGAGGTGTCGAGTCCTTTTCTGGGTTACTTCCCTTCTTCTTTTAATGCCACTAGGACCAGCTTCAGAGTCACTGGACTTCTTTCGACAACATATCTGTCCATAGTGGCCTGTACCTCTCATTCCTTTATGACTTCCCTAAAGTGTTTCACAACATTGTCAGTGTAATAATCACCAGCACGGCTTGCAATAGCTGTGTGAGGGTGATTCTCATCCATAAAGGTTTGCACTTTCAGCCACATTGCACAGATTTCCTTAATCTTTGTAGTAGGCAACTTCTTCAATTTCTCTCTCCCCTCCTCTGAACCAGTTTCCTCAGGTATGGCCTCTTGCTGTTGAAGTTGATCTATCAGCTCATCAGTGGTTAGTTCTTCATTGTCCTCCTCCACCAACTCTTCCACATCCTCCCCACTAACCTCCAACCCCAAGGACTTTCCCAATGCCACAATGGATTCCTCAACTGGCATAATCCTCTCAGGGTTAGCCTCAAACCTTTCAAAATCCTTTTTGTCTACACATTCTGGCCACAGTTTCTTCCAAGCAGAGTTCAAGGTCTTCTTAGTCACTCCCTCCCAAGCCATACCTATAAGGTTTACACAATTGAGGATATTAAAGTGCTCTCTCCAAAACTCTCTTAGAGTCAGTTGACTTTCTGAGGTCACTACAAAGCACCTTTCAAACAGAGCTTTTGTGTACAGTTTTTTGAAGTTTGCAATAACCTGCTGGTCCATGGGCTGCAGGAGAGGAGTGGTATTAGGAGGCAAAAATGTCACCTTAATGAAGCTCATGTCCCCACAAAGTCGCTCTGCCAAGTCTGTAGGATGACCAGGGGCATTGTCTAACACCAGGAGGCACTTAAGGTCTAATTTATTTTCAGTTAGGTAATTTTTCACAGTGGGGGCAAATGCTTGGTGTAACCAGTCATAGAAAAAGTCCCTAGTGATCCATGCCTTATTGTTTGCCCTCCACAGCACACACAAATTAGCCTTGAGGATATTCTTTTGCCTGAACGCTCTGGGAGTTTCAGAATGATACACTAATAAAGGCTTCACTTTGCAATCACCACTAGCATTGGCACACATGAGAAGAGTAAGCCTGTCTTTCATAGGCTTATGTCCTGGGAGTGCCTTTTCCTCCTGAGTAATGTAGGTCCTGCTTGGCATTTTCTTCCAAAACAGGCCTGTTTCATCACAATTAAACACTTGTTCAGGTTTCAGTCCTTCACTGTCTATGTACTCCTTGAATTCCTGCACATATTTTTCAGCTGCTTTGTGGTCCGAACTGGCAGCCTCACCATGCCTTATCACACTATGTATGCCACTACGTCTTAAATCTCTCAAACCAACCTTTGCTGGCCTTAAATTCACTCACATCATCACTAGTTGCAGGCATTTTTTTAATTAAATCCTCATGCAACTTCCTAGCCTTTTCGCTTATGATCACTTGAGAGACGCTATCTCCTGCTAGCTGTTTTTCATTTATCCACACCAATAAGAGTCTCTCAACATCTTCCATCACTTGCGATCTCTGTTTCGAAAACACAGTTAAACCTTTGGCAAGAACAGCTTCCTTGATTGCCTTTTCTGTTGCCCACAATAGTAGCGATGGTTGATTTGGGTTTCTTGTACAACCTGGCCAGGTCGGCGACACGCACTCCACTTTCATACTTATCAATGATCTCTTTCTTCATCTCTATAGTAATTCTCACCCTTATTGCTGTAGGGTTGGCACTAGAAGCTTTCTTGGGGCCCATGGTCACTTATTTTGCAGATAAAATCACCAAAAACACTGTAATAATACGAAATGTTCCGATTGTATGCTTGGATGTTACCGCGGAGGCTGGCTGGTAAACAATGCCACCGGCGGCACATGTGAGGCTGGCTAAGGGCGCACATTGGACGCGTCTCGGATGAACAGCGGTGAGCGGGTTTTTGAGCGGTATGCGAGGCAAAATTTTTGCGATAAAAGCGAGCGGTATGCGGATTAAACGTTATGTGATGCCAACGGTATGCGGGGGTCCACTGTATTAGCAAAACACCGTAAAGCGGGGCCCTACTGTATACTGAATGTAAGTTAAAGTTTGTACAATTTACGTGGCATCTTACTCCTGTAAAAACATTTAACAGGCTTCTGTTTCACACTTATGCTAAAATAATAGTACCACCATGGTTAGTTGCTAGTTAACAGCTTACCATGCAGCAAATGATTGACCATGGATTAAAGCATAAATGTGAAGCAGAGGCCTGTTAAATGTTCTACACTCACATGATTGCTGACCTTGTCTCTGTCTCTCATACACTTGTAAGATGCCATGTAAATTGTACAAACTTTTACATTCAGTATACACTTTTTTATAACTTTCCTGTATTTGTGTTAACAGGTCATATTCCTGGAATACCATACATGCATTTCCATTCCAGTTTACGAAACCGACTCAGGGAACAGGCTATGGGATTTTTGTGTGTGTGTGTGTGGGGGGGGGATGTATGCCTTCCTGTACTATGCACTGATGACTCGCCCCCTCACAAAATTAACTCTCTTGAATATATATATTACCTTGATTAGTTTAAAATGTTGTGTATTTACATAATAGCAAAGTCACTTGCAGCACAAGAGATTAGCAACAAAATTTTGAATTCCATTTTGAGAGAAAAAAGTCCCAGATTTCATATTGTTTCTTTATAATTAAGTAAACCCTTCCAGTAATAGGGAGAGCTGGTGGCTAGTAATGATATTTATGGTGGATAGATTAGCAGTTACTTTGCCTTGGTGGTAACACTAATAAACACTTCTCTAACTAATGGACTTTGTTGTTCTCAAATCAATCAACCCAGTGAATTATATTCCAGTGAATTATTTTCTTTTGTATTGGTAATTTTTTTTTCAGATTATGTACCTTGTAGAATGGCTGTACACTTCTTGTAATATAATAGAATTATGGTAATCTAACCCTTAAACTGTCCAAATGTAGATCTACGTTCACATGCGTAGCGCTCCGACCTTGATTTTCCTCATTTGAAAGCATGTAAAAAATACGTAGATCTACATTCGGAGCCCCCCCCCCGCACGTGGACGTAGATTTACGTTTGGACAGTTTAAGGGTTAAAGGACAAAATGCCTTTTATAGCCTCTCAGAGAATGATTGGCATACTGTTAATAAACTTTTGGATGAAGAGTTAATTATTCTTTTTGTTTTACAGAAAGTGAATTGTGTATGAAGAAGGTAGAGAACTCCTGCAAGAATGAAGATAACACACAGAGAAGTTTAACTGAAGAGAAAAGAGAAAACAAAATTTATCAGCAGTCATTAGATAAAACTATACAGTTTGACATTGCTTGTAAAAGAACTTGCTTTAGAATAGACGTAAAGGATTATTTAAAAAAAATCAATATAAATATTTGGTCTGAAGTGATTAGGACAATGGACAGTATGATGTATTCTGGGGATTGCTCATTCCAAGCTCAAGATAATCAAGTGTTCCCACGGTCACTGCAGTCTGAAGAATTGACACGACCACCCATTCATGGTAAAAATTTTGTATGCAAATGTAGCAAAATATTTTCAAATAAAGCTGATTTCACTCGGCACATAAGAGTTCACACTGGAGAGAAGCCTCATGCTTGCCATGTGTGTGGAAGAGAATTTTCCCTCAAAGGTAATCTTACAAAGCATATGCAGCTTCATACAGATCAGAAAGCTTATTGTTGTCCTGAATGTACCAAAACATTTCACAAAAAAGTATATCTGCATCAGCACATGAGGATTCACACTGGTGAGAAACCTTTCAAATGTACACATTGTGATCGTGCATTTTCTTTGAAAGGTAACCTTGTTCAGCACGAGAAGCTACACACTGACAGGAAATCATATAAATGTCCTGATTGCGACAAACTTTTCCTCAAGAAGAGCTACCTTGATCAGCATTTGCGTATACATACTGGAGACAGACCTCATAAATGTGAGATGTGTGGTAAAGCATTTTCATTAAAGGGCAACTTAGTTCAGCATATGAAAAGGCACAGTGGTGAAAAACCTCATTCTTGCTCTGAATGTGGAAAAGCATTTGCCCTGAGATCAGCCCTAAAAGAGCATGATAAAGTGCATGATGGTGAAAAACCTTTTTCATGTCCAGAATGTAATAAAGCATTCAAAAAGAAAATTTATCTTGTGCAGCACTCTAGAATTCACACTGGTGAAAAGCCATTTACTTGCTCTGAATGTGGCAAAGCATTTTCTCAGAGAAGTATTCTCAATCAGCACCTGAAGCGGCATCGAGAGAAATCTTTTAAGTGTGCAGAATGTCATAAACTCTTTCTTAAGAAAATTTACCTACCAATTAAAAAGCAGAATGTTAAATTAGGACCTTTCAGATGCAGTGATTGTGAGGACGAGGAAGAGGAGCAAGAGCGCTATATAAAAGAAGATTTTGATGATAGTATGTTGCAGGTGGATGAACAATCCTACACTTGTAATGCTACAGATAAAGATTGTCAGAATTCAGCTCTCTCTCAAGATGGAGAATATTTTGAAAATGCCAGTCTATCTCACAATGAAAAAGTATGTGAAGATGTTTCCAAAGCAGTAGACAGTAGTGAGGATATATCTCTTTCTGAGTGCAATATTAGGAATATGGTTTCCAAAAATGGTAGAAAATTGAGTGATCTGATACATTCAAGTCATCTGAATCTTGACTGCAGATACAACCAAGTTTCGAAGCAGTTCACAGGCTACCAGTAATACAGGTCATGATCCAAGTATTTCTCTTTAGTATCCTAGTGGAAGCATTCCAGTTAAGAGAGTCAAGTGGGTCAATTTACCATTGCGTAAGACAAACAAGTGTAGAGAATGACATTCTCTACTGGATGCAAGATTATTGGTAATAGTACAAATTGTCAAAATGATAGTATTTTTTTTTTATAATGCATGTATTTAAAATTTCTCAACTAGGTTTTTTATTTTTTGTTTAAAGTAATGTCATTTATAAGTTGGCAGAGTTTCAGATTCCCCTTAATGTCTCATTTACTGTGTTCTTCAACATTTTTAGTGGAAAAATGTTGACAAATGTTTATATTATGTAATACCTCTCCACGTGCATTTTTATTATCAAGATTTTATTGTCATTCAGCAGTGAAGAGTTAAAATACTGTTGTTAACCTAACTGAACTGTGGTGTGGCACTGATGAGAAATTAGGGTTAAGATAGTAATAGAAAAATACTTTCAGTAACTACATATAAAGTATTATAGAAAAAATGTAGTCAAAAAGGTCAATATATTTTTAACACTGGTCTGTGAACATAGTGGTTGAAATTTTATTGCTAGTTATCAGTCAATTTTTATTAAAATTTTGCCAGAGTATAGGAGCTAGTGCAGATAGACTTAAGACACACTTCTGATATAATACTTATGCCTATCTAAGATAGTTCTCTCCTATATTATGTTGTAGTTTGCCAAGCTCCTAGACTAGTGCATCATATAGCTTCATTGTAGAATGCACAATTGGCAATTTGCTCTTAATGCAATTCATTGGATAAAATGAAAAACTGTGTTTAGTTAACATCGCAAAGTTTTGTCATTGTTGTGTTAAGAACACCAGCAGTATCATTGGCCTGAAGAGACTTGTACATTCATTTGTAGTAGACCAAATGTGACATCAATTCAGTGATCTTTAAATTCACAAAGGTAGTTTAGTTAATTTCTTTTAAAGCTACTGAGTGAGATGCCACTTCATTGTGTTAAACATTAATTAGACAGATTAAAAATTACTGTTTATGGATCATTTAAGTCATTGCTAACCAGTTGTCAATGATCATTTTTTTTTCATTGGCAGATCTTGTATCCAGTCTCGTTGAGTAAACATAAAATAGTAATTGATTTTTATTTAGATTTAATTCTATCAATTGGATAATGCCTTTATTTCTATGCACAGCATGTTTTCTAAAAAAATTTTAGCATTATTTAAAAATTTTGTTTGGAAGTTCAAGTATATATCAGTATATATTACACTAGGTTTGAACATTCATTTTTCTTAGTGTAACAAGTGTTTGTAATTTGTTATGTATACAAATATATTATCTTACAAACCACTCTTCAATTAAATAATGCAGATCTTTATCCTTTTTTAACTTTTAGTTTAAAATTGGACGTATTAGCATTGCTCTTCTGTAAAACTATGTCTAGCAGTATTTTATTTTTTTTTTTATTTTTTTTTTGTTTCTAGATAGTGCAATGTTAGTTTAGTAATTTACTTCCATTTCACATCCTAGAAAAACAATACTACCAATAATAAGTTTAAAAAACTGCAAGTGTTGAGCAAGCATTTATTGTCATTTTCCTCGCTCTACAATTTTGTCAAGTCATTAACTTCATTAACCTGACAAAGGTCTATATAGAACAAAACATAGGTACAATTAAAATTTGCAGTCAAGGGGTATATACAGAGGTGGATCTACTTTGAAATTAATGAAGCTTAAGCTTCTGGACCCCAAATTCTGGAGGGGCCCTCACACGTGACTTTAGCCCACATTACTTAAAATTGTTCTGTCTACTGTATGAGAAGGGGCCCCCATAACAGTTAAGCTTCAGGGCCCCAAAAATGTAGGTCCACAACTGGGTATATACGTACATGTATATATACTGAGAGGTATACGTCTCTCAGTATATACGTACATTAAGAGTTTATTTTCATTACTATTTTAGAGATTATAGATTCTTTACAGCCTTAATGATCCTAGTCTGGTGGATAGATTTCAAACCTAATAAATTATGCAGCTAACATTAAAAGCTTGGTCTGCACCAGTATTTTCTTTATTACTGTCGGCAGTATTGAATTGTATCCAATCAAGTCAAATCTAGCCCGTATTCCACAAGTAAACCTTTATTTTTATTTTTTTTTATTAACGCATTGGCCGTCTCCTACCAGGGTAGGGTGGCTCGAAAAAGAAAAACTTTAACCATCATTCACTCCATCCCTGTCTTGCCAGAGGTACACTTACACTGCAGTTATAAAACTGCAATATTAACACTCCTCCTTCAGAGTGCAGGCACTGTATTTCCCATCTCCAGGACTCGAGTCCGGCCTGCGAGTTTCCCTGAATTCCTTCATAAATAAACCTTATCATTCAGTAACCCAGGACAACCCAGTTCAACGCAGACACGGCCTTATTTCTCAAGGAGTCGCTTCAGAAATGATCTCCTGAAATGATGAACATGAAGGTAGCAGTGCCAGCAACTCTAGGTCATAAGGAAAACCTAGTACAGTGGACCCCCGCATAACGATGGCATCACATAGCGATTAATCCGCATACCGCTTGTTTTAATCGCAAAAATTTTGCCTCACATACCGCTTAAAAACCCGCTCACAGATTTTCGTCCGAGACGCGTCCAATGTGCGGCCTGAGCCACGCTCACATGTTCCGCCAGTGGCATTGTTTACCAGCCAGCCTCCGCGGTAACATCCAAGCATACAATCGGAATATTTCGTATTATTACAGTGTTTTCGGTGCTTTTTCTGGAAAATAAGTGACCATGGGCCCCAAGAAAGCTTCTAGTGCCAACCCTACAGCAATAAGGGTGAGAATTACAATAGAGATGAAGAAAAAGATCATTGATAAGTATGAAAGTGGAGTGCGTGTCTCCGAGCTGGCCAGGTTGTATAATAAACCCCAATCAACCATCGCTACTATTGGTGGTACAGCTGCTGCTGCTGCTGCACTGTCAGCTGCTGCTGCTGCTGTAACATCGTCTGTTGCTGCTGTAGCATCGTCTGTTGCTGCTGTACCACCGTCAGCTGCTGCTGTTGCTGTAACATCGTCTGTTGCTGCTGTAGCATCGTCTGTTGCTGCTGTACCACCGTCAGCTGCTGCTGCTGCTGTAGCATCGTCTGCTGCTGCTGTAGCATCGTCTGCTGCTGCTGTAGCATCGTCTGTTGCTGCTGTACCACTGTCAGCTGCTGCTGCTGCTGCTGTAGCACCGTTGTTGGTGTGGCTTATTGAGAATACCAAGAAACAATTAACCCCAGAGGATTTGCCACCCAGGATAACCCAAAAAAGTCAGTGTCATCGAAGACTGTCTAACTTATTTCCATTGGGGTCCTTAATCTTGTCTCCCAGGATGCAACCCACACAAGTTGACTAACACCCAGGTGAACAGGGAAAAATGCCTGGAACTAGTGCTCATATTGGTGAATTTAAAACCAGCAAAGGTTGGTTTGAGAGATTTAAGAATCGTAGTGGCATACACAGTGTGATAAGGCCTGTTCTGGAAGAAAATGCCAAACAGGACCTACATTACTCAGGAGAAAAAGGCATTCCCAGGACACAGTGTCTCATCAGTCATTGCTGCATCTTCAATAAAGGTAAGTGTCATTTATTCTTCATTTAGTAGACTAGTACATGCACAATATATACTGTGCATGTACTACTCTACTATTGTGCATGTATCCTTCTCTTTGTGTGTGGGAAAATGTATATTTCATGTGGTAAAATTTTTTTTTTCATACTTTTGGGTGTCTTGCACGGATTAATTTGATTTCCATTATTTCTTATGGGGAAAATTCATTCGCATACCGATTATTTCGCATAACAATTACCCCTCTTGCACGGATTAAAATCGTTATGCGGGGGTCCACTGTATTTTAAGTGAGAGGTCAGTACAGCAAAAATGGAGTTAAAATCCTTACACAGTGCTCTGGCACATGGCACATAGGAAATGGCGGATCATAGATGATGAGAATTGATGAGATGGATCAATTTTAACCTTTAAACTGTCCAAATGTAGATCTACGTTTTCACTACACAAATAACCTGCACATAGGAGAGAGGACCTTACGACAACGTTTCAGTTTGACTTTGGACCATTTACAAAGTCACGCTAACAAAAAGAGAGGAGGGAGTATACATAGGCCACCACACAGGGACAGTACAAGAGAGGTAGTAGGAAAGGAAGAAGAGAGTTAGAGGTAGTAGTAGTAGTAGTGGAGTTGGTCAAGAACTAAGAAAGAGGAGTACTGTGAGGGGGCTAGGGGCCCACAAAGGGTAGGAACAAGGACACAGAGAGGGGAAAAATAACAATAGACCAAACACCCAAGGCAGAAGAAAGAAACCCCAAATGAGAAAGAAGAAAGGGGAAGAGGGAGAAGGAGGAAAAAGAGAATCAGGTTAAGTCATGGGTGTTCTGAAGTTTGGAGCATTTTATAATGTACATGTAATGGGAAAGGAAGGCATTTACAGGGACAAAGCCAGGACTAAGATTCATACAAGGAAAGTTGTGTATAAGGGAGGATTCAACCAGAGAGTGATCGTGAAAGTTAGACGTAGGGTAGACAGTTTTAACAGATCAGTCAATACTGTGATCTCTGACATGACAGCCCCTCAAGGAAGGTTCCTTGATGCTGGTGAGTAGTTCTTGATCTAGGGAATTGAATCTGTGCTCCAGTTCTCTGAATTGAATCTGAATACCTTCCATCCCCCCCACACGCGCTGAGCAATCCTACGGGTTAAGTACTTCCCCATGATTATAATTATAATAATCTGAGATGACAGAAAAGAGCATTGTTGGTGTCGGCAAGCCTAACACTACTTTTGTGTTCCCTGAGTCTGTCAGAAAGAGAACGGCCAGTTTTTCCGAAGTACTGAAGAGGACAGCAGGAACAAGAAATAGAGTAGACACAAGGAGCATCTATAGAGGGAGGAGAGGTATGAACTAGATTAGTGCAAAGAGTGTTAGTATGGCAAAAAGTAAGTTTGATGGCTAAGGAATGGAGAGTTGTTGAGTTTAGAAAGACTGGAAATATAGGGAAGGCAGAGGACAGGAGAGTTCCCAGGAGAAGATAGTTTGGGAATTTGTGCATGGGGCTCAACAACAATTAACCATCTCAGACCACTAATTACCCAACAAAAGGCTGCAGTTAGAATGATAACAAATTCTCACTACAGGCAACACACTCCACCAATATTCAAAACACTCAACCTACTCACCATGCAAAACATCCATACCTATTATTGCACCTATTACATACATAGAGCACTTAACTCTGATATTAACCCTCCCCTCAAACATCTCCTTGCCAACCTCAACAGAACACATGACCATAACACAAGGCACAGATCACTCTTTGATGTTCCTCGTGTCCATCTCACGCTATGCAAAAACTCAATGCACATAAAAGGCCCTAAAATCTGGAATTCATTACCTGTAAATATAAAAGAAACACTACCTGTTTACAAATTCAAGTCTCTTCTCAAAGTTCACTTACTCACTCAAAACCAAATAAATACTGAATAACTGAACCTTATAAATTGTATATCCAAAATGTTACTCACAATTATATCACATAAATGTTAAACCTAGGACCCAATCTAACTTTGTTATTTTTTTAAATACACTACCTAACAGAATACTCCATTCTACTGAATGAACAGCAATGCATGCAACCATATGACCTGTCTTTGTAATACTCATTTGTGCTTTATAGTTATCTGTTTACAATAATGTCTTATCACTGATTTCATCATTGCTTAGTTAATCTTAAGTTAATTTTAAGCCAGCCCGTAATGCTATGCATATAAGTGGCTTTGGCATGCTGCTCTTACCTGTATTTTTTTTGTACCTCTGTATGTATGCTAAAATTTCTAAATAAATAAATAAAGAAAGTCCATTTAGCATGTGAGAAGGCAGTCTATGAAATAGGAAGGGTAGCCAAGACAGGAAAATGAATTTCGAAGAGTGGAAATTTCTGATTCAAGAACTGAGGATCACAAATGTGGAGAGCATGGAGAAAGAGGGAAATAACATTTTTCTTGTCTTGACAGAGGAAGCATGATAAGAAAAGTAATGAATGTACCTGCCACTGTGCATAGGTTTGTGGTAC